ACTGCCGATAATCTGATTGTCTATGACGTCAGCTGATTGTTGACATATTTATTCTGTGATGTCATTACTTATGGGGACACAATAAACAATGACGTTGCTTCATTGTTGACGTCACAGATTCCCGCTTCGTTACATCTCTACTGTGTCCCAAACCGTTTGTGGACCCCTGTAAATATTTGGCAAGCGTCGCTCCTGATTATACGGACCACTCAGACAGACATGGTCCCTTTATAAACCCAATAAGATGCTCTCTGTCATGAATTAGCACAGGTTGCAAACAAAATACACAAAATCTACAGCAAAGAACGCACATCAAATCCTAGCAACGAAACCAAGCTCAGGTAGACCACTGACGTTTTTACAGTACTACATGCGGCAGTATTTGGAAAGGAACCCCATACTTACAATTGAATTCTATTAAAACAATCGGAAGCATCGTTGCACCTGCCTAGTAAATGAAGTGAAAGTTCTATAATATACAACAAATAACTTCCTTCAAGCAAATAGTTACTGATGGCACAAACGCAGTCTCATGTTATAACTACGTCTGCGACTTGCTGATTTAATTTCCCCAAAAGACTTACTAATTATACCTGGGTTAATCACACAACATGATAGTGACGGTGGATGACAACAGAATGCTTTTCCTTAATGACTGCCACTTCAATACACAGGAATGGATCCATCTGAACGCCAACCTCAACACAAGTGATATTTTCCTTTTTACAACTACGCGATCTCATCTAGGCACACAAATTCAAGTCATATTATGTGACGACAATCAACAGTCACTACACAAACCCGCCCGATTGCAGAGCCTGACCTTTAACTCTGTACATTTCCTGGAAAGGGCACATACTTGTTATCCAATCACATTCAATTAAAAGCACATTTAACTTTCGTAACAAGCCCATTCCTTCACTACCACAATGCCGACGCTGCCAAGAACACTTTCCTCGAAACCATAAGCTTTGTCCATTCATACTAAATTACTAGACAGAGGAATTTAGGATACAATCACCAAATCTAAACAGTCGTCTGCAGTGAACACACGTAACTGGATAACGCCAAGGTCTGTTGGAATATTGACAGAAAATGGTTTCGCATCAAAGAATATAGCCTCTGACTTACCTCTGCCTAATCCCGTTCCTGTCACAACAAAACCTGCTTTTGTGATACATCCCGAAAGCAACACGTCCTCCGGCAGCGTACACTGCCGATAATCTGATTGTCTATGACGTCAGCTGATTGTTGACATATTTATTCTGTGATGTCATTACTTATGGGGACACAATAAACAATGACGTTGCTTCATTGTTGACGTCACAGATTCCCGCTTCGTTACATCTCTACTGTGTCCCAAACCGTTTGTGGACCCCTGTAAATATTTGGCAAGCGTCGCTCCTGATTATACGGCCCACTCAGACAGACACGGTCCCTTTATAAACCCAATAAGATGCTCTCTGTCATGAATTAGCACAGGTTGCAAACAAAATACACAAAATCTACAGCAAAGAACGCACATCAAATCCTAGCAACGAAACCAAGCTCAGGTAGACCACTGACGTTTTTACAGTACTACATGCGGCAGTATTTGGAAAGGAACCCCATACTTACAATTGAATTCTATTAAAACAATCGGAAGCATCGTTGCACCTGCCTAGTAAATGAAGTGAAAGTTCTATAATATACAACAAATAACTTCCTTCAAGCAAATAGTTACTGATGGCACAAACGCAGTCTCATGTTATAACTACGTCTGCGACTTGCTGATTTAATTTCCCCAAAAGACTTACTAATTATACCTGGGTTAATCACACAACATGATAGTGACGGTGGATGACAACAGAATGCTTTTCCTTAATGACTGCCACTTCAATACACAGGAATGGATCCATCTGAACGCCAACCTCAACACAAGTGATATTTTCCTTTTTACAACTACGCGATCTCATCTAGGCACACAAATTCAAGTCATATTATGTGACGACAATCAACAGTCACTACACAAACCCGCCCGATTGCAGAGCCTGACCTTTAACTCTGTACATTTCCTGGAAAGGGCAACATACTTGTTATCCCATCACATTCAATTAAAAGCACATTTAACTTTCGTAACAAGCCCATTCCTTCACTACCACAATGCCGACGCTGCCAAGAACACTTTCCTCGAAACCATAAGCTTTGTCCATTCATACTAAATTACTAGACAGAGGAATTTAGGATACAATCACCAAATCTAAACAGTCGTCTGCAGTGAACACACGTAACTGGATAACGCCAAGGTCTGTTGGAATATTGACAGAAAATGGTTTCGCATCAAAGAATATAGCCTCTGACTTACCTCTGCCTAATCCCGTTCCTGTCACAACAAAACCTGCTTTTGTGATACATCCCGAAAGCAACACGTCCTCCGGCAGCGTACACTGCCGATAATCTGATTGTCTATGACGTCAGCTGATTGTTGACGTATTTATTCTGTGATGTCATTACTTATGGGGACACAATAAACAATGACGTTGCTTCATTGTTGACGTCACAGATTCCCGCTTCGTTACATCTCTACTGTGTCCCAAACCGTTTGTGGACCCCTGTAAATATTTGGCAAGCGTCGCTCCTGATTATACGGACCACTCAGACAGACACGGTCCCTTTATAAACCCAATAAGATGCTCTCTGTCATGAATTAGCACAGGTTGCAAACAAAATACACAAAATCTACAGCAAAGAACGCACATCAAATCCTAGCAACGAAACCAAGCTCAGGTAGACCACTGGCGTTTTTACAGTACTACCTGCGGCTGTATTTGGAAAGGAACCTCATACTAACAATTGAATTCTATTAAAACAATCGGAAGCATCGTTGCACCTGCCTAGTAAATGAAGTGAAAGTTCTATAATATACAACAAATAACTTCCTTCAAGCAAATAGTTACTGATGGCACAAACGCAGTCTCATGTTATAACTACGTCTGCGACTTGCTGATTTAATTTCCACAAAAGACTTACTAATTATACCTGGGTTAATCACACAACATGATAGTGACGGTGGATGACAATAGAATGCTTTTCCTTAATGACTGCCACTTCAATACACAGGAATGGATCCATCTGAACGCCAACCTCAACACAAGTGATATTTTCCTTTTTACAACTACGCGATCTCATCTAGGCACACACATTCAAGTCATATTATGTGACGACAATCAACAGTCACTACACAAACCCGCCCGATTGCAGAGCCTGACCTTTAACTCTGTACATTTCCTGGAAAGGGCAACATACTTGTTATCCCATCACATTCAATTAAAAGCACATTTAACTTTCGTAACAAGCCCATTCCTTCACTACCACAATGCCGACGCTGCCAAGAACACTTTCCTCGAAACCATAAGCTTTGTCCATTCATACTAAATTACTAGACAGAGGAATTTAGGATACAATCACCAAATCTAAACAGTCGTCTGCAGTGAACACACGTAACTGGATAACGCCAAGGTCTGTTGGAATATTGACAGAAAATGGTTTCGCATCAAAGAATATAGCCTCTGACTTACCTCTGCCTAATCCCGTTCCTGTCACAACAAAACCTGCTTTTGTGATACATCCCGAAAGCAACACGTCCTCCGGCAGCGTACACTGCCGATAATCTGATTGTCTATGACGTCAGCTGATTGTTGACATATTTATTCTGTGATGTCATTACTTATGGGGACACAATAAACAATGACGTTGCTTCATTGTTGACGTCACAGATTCCCGCTTCGTTACATCTCTACTGTGTCCCAAACCGTTTGTGGACCCCTGTAAATATTTGGCAAGCGTCGCTCCTGATTATACGGACCACTCAGACAGACACGGTCCCTTTATAAACCCAATAAGATGCTCTCTGTCATGAATTAGCACAGGTTGCAAACAAAATACACAAAATCTACAGCAAAGAACGCACATCAAATCCTAGCAACGAAACCAAGCTCAGGTAGACCACTGGCGTTTTTACAGTACTACATGCGGCTGTATTTGGAAAGGAACCTCATACTAACAATTGAATTCTATTAAAACAATCGGAAGCATCGTTGCACCTGCCTAGTAAATGAAGTGAAAGTTCTATAATATACAACAAATAACTTCCTTCAAGCAAATAGTTACTGATGGCACAAACGCAGTCTCATGTTATAACTACGTCTGCGACTTGCTGATTTAATTTCCCCAAAAGACTTACTAATTATACCTGTGTTAATCACACAACATGATAGTGACGGTGGATGACAACAGAATGCTTTTCCTTAATGACTGCGACTTCAATACACAGGAATGGATCCATCTGAACGCCAACCTCAACACAAGTGATACTTTCCTTTTTACAACTACGCGATCTCATCTAGGCACACAAATTCAAGTCATATTATGTGACGACAATCAACAGTCACTACACAAACCTGTCCGATTGTAGAGCCTGACCTTTAACTCTGTAGATTTCCTGGAAAGGGCAACATACTTGTTATCCCATCACATTCAATTAAAAGCACATTTAACTTTCGTAACAAGCCCATTCCTTCACTACCACAATGCCGACGCTGCCAAGAACACTTTCCTCGAAACCATAAGCTTTGTCCATTCATACTAAATTACTAGACAGAGGAATTTAGGATACAATCACCAAATCTAAACAGTCGTCTGCAGTGAACACACGTAACTGGATAACGCCAAGGTCTGTTGGAATATTGACAGAAAATGGTTTCGCATCAAAGAATATAGCCTCTGACTTACCTCTGCCTAATCCCGTTCCTGTCACAACAAAACCTGCTTTTGTGATACATCCCGAAAGCAACACGTCCTCCGGCAGCGTACACTGCCGATAATCTGATTGTCTATGACGTCAGCTGATTGTTGACATATTTATTCTGTGATGTCATTACTTATGGGGACACAATAAACAATGACGTTGCTTCATTGTTGACGTCACAGATTCCCGCTTCGTTACATCTCTAGTGTGTCCCAAACCGTTTGTGGACCCCTGTAAATATTTGGCAAGCGTCGCTCCTGATTATACGGGCCACTCAGAAAGACAGGGTCCCTTTATAAACCCAATAAGATGCTCTCTGTCATGAATTAGCACAGGTTGCAAACAAAATACACAAAATCTACAGCAAAGAACGCACATCAAATCCTAGCAACGAAACCAAGCTCAGGTAGACCACAGAAGAATTTAGGATACAATCACCAAATCTAAACAGTCGTCTGCAGTGAACACACGTCACTGGATAACGCCAAGGTCTGTTGGAATATTGACAGAAAATGGTTTCGCATCAAAGAATATAGCCTCTGACTTACCTCTGCCTAATCCCGTTCCTGTCACAACAAAACCTGCTTTTGTGATACATCCCGAAAGCAAGCGTCGCTCCTGATTATACGGACCACTCAGACAGACACGGTCCCTTTATAAACCCAATAAGATGCTCTCTGTCATGAATTAGCACAGGTTGCAAACAAAATACACAAAATCTACAGCAAAGAACGCACATCAAATCCTAGCAACGAAACCAAGCTCAGGTAGACCACTGACGTTTTTACAGTAATACATGCGGCAGTATTTGGAAAGGAACCCCATACTTACAATTGAATTCTATTAAAACAATCGGAAGCATCGTTGCACCTGCCTAGTAAATGAAGTGAAAGTTCTATAATATACAACAAATAACTTCCTTCAAGCAAATAGTTACTGATGGCACAAACGCAGTCTCATGTTATAACTACGTCTGCGACTTGCTGATTTAATTTCCCCAAAAGACTTACTAATTATACCTGGGTTAATCACACAACATGATAGTGACGGTGGATGACAACAATATGCTTTTCCTTAATGACTGCGACTTCAATACACAGGAATGGACCGCTCTGAACGCCAACCTGAACACAAGTGATACTTTCCTTTTTACAACTACGCGATCTCATCTAGGCACACAAATTCAAGTCATATTATGTGACGACAATCAACAGTCACTACACAAACCCGCCCGATTGCAGAGCCTGACCTTTAACTCTGTAGATTTCCTGGAAAGGGCAACATACTTGTTATCCCATCACATTCAATTAAAAGCACATTTAACTTTCGTAACAAGCCCATTCCTTCACTACCACAATGCCGACGCTGCCAAGAACACTTTCCTCGAAACCATAAGCTTTGTCCATTCATACTAAATTACTAGACAGAGGAATTTAGGATACAATCACCAAATCTAAACAGTCGTCTGCAGTGAACACACGTCACTGGATAACGCCAAGGTCTGTTGGAATATTGACAGAAAATGGTTTCGCATCAAATAATATAGCCTCTGACTTACCTCTGCCTAATCCCGTTCCTGTCACAACAAAACCTGCTTTTGTGATACATCCCGAAAGCAACACGTCCTCCGGCAGCAAAAGTGATATTTTCCTTTTTACAACTACGCGATCTCATCTAGGCACACACATTCAAGTCATATTTTGTGACGACAATCAACAGTCACTACACAAATCCGCCCGTTTGCAGAGCCCGACCTATAACTCTGTAGGTTTCCTGGAAAGGGCAACATACTTGTTCTCCAATCACATTCAATTAAAAGCACATTTAACTTTCGTAACAAGACCAGTCCTTCACTACCACAATGCCGACGCTGCCAAGAACACTTTCCTCGTCACCATAAGCTTTGTCCATTCATACTAAATTACTAGACAGAGGAATTTAGGATACAATGACCAAATCTAAACAGTCGTCTGCAGTGAACACACGTCACTGGATAACGCCAAGGTCTGTTGGAATATTGACAGAAAATGGTTTCGCATCAAAGAATATAGCCTCTGACTTACCTCTGCCTAATCCCGTTCCTGTCACAACAAAACCTGCTTTTGTGATACATCCCGAAAGCAACACGTCCTCCGGCAGCGTACACTGCCGATAATCTGATTGTCTATGACGTCAGCTGATTGTTGACGTATTTATTCTGTGATGTCATTACTTATGGGGACACAATAAACAATGACGTTGCTTCATTGTTGACGTCACAGATTCCCGCTTCGTTACATCTCTACTGTGTCCCAAACCGTTCGTGGACCCCTGTAAATATTTGGCAAGCGTCGCTCCTGATTATACGGACCACTCAGACAGACACGGTCCCTTTATAAACCCAATAAGATGCTCTCTGTCATGAATTAGCACAGGTTGCAAACAAAATACACAAAATCTACAGCAAAGAACGCACATCAAATCCTAGCAACGAAACCAAGCTCAGGTAGACCACTGGCGTTTTTACAGTACTACATGCGGCAGTATTTGGAAAGGAACCTCATACTTACAATTGAATTCTATTAAAACAATCGGAAGCATCGTTGCACCTGCCTAGTAAATGAAGTGAAAGTTCTATAATATACACCAAATAACTTCCTTCAAGCAAATAGTTACTGATGGCACAAACGAAGTCTCATGTTATAACTACGTCTGCGACTTGATGATTTAATTTCCCCAAAAGACTTACTAATTATACCTGTGTTAATCACACAACATGATAGTGACGGTGGATGACAACAGAATGCTTTTCCTTACTGACTGCGACTTCAATACACAGGAATGGATCCATCTGAACGCCAACCTCAAGACAAGTGATATTTTCCCTTTTCAGCTACGCGATCTCATCTAGGCACACAAATTCAAGTCATATTATGTGACGACAATCAACAGTCACTACACAAACCCGCCCGATTGCAGAGCCTGACCTTTAACTCTGTAGATTTCCTGGAAAGGGCAACATACTTGTTATCCCATCACATTCAATTAAAAGCACATTTAACTTTCGTAACAAGCCCATTCCTTCACTACCACAATGCCGACGCTGCCAAGAACACTTTCCTCGTCACGATAAGCTTTGTCCATTCTTACTAAATTACTAGACAGAAGAATTTAGGATACAATCACCAAATCTAAACAGTCGTCTGCAGTGAACACACGTAACTGGATACCGCCAAGGTCTGTTGGAATATTGACAGAAAATGGTTTCGCATCAAATAATATAGCCTCTGACTTACCTCTGCCTAATCCCGTTCCTGTCACAACAAAACCTGCTTTTGTGATACATCCCGAAAGCAACACGTCCTCCGGCAGCAAAAGTGATATTTTCCTTTTTACAACTACGCGATCTCATCTAGGCACACACATTCAAGTCATATTTTGTGACGACAATCAACAGTCACTACACAAATCCGCCCGTTTGCAGAGCCCGACCTATAACTCTGTAGGTTTCCTGGAAAGGGCAACATACTTGTTCTCCAATCACATTCAATTAAAAGCACATTTAACTTTCGTAACAAGACCAGTCCTTCACTACCACAATGCCGACGCTGCCAAGAACACTTTCCTCGTCACCATAAGCTTTGTCCATTCATACTAAATTACTAGACAGAGGAATTTAGGATACAATGACCAAATCTAAACAGTCGTCTGCAGTGAACACACGTCACTGGATAACGCCAAGGTCTGTTGGAATATTGACAGAAAATGGTTTCGCATCAAAGAATATAGCCGCTGACTTACCTCTGCCTAATCCCGTTCCTGTCACAACAAAACCTGCTTTTGTGATACATCCCGAAAGCAACACGTCCTCCGGCAGCGTACACTGCCGATAATCTGATTGTCTATAACGTCAGCTGATTGTTGACGTGTTTATTCTGTGATGTCATTACTTATGGGGACACAATAAACAATGACGTTGCTTCATTGTTGACGTCACAGATTCCCGCTTGGTGACATCTCCACTGTGTCCCAAACCGTTTGTGGACCCCTGTAAATATTTGGCAAGCGTCGCTCCTGATTATACGGGCCACTCAGACAGATATGGTCCCTTTATCAACCCAATAAGATGCTCTCTGTCATGAATTAGCACGGGTTGCAAACAAAATACACAGCAAAGAACGCACATCAAATCCTAGCAACGAAACCAAGCTCAGGTAGACCACTGGCGTATTTACAGTAATACATGCGGCAGTATTTGGAAAGGGACCTCATACTTACAACTGAATTCTATTAAAACAATCGGAAGCGTCGTTGCACCTGCCTAGTAAATGAAGTGAAAATTCTATAATATACACCAAATAACTTCCTTCAAGCAAATAGTTACTGATGGCACAAACGCAGTCTCATGTTATAACTACGTCTGCGACTTGCTGATTTAATTTCCCCAAAAGACTTACTAATTATACCTGTGTTAATCACACAACATGATAGTGACGGTGGATGACAACAGAATGCTTTTCCTTACTGACTGCGACTTCAATACACAGGAATGGATCCATCTGAACGCCAACCTTAACACAAGTGATACTTTCCTTTTTACAACTACGCGATCTCATCTAGGCACACACATTCAAGTCATATTATGTGACGACAATCAACAGTCACTACACAAACCCGCCCGATTGTAGAGCCTGACCTTTAACTCTGTAGATTTCCTGGAAAGGGCAACATATATACTTGTTATCCAATCACATTCAATTAAAAGCACATTGAACTTTCGTAACAAGCCCATTCCTTCACTACCACAATGCCGACGCTGCCAAGAACACTTTCCTCGAAACCATAAGCTTTGTCCATTCATACTAAATTACTAGACAGAGGAATTTAGGATACAATCACCAAATCTAAACAGTCGTCTGCGGTGAACACACGTCACTGGATAACGCCAAGGTCTGTTGGAATATTGACAGAAAATGGTTTCGCATCAAAGAATATAGCCTCTGACTTACCTCTGCCTAATCCCGTTCCTGTCACAACAAAACCTGCTTTTGTGATACATCCCGAAAGCAACACGTCCTCCGGCAGCGTACACTGCCGATAATCTGATTGTCTATGACGTCAGCTGATTGTTGACGTATTTATTCTGTGATGTCATTACTTATGGGGACACAATAAACAATGACGTTGCTTCATTGTGGACGTCACAGATTCCCGCTTGGTGACATCTCCACAGTGTCCCAAACCGTTTGTGGACCCCTGTAAATATTTGGCAAGCGTCGCTCCTGATTATACGGGCCGCTCGGACAGACATGGTCCCTTTATACACCCAATAAGATGCTCTCTGTCATGAATTAGCACAGGTTGCAAACAAAATACACAAAATTTACAGCAAAGAACGCACATCAAATCCTAGCAACGAAACCAAGCTCAGGTAGACCACTGGCGTTTCTACAGTAATACATGCGGCAGTATTTGGAAAGGGCCCTCATACTTACAACTGAATTCTATTAAAACAATCGGAAGCATCGTTGCACCTGCCTAGGAAATGAAGTGAAAATTCTATAATATACACCAAATACCTTTCTCAAACAAATAGTTACTGATGGCACAAACGCAGTCTCATGTTATAACTACGTCTGCGACTTGCTGATTTAATTTCCACAAAAGACTTACTAATTATACCTGTGTTAATCACACAACATGATAGTGACGGTGGATGACAACAGAATGCTTTTCCTTACTGACTGCGACTTCAATACACAGGAATGGATCCATCTGAAAGCCAACCTCAACACAAGTGATGCTTTCCTTTTTACAACTACGCGATCTCATCTAGGCACACACATTCAAGTCATATTATGTGACGACAATCAACAGTCACTACACAAATCCGCCCGTTTGCAGAGCCCGACCTATAACTCTGTAGGTTTCCTGGAAAGGGCAACATACTTGTTCTCCAATCACATTCAATTAAAAGCACATTTAACTTTCGTAACAAGACAAGTCCTTCACTACCACAATGCCGACGCTGCCAAGAACACTTTCCTCGAAACCATAAGCTTTGTCCATTCATACTAAATTACTAGACAGAGGAATTTAGGATACAATCACCAAATCTAAACAGTCGTCTGCAGTGAACACACGTAACTGGATAACGCCAAGGTCTTTTGGAATATTGACAGAAAATGGTTTCGCATCAAAGAATATAGCCTCTGACTTACCTCTGCCTAATCCCGTTCCTGTCACAACAAAACCTGCTTTTGTGATATATCCCGGAGGCAACACGTCCTCCGGCAGCGTACACTGCCGATAATCTGATTGTCTATGACGTCAGCTGATTGTTGACGTGTTTATTCTGTGATGTCATTACTTATGGGGACACAATAAACAATGACGTTGCTTCATTGTTGACGTCACAGATTCCCGCTTGGTGACATCTCCACAGTGTCCCAAACCGTTTGTGGACCCCTGTAAATATTTGGCAAGCGTCGCTCCTGATTATACGGGCCGCTCAGACAGACACGGTCCCTTTATAAGCCCAATAAGATGCTCTCTGTCATGGATTAGCACGGGTTGCAAACAAAATACACAGCAAAGAACGCACATCAAATCCTAGCAACGAAACCAAGCTCAGGTAGACCACTGGCGTTTTTACAGTAATACATGCGGCAGTATTTGGAGAGGGACCTCATACTTACAACTGAATTCTATTAAAACAATCGGAAGCATCGTTGCACCTGCCTAGTAAATGAAGTGAAAATTCTATAATATACACCAAATAACTTCCTTCAAGCAATTAGTTACTGATGGCACAAACGCAGTCTCATGTTATAACTACGTCTGCGACTTGCTGATTTAATTTCCCATTAGAACTTACTTATCATACCTGTGTCAGTCACACAACATGATAGTGACGGTGGATGACAACAGAATGCTTTTCCTTACTGACTGCGACTTCAATACACAGGAATGGATCCATCTGAACGCCAACCTCAACACAAGTGATGCTTTCCTTTTTACAACTACGCGATCTCATCTAGGCACACACATTCAGGTCATATTATGTGACGACAATCAACAGTCACTACACAAATCCGCCCGATTGCAGAGCCCGACCTATAACTCTGTAGGTTTCCTGGAAAGGGCAACATACTTGTTCTCCAATCACATTCAATTAAAAGCACATTTAACTTTCGTAACAAGACCAGTCCTTCACTACCACAATGCCGACGCTGCCAAGAACACTTTCCTCGTCACCATAAGCTTTGTCCATTCATACTAAATTACTAGACAGAGGAATTTAGGATACAATCACCAAATCTAAACAGTCGTCTGCAGTGAACACACGTCACTGGATAACGCCAAGGTCTGTTGGAATATTGACAGAAAATGGTTTCGCATCAAAGAATATAGCCGCTGACTTACCTCTGCCTAATCCCGTTCCTGTCACAACAAAACCTGCTTTTGTGATACATCCCGAAAGCAACACGTCCTCCGGCAGCGTACACTGCCGATAATCTGATTGTCTATGACGTCAGCTGATTGTTGACGTGTTTATTCTGTGATGTCATTACTTATGGGGACACAATAAACAATGACGTTGCTTCATTGTGGACGTCACAGATTCCTGCTTGGCGACATCACCACTGTGTCCCAAACCGTTTGTGGACTCCTGTGTTTATTTGGCAAGCGTCGCTGCTTATTATCCGGGGCAGTGAGACAAATATGGTCCCCTTTTTTAAGAAAGAATATTTATACGCACAGACTGTTTCGTTGGGTTCAACCTTGTGTTTCTGCTGCAATTGCTGTTATTTTGAATCATACCTGTCCGGTAAACACGTCTACCTCTCAGGTAAATATAGAGGTATATAGAGCTGATCTATTCACAAAATCTATTTCTACGCCAGGAACCTCTGGTTGTTGGTTGAAATATCAGGTTTTTCGTCGTGACTATTATCTTGGTTTGTCAGCACTATACCCGTGCTCGTGGGTTTCACCGAAGTGGTACCCGTCCTGCATTACTTCGGGCTTTCCTCCCACACAAAACTGTTCCGTCGTGATATGTCCGAAATACTGCCCAGAGCGGCGTTACACAAACTCACTCTCAGTTATTCTCTTTCAAGACCAACATCAATTCTTACACAGATTGAATTATTAACTTAAGGAAATACAGAAATGTCGAAGTTCATCGTATGTGCACACTGTCACACAGTAAAATGATATTCACTCTTTTCTTTTTCATTAATACAAAAAAATACATAGACGTATAAATCTATATACATTTTTGATACAATAAACGTTACTGGCATAATTATCGCTACCTTGATATACATGAACGCAGTCAAGTTAGATCAATATTTATTTCAGTGACCCATTTGTTTAACCAAATACACTGCAACCTCGTTAATCCAGACAAACATAACTCGAACTCCTCACCCCTACATTAATTTCAATTATTTGTTTATTGTGAAATATAGCCTTAATCGAGACATAAATGTTTTTTCCAGACGAATTTGGCATTATCTTGATTAACGAGGCTCAGTGACAGGAAGATAATAGTAACATCATGTTCTACGTTGAAGGTGTCGTTGCTGCTGCCGCCATCACTGCCCTGCCGTCGTTACACATGTAGCGGTCACAGCAAGTGGTGTTGTACCAAGCCACGTGTTGAAACAGGAAGCCGCTTTGGTGGGCATGGGAGGTGGCGGCCACTTGAGCCAGCGCTTCGCAACGCTGTAACCAAAAGATTGATTGGTTTCTAGACGGGGTGCCTGTTCGAGAAGCTACCTTAACTGTGAGACAAATTAATTACTTTCAACAACAAAACTCGATTGCCATCAGAGATCATAAGGGGTCATAAACCTGCTGTGTCGTCAACTGCCGAAGTCTTTGTCGGTCTTTTAAGAAATTACGGTATGTGTTGTTGATAGTCGTATTTTCAAAATCTTAAAATCTCTTATAATCAAATAATACGGTTTTCAAAGAAGTTATTATCGAAATGAAATCTAGATGATTGACTGTTGTATTATTTTCTGTAAATATTTGCCTGCATGTCGTTTTATCATTAGGAAACGATATAATAAAACACTATGTACATAGCAAACTTTCATAATGACCAACTGATCCTCAGTTTGTCCCCACCCCATAAAGATACCATGGACACTGCGGTCAATCAACACCTGCATGCATGGAAGTAACATCTCTACATGATAAGACATAAAAGGCAAATTTTCTCGGGCATCGACTTCGCCTTAAATCCTAAGCATCAGTCTTGTGTATTAAGTGAGGTGTTAGACAACAAACAAACAAACAAACAAACAAAACATACCTGCTTAGATGAACAACCCTGGTAGTACATGAGTTGGTTAGTCTGAGGGACATGGTAGCTGTATTCAAGACATTTCTGAAAGATAACACAGTTAATAGTCTACAATCCTGCTACATTGTACGGTATGTGTTGTACGAGGTTTGTTTAACGGACATCTTGATAAAACATTCAAAGCTCTCGAATTTAGTCAAAACAAAAATACCCACAAAAACCGTGATCATACGGGGGATAAATATGTGTTTATATACATGTTTCATTCCTGAAATATTTCCATCGGATGGTGTAACGCACGATTTGATTGTTTGTTTAACACCGTACTCAGCAATATTCCAGCTGTATGACAGCGGTCAGCAAATAATTGAGTCTGGAATAGACAATCCAGTGATTGATATCATGAGCATCGATATACGCAATTGGGATACGACGACATGATTCAACCAAGTCAGCGAGACCTACCACCCGATCCCGTTAGTCGCCTCTTACGACAAGCATAGTCGCCTGTTACGACAAGCATGGGTTGCTGAAGACCCATTCCACCCCGGATCTTCTGTAACGCATGCATTGTCTTTGTCAAACGTATCTGGGTGTTTCTAACATGGTTTGTTAACTTTCGTATGTCCTTGGATCACCAGCATATAATTATGTCGAGTTATCTGTAGTTCGATACATTGAATTAAACATATTCGAGCACTGTGCCGATACGAATTCCGCCCAGATCGATCGGGATACCTAAGACGGGAATCCATACAGAACAGTGGTTTTACAGGGAGGCAACGTGGCAGTCACAGCCAGTTCAGCTCAACTCACTGGAATACCATTTGTGTTCAAATTGTATGATGTCTAACAGTAAGTGAGTATGGTTTTACGCCGCTTTTAGCAATATTCCAGCAATGTCACGGCGGGGATACCAGAAATGGGCTTCAGACATTGTACCCATTTGGGGAATCGAACTCGGGTCTTCGACTATGAAATAATAAATAAGCCTAGGTAGGATGATAAATACATACAATTTACGATTCTGTGTTTTTTAGCTTTTTTGTGAAATTTTGCAAAGCGTTTACTTTGGAACACTGAGTTTGGGCGTTTAACACTTACCAAGGTGTGGCAGAGAAAGAATTTGTGATGTTGTTTATTCATTAGAGTGATTTTTAGGCTTTAAACTGGACTTTCTTTCCACTTTCCTTCTTTTTTAGGGTCAACGGATCCGCGAACCAGGAAATAAAAATATAATCCCAATGGAAGCATAATCTTGTCAGCTTCCACTAACACAGGGATATTTATCTGTTTTGTCGAAAAGAGCTTATCCCCTTAAATGTCAGTAACGCCCCACGCTACGAGGCAGATTTGGTCGACTGTGAGGTGTCATTGATGTGAACAATGTACATACTCCGTCGCGTTGGCAATGCATAGCTGCCTTACACTGCGTGGGATCAGAGGTCGCCGGGCATGCGTAACACACGGTAGTTGGGAAAGTGGTTGCTGCGAATAAATAATTGGTTGAATAAGTCACATGGTATAGGATTACAACAATTTGCTGTTGTTTTATATAAAATGTCAGTTTGCGAGCAAGCATATGTTATGGTGGATTTGTGCGACAGCAATATGAGAGCTCTTTCATGCTCGACGGTAAATACTCGGGGTAGAAGGCAACCTGGGGCGGGGGGGGGGGGGGGGGGGGGGGGTGATAGTGACAGCATCTACAAGCAAACTACAATTTAATCACTCCAGATAATGTTTTCTCCTTGTGACCACAATTCCAAATTATATCGCCCATTAACGGATAACGGATAAGAAGGTTTCCCCCTCACATTTGCCGCCACAAAGACGGGCGTTGCATCTGTCCTTGTCACAGCAGGCCTCGCAGACAACAGGGTCTAAACCGATGGCGGCCTTCCGTTTGGAATAGGAATTGCATATCTGGAACCGTAGCAAAAAATTAAATATCCCAATACAGACAAGATTTTTTTGATTTTTTAAGAGATCATCTCTGTAAATGTTTATTAAATTAGAGTATTTTTTTAATTCATTTTTAAAAAAAGAAAGAAAAGAAGACCCTGAAATTGTAATTTGAGTTTTGTTTTACTCGGTTTTGAAATTAGTTAGTTCTAGTACCGTGACGACGTAGATATGTCGATCTCATTGCTGAAACCACCAGGGATGATGCTGGCATTGCCTGACATTGAAGCAATGTGAGACTACATCTAGTCGCCTCTCAGGACAAGCACAGTCGCCCGGCCCTATGTTTTCGCGGATGACGAGGGAACGTAGTGTACATGATCCCATGAAGTATTGACGATGACCTCGTAATCAGAGCGAAGATAAGATTTGAACCAGCGATCAGTGGATCTTGGTACGCAATTCTACACATAATGACCTTTTAGATCACTAGACCCGCTTTGAGAAGTAACGAATCAACATAAAATGCTTACAGTTTTGTTCTGGCAACCGGATCGGTAGCTGGTCTGGCCCTTCGACGTTATGTACTTTTGTAGATAGCACATCTGCAAACAAACAAATCTATCATGAGGACTAGCGATGGCGTATGGACAGATCTGGCAATGAAGGTCTGGAGTAAACGTATAGTGATGGAGGTCTGGAGTAAACGTATAGGATGGAGGTCTGGAGTAAACGTATGGTGATGGAGGTCTGGAGTAAACGTAAAGTGATGAAGGTCTGGAGACGTACGGTGATGAAGGTCTGGAGTAAACGTATAGTGATGAAGGTCTGGAGTAAACGTATAGTGATGAAGGTCTGAAGTAAACGTATAGTGATGGAGGTCTGGAGTAAACATATAGTGATGAAGGTCTGAAGTAAACGTATAGTGATGAAGGTCTGGAGTAAACGTATAGTGATGAAGGTCTGGAGTAAACGTATAGTGATGAAGGTCTGGAGTAAACGTATACTGATGAAGGTCTGAAGTAAACGTATAGTGATGGAGGTCTGGAGTAAACGTATAGTGATGAAGGTCTGAAGTAAACGTATAGTGATGGAGGTCTGGAGTAAACGTACGGTGATGAAGGTCTGGAGTAAACGTATAGTGATGGAGGTCTGGAGTAAACGTATAGTGATGGAGGTCTGGAGTAAACGTATAGTGATGGAGGTCTGGAGTAAACGTATAGTGATGAAGGTCTGGAGTAAACGTATAGTGATGAAGGTCTGGAGTAAACGTATAGTGATGAAGGTCTGGAGTAAACGTATGGTGATCAAGGTGTGGAGTAAACGTATAGTGATGAAGGTCTGGAGTAAGCGTACGGTGATGAAGGTCTGGAGTAAACGTATAGTGATGAAGGTCTGGAGTAAACGTATAGTGATGGAGGTCTGGAGTAAACGTATAGTGATGAAGGTCTTGAGTAAACGTATAGTGATGGAGGTCTGGAGTAAACGTATAGTGATGAAGGTCTGGAGTAAGCGTAAGGTGATGAAGGTCTGGAGTAAACGTATAGTGATGAAGGTCTGGAGTAAACGTATAGTGATGAAGGTCTGGAGTAAACGTATGGTGATGAAGGTCTGGAGTAAACGTATAGTGATGAAGGTCTGGAGTAAACGTTTAGTGATGAAGGTCTGGAGTAAACGTATAGTGATGAAGGTCTGGAGTAAACGTATAGTGATGGAGGTCTGGAGTAAACGTATGGTGACGAAGGTCTTGAGTAAACGTATGGTGACGAAGGTCTGGAGTAAACGTATAGTGATGAAGGTCTGGAGTAAACATATAGTGATGGAGGTCTGGAGTAAACGTATAGTGATGGAGGTCTGGAGTAAACGTATAGTGATGAAGGTCTAGAGTAAACGTATAGTGATGAAGGTCTGGAGTATACGTATAGTGACGAAGGTCTTGAGTAAACGCATAGTGTTGAAGGTCTGGAGTAAACGTATAGTGATGAAGGTCTGGAGTAAACATATAGTGATGGAGGTCTGGAGTAAACGTATAGTGATGGAGGTCTGGAGTAAACGTAAAGTGATGAAGGTCTAGGGTAAACGTACGGTGATGGAGGTCTGGAGTAAACGTATAGTGATGGAGGTCTGGAGAAAACGTATAGTGATGAAGGTCTGGAGTAAACGTATAGTGACGAAGGTCTGAATTAAACGTATAGTGACGAAGGTCTTGAGTAAACGAATAGTGATGAAGGTCTGGAGTAAATGTACGGTGATGGAGGTCTGGAGGAAACGTATAGTGATGAAGGTCTGGAGTAAACGTATAGTGATGAAGGTCTGGAGTAAACGTATAGTGATGAAGGTCTGGAGTAAACGTATGGTGATGCAGGTCTGGAGTAAACGTACGGTGATGGAGGTCATGGGTAAACGTATAGTGATGAAGGTCTGGAGTAAACGTATGGTGATGAAGGTCTGGAGTAAACGTACGGTGATGGAGGTCTGGGGTAAACGTATAGTGATGGAGGTCTGGAGTAAACGTATAGTGATAAAGGTCTGGAGTAAACGTACGGTGATGGAGGTCTGGGGTAAACGTATAGTGATGGAGGTCTGGAGTAAACGTATGGTGATGAAGGTCTGGAGTAAACGTACGGTGATGGAGGTCTGGGGTAAACGTATAGTGACGAAGGTCTGGATTAACGCATAGTGATGAAAGTCTGGAGTAAACGTATAGTGATGAAGGTCTGGAGTAAACATATAGTGATGGAGGTCTGGAGTAAACGTATAGTGATGGAGGTCTGGAGTAAACGTATAGTGATGAAGGTCTGGAGTAAACGTCTAGTGATGAAGGTCTGGAGTAAACGTATAGTGATGAAGGTCTGGAGTAAACGTACGGTGATGGAGGTCTGGAGTAAACGTATGGTGATGAAGGTCTGGAGTAAACGTATAGTGATTGAGGTCTGGAGTAAAAGTACGGTGATGGAGGTCTGGAGTAAACGTATAGTGATGGAGGTCTTGAGTAAACGTATAGTGATGAAGGTCTGGAGTAAAAGTACGGTGATGGAGGTCTGGAGTAAACGTATAGTGATGGAGGTCTGGAGTAAACGTATAGTGATGAAGGTCTGGAGTAAACGTATAGTGATGAAGGTCTGGAGTAAACGTATAGTGATGAAGGTCTGGAGTAAAAGTATGGTAATGGAGGTCTGGAGTAAACGTATAGTGATGAAGGTCTGGAGTAAAAGTACGGTGATGGAGGTCTGGAGTAAACGTATAGTGATGAAGGTCTGGAGTAAACGTATAGTGACGAAGGTCTGGAGTAAACGCATAGTGATGAAAGTCTGGAGTAAACGTATAGTGATGAAGGTCTGGAGTAAACATATAGTGATGGAGGTCTGGAGTAAACGTATAGTGATGGAGGTCTGGAGTAAACGTATAGTGTTGAAGGTCTGGAGTAAACGTATAGTGACGAAGGTCTTGAGTAAACGCATAGTGTTGAAGGTCTGGAGTAAACGTATAGTGATGAAGGTCTTGAGTAAACATATAGTGATGGAGGTCTGGAGTAAACGAATAGTGATGGAGGTCTGGAGTAAACGTAAAGTGATGAAGGTCTGGAGTAAACGTACGGTGATTGAGGTCTGGAGTAAACGTATAGTGATGGAGGTCTGGAGAAAACGTATAGTGATGAAGGTCTGGAGTAAACGTATAGTGACGAAGGTCTGAATTAAAAGTATAGTGACGAAGGTCTGGAGTAAACCAATAGTGATGAAGGTCTGGAGTAAACGTACGGTGATGGAGGTCTGGAGTAAACGTATAGTGATGAAGGTCTGGAGTAAACATATAGTGATGGAGGTCTGGAGTAAACGCATAGTGATGAAAGTCTGGAGTAAACGTATAGTGATGAAGGTCTGGAGTAAATGTATAGTGATGAAGGTCTGGAGTAAACGTACGGTGATGGAGGTCTGGAGTAAAAGTACGGTGATGGAGGTCTGGAGTAAACGTATAGTGATGGAGGTCTGGAGTAAACGTATAGTGATGAAGGTCTGGAGTAAACGTACGTTGATGGAGGTCTGGGGTAAACGTATAGTGATGGAGGTCTGGAGTAAACGTATGGTGATAAAGGTCTGGAGTAAACGTACGGTGATGGAGGTCTGGGGTAAACGTATAGTGATGGAGGTCTGGAGTAAACGTATGGTGATGAAGGTCTGGAGTAAACGTACGGTGATGGAGGTCTGGGGTAAACGTATAGTGACGAAGGTCTGGAGTAAACGCATAGTGATGAAAGTCTGGAGTAAACGTATAGTGATGAAGGTCTGGAGTAAACATATAGTGATGGAGGTCTGGAGTAAACACATAGTGATGGAGGTCTGGAGTAAACGTATAGTGATGAAGGTCTGGAGTAAACGTATAGTGATGAAGGTCTGGAGTAAACGTATAGTGATGAAGGTCTGGAGTAAACGTACGGTGATGGAGGTCTGGAGTAAACGTATGGTGATGAAGGTCTGGAGTAAACGTATAGTGATTGAGGTCTGGAGTAAAAGTACGGTGATGGAGGTCTGGAGTAAACGTATAGTGATGGAGGTCTTGAGTAAACGTATAGTGATGAAGGTCTGGAGTAAACGTATAGTGGTGAAGGTCTGGAGTAAACGTATGGTGATGAAGGTCTGGAGTAAACGTATAGTGATGGAGGTCTGGAGTAAACATATAGTGATGGAAGTCTGGAGTAAACGTATAGTGATGGAGGTCTGGAGTAAACGTATAGTGATGAAGGTCTGGAGTAAAAGTACGGTGATGGAGGTCTGGAGTAAACGTAAAGTGATGGAGGTCTGGAGTAAACGTATAGTGATCAAGGTCTGGAGTAAACGTATAGTGATGAAGGTCTGGAGTAAACGTATAGTGATGAAGGTCTGGAGTAAACGTATAGTGATGGAGGTCTGGAGTAAACATATAGTGACGAAGGTCTGGAGTAAACGCATAGTGATGAAAGTCTGGAGTAAACGTATAGTGATGAAGGTCTGGAGTAAACATATAGTGATGAAGGTCTGGAGTAAACGTATAGTGATGAAGGTCTGGAGTAAATGTATAGTGATGAAGGTCTGGAGTAAACGTATAGTGATGAAGGTCTGGAGTAAACGTACGGTGATGGAGGTCTGGAGTAAACGTATGGTGATGAAGGTCTGGAGTAAACGTATAGTTATTAAGGTCTGGAGTAAAAGTACGGTGATGGAGGTCTGGAGTAAACGTATAGTGATGGAGGTCTTGAGTAAACGTATAGTGATGAAGGTCTGGAGTAAACGTATAGTGATGAAGGTCTGGAGTAAACGTATGGTGATGAAGTTCTGGAGTAAACGTATAGTGATGGAGGTCTGGAGTAAACATATAGTGATGGAAGTCTGGAGTAAACGTATAGTGATGGAGGTCTGGAGTAAACGTATAGTGATGAAGGTCTGGAGTAAAAGTACGGTGATGGAGGTCTGGAGTAAACGTAAAGTGATGGAGGTCTGGAGTAAACGTATAGTGATGAAGGTCTGGAGTAAACGTATAGTGATGAAGGTCTGGAGTAAACGTATAGTGATGAAGGTCTGGAGTAAAAGTATGGTAATGGAGGTCTGGAGTAAACGTATAGTGATGAAGGTCTGGAGTAAAAGTACTGTGATGGAGGTCTGGAGTAAACGTATAGTGATGGAGGTCTGGAGTAAACGTATAGTGACGAAGGTATGGAGTAAACGCATAGTGATGAAAGTCTGGAGTAAACGTATAGTGATGAAGGTCTGGAGTAAACGTATAGTGATGGAGGTCTGGAGTAAACGTATAGTGATGGAGGTCTGGAGTAAATGTATAGTGATGAAGGTCTGGAGTAAACGTATAGTGATGAAGGTCTTGAGTAAACGCATAGTGTTGAAGGTCTGGAGTAAACGTATAGTGATGAAGGTCTTGAGTAAACGTATAGTGATGGAGGTCTGGAGTAAACGTAAAATGATGAAGGTCTGGAGTAAACGTACGGTGATTGAGGTCTGGAGTAAACGTATAGTGATGGAGGTCTGGAGTAAACGTATAGTGATGGAGGTCTGGAGTAAACGTATTGTGATGGAGGTCTGGAGTAAACGTATAGTGATGGAGGTCTGGAGTAAACGTACGGTGATGGAGGTCTGGAGTAAACGCATAGTAATGAAGGTCTGGAGTAAACGTACGGTGATGAAGGTCTGGAGTAAACGTATAGTGATGAAGGTCTGGAGTAAACGTATAGTGATGGAGGTCTGGAGTAAACGTATAGTGATGAAGGTCTGGAGTAAACGTATAGTGATGAAGGTCTGGAGTAAACGTATAGTGATGAAGGTCTGGAGTAAACGTATAGTGATGAAGGTCTGGAGTAAACGTATAGTGATGAAGGTCTGGAGTAAACGTATATTGATGAAGGTCGGGAGTAAACGTATTGTGATGGAGGTCTGGAGTAAACGTATAGTGATGAAGGTCTGGAGTAAACGTACGGTGATGGAGGTTTGGAGATAAGCTGCAGTTTACCATGAGGCATGAAATTACAGCAAAGATATCGAGTGCCGCAGGATCACAGGTTTCTTGAACGCCTAAGGGACGCAACTCTGCACATTGCGGTGCCTCAGACGACTGGGCAACGTTCCCCCTCGAGTGAGTGTGTGACTTTAACGCCACTTTTGACAGCTCTTGTATATCTTCCCGAGGCAAGGGAGTTAACTGATAAAAGTCGTTTCCTCCCGTGCCGAACTAGGCCAGAAATTCTGGGTTCTTTCGTGGCGCCACCAGTGGCTATTTCGATAATAAAGATCTATATTGTAATAAAATGGGTCTTACTTCGCTCTAGTATTGCATAGCCCCGAAACGGGAGTTCACTGGTTTAATGGCATGAGATAGCAAGATACCAACAATATGATAGTCAAAAGTGGGAGTAGTTTTATAAGGACGTAGAGCGACATATCACGATCTTGTAGTTGAAGTAAAAACTTACCTGATGATCGGGGCACTTGATTATGGACAAACACGTGGTGCCATCACCTGTGTTGTCACAGACATAGCACCACGTGGCGTCAGCTGAAACCAAAATACATTAACGAATGAACGCTTCACGCGGTTAGGTACACCCCATCTTCGATTACCCAGTGTATTACATCTCCAGAGTATTATGATAAATAACATGGTCCTATTCGCTTGTACAGCTTATTCCACTACCATAATACCATGCCTGTCTCTAGTAACTTCGCACAGAAATCCTCTAGTTCATGAGTAATTTGATTGGACGTCGTATTGTAAGCGTCGCGTAATTCGAATAGGACTCAAAAAGAAGCTGTGACGGAGAATGGATCCAGGGTATTAATCATCCTAGAATGGATACATAATACACTGGATTATCAAAGATGGGTACACTTTGTCAAGTCATGTTTGAAATAGCTAATGCGCCATTAGGGGCATTAGGTCATCAGAATTCCTGGAATGTACATCAGTTATTGATGAGTTATTATTTAGTTTAGTATTTCGATATAATTAAATCATAATGTATGGATTGGAGAAAACACGATCACGAGGTTTTGGTAGACAGAGCATGCCCTGGGGAGAGGGAAAAACCAAGGGGGCGAAGCCTCCGCGGTTTTTCCCGACCCCCAGGGCATGCTCTGTCTACCAAAACCGAGGGAAAGTGTTTTTCCATACTTATAAACCGTCTAAATTGATTAAATGTTATAACGAGCATCTATAAATGAGGCGCTTCATTATAGCGCTACCTTGAAGACGTGATATCATAACTTGCACGTGAAATTCGCTGACTTGCCAGGCGGTCAAGAGTACTTGAGCACTTGTGTCAACAACAAAACACAACTAAAATACTTACTTTTAAATGTAAGTGAAATCTTCGGTCTCAAAATGTTTGTGTTGCAATATTCCACTTCTTTTAAACTTTTCAAAACGAAAATTCGCAAATTTAAAAGGTGTCTTTTGCTTTACAAGATTTACGACTTTAAACAATCCAACTGTTACGCAGAGGTAGTTGTGACGTAACGGCTAGCAGTTACTTCACGTGCAAATTGTGCAGCATTGATAAGCACTTGTTTAAAAGCACGTGTTTTGAAACCTCGCTGTCCTTTCACCAGAGACTCTGAAGTGGAAAGATGAGCGACGACGACTTTCATTTTGTTACCCAGTCTTCATTCACTGTACACATGACATTCAATTTTAATTGAATTAAAATATTGAATTGCTACTTGTAGTCATTTTTTCAGTTACTTGGTTAAACCTGGGATTTAAGGTTTTACATTCAAAGTAAAACCTCCTGAACGAAAATAAAACCTTATTATAGGTTTTACTTTGAAAGTAAAACCTCACAATAGGTTTTAATGCCTATAGAAAGAACTCTCTTACTTAATAGAGATCCCAATGAATAGGTTTATAAAGAGAGGGAGTAAGCGTGTGAGGTAGGTTTAACGCTGCCTTGAAGAGACTGATTTACAGACTGTCGTGTCAGCTTAATATGGGACCTAGTTTCCATCGCTCTGTGGCTGAGATATTGCCGATGCTATGTAAACTTTTAATGCACTCACTCACTAATATGTGACTAAATAGAAGACTATTTTTGCTCTTTTCATCCGACAAATAAATACCAATTATTAAAACCAACGCGCATTGGAGTACTTACAGACCATAGACCATAACCACATACCATCCTGCCATGACAAAGGGATGTAATTCTGGGTTATTCTGTTTCCGGTATTTCAATGAGCCAACCCGTGACAAGCTTAAGACGAACACTGCATGACTAACGGAGAAGTATCTAGCATTGCTTACTGCACTCGTCTTGTGCTATAGGAGGTTGTCTGCATTCCAGCATGTAATGTGTTCGTTCGTCACCGTTGAATCGGTGAGGTGAAATGGGTTTCAACGTCGCGTCCAAGATTATTCCACTTATATAGCGACGTGCATGCTGTGTATGGCTGCTTGTACTAGACCGGACTAATTTCAATTTTATAGTTCTAGTCCACGGAGATACCATGCCGCAGTTTAACATGAATACCCCACTCAGACACAGTATACCGACTCCTAGTCAACCAGTCCTTTTTTATGTAAGAATAATCTCGATCGCAATAGTCGTTGAGTAGTTGTCTGCAGAAAATAACCGGCAGCGGCGACCAAAATTTCAACAACACTGTAAGCAGTCCCGGATCCAGGGGCTGCTCATAAATATCAAGTAATACACCGAAGAAAAGTAACCTATGTGGCATTACGTTGCAAGGCTCAACCTTCGTTAGAGAACTCAATTTTGTATTTCTTTAGAAGTATAAGCAGCCGTAAAAGTATTCAAAGTATATCAGTACGACTAGTAAATATGCCAGTCTGGACCAGGAAAACAGGATAACTAACATGAGCAACTATCCACAAAATCGAACAGGTCACACATTGTAACACAACCGATTCGGAGTCGGGTTTTACAATCATAGTTCCTTGAAACATACCCTGGTTCGGATTCGACACGGGGTTGATCAATAGAAGAAATGTTCTTAATGTTTTCTGTGTGTTTGTTTGTTGTTTAACGCCGCACTCAATAATATTACGGATATATGATCCACGCCGTGATAGGATGACACGCAATCAACATTAAGCCACCGAGCCTGACCACCCGATCCATTTGGTCGCCTCTTACAGCATTGGTTGCTGGGGAACAATTCCAACCCGGAATCCCGGGATAATGCTTCCTGTATTTCTGGCGACGCCGTGGGGAACGTTATTCGGATGCTTGTGTTGTTGAGAGATACTCGTGGGGTGGTCCGAGCATCATGGTGTGGGGTGGAATTGGTCTTGCAGAGGGTCGGCCCTGTAGTCTTCCAGAACATCGGTCCCGGGAGACGCATTGGTGTCACAGTAACTCGGTACATTGATCAAGTCTTGATACCGGACGCCAAACCTCATTTGGCACGTCGCCGCAACCACGAGTTTCAGCATGATAACGCCCGTGCCCACACTGCGAGAGCAATAAGAGACTTTCTCCAGCAGAATGGCATCAGAATCATGCAGTGGCCTGCCTTCGGTCCCGATTTAAATCCCATTGAGCACCTGTGGGACGAGATTCAAAGACGGCTGAATGACGTCCGAGCAAGTCCGACAACTGCAGCTGAACTGCGTCAGGCGTTCCTCAGAGTGTGGGCTCAAGTGCCTATGGCCTTCATCAACCGCCTCATCCATTCCATGTATCGACGTGACACGGCAGTCATCAATGCACATGGCGGACACACGAGATATTGACTTGTGATGTCATTTTCACAGAGACAAGTGTTGTGTTTCACTTTAAGAACATTTGACACTTAAATTTCAACCTTGATGATCAGTTTTGACAAGTTACATCCTCTCAATATGTCTAAAAGTATGTTTTCAGTGTTTGGACAAATAAGGTTTCTCATATATCTATCCATGGTGACGTTTCTTTTGCGGTTCAGTATATTTCATTATTGTTTGGTCCCAATATTTTTGTCATGAAAGATATAATTACGGGAAGAATTATGTTTTCTCGAGATGATATAATCAGTCATGCGTGACGAAAGCTCACGTGCCATGCATGGTATGCCCGGGCAGCATGCTACCGTCGAGTATCTCTAAAAGCAGTAGATCCAAACCTTAAAATTGCTTTCTTAAGCTCGGTTTTAAACAGTTATTCCATGACATTGTGTGACCATGGCACGAAGGCAATTATCAAACGCCATGGCAAATAATTGGCATGCACAACGAAGGAATGTCTTGTAATACCATTGGTCGGAATTTGGGGTATCATCACACTTTCGTAAGCCGTTTAGTCGAGAAACATGCTCAGACCTATGATGTACAGGACCGTCCCAGATCCGGAAGACCTCCTGTGACAACACATCGCGAAGACAGGGGCCTTCTTCGTCCCATACGTCGAGAATCCTTATTAACAAGTACTCGTCTGAAACAGCTGTGGTTGCAAGAACCAGAACCAGAACCGTCAGGACCACTGAGGGCTGGTCGAGTCATAAAGCGTCCCTTGTTGAGAGATCACCACAAATCTGCTCGTTTAGCATGGTGTATTGCGCGACAGAACTGGAATCTAAACTTGGAGACGGATCCATTGGTCAGACGAAAGTCGCTTTCTGTTCCACGTCACTGATGGAAGAACGAGAGGTTGGAAGCACCGGAACACCGCCTACATCCCCAGGTACATTAAACCGACTGTTGCATACGGCGGGGGCTCGGTAATGGTTTGGGGGTGTTATCTCTCATGATTGCAGATTGGATTTAGTAACCATTAGGGGCAACTTAACAGGGGCTTAGTACATCCGGGACGTTTTGAGGCCATTGGTCGTTCCTCATTTTGACAAGCACCCTCTTGCTACTCGACCTCAGTACATGGATAACAATGCCAGGCCTCATCGTTCGCATGCAGTCGTGGATAACATGAGGGGCAGTGCGATATAGACTACCCTGGCCAGCAATGAGACCAGATTTGATCCCCTTGAAAATGTTTAGGAAATTCTGGGGCGGCGCATACAGGCACCAGATCCTCCTGTACAAGATTTACGCCAATTAGAAGCAGCATTGCATCAGGAGTGGTTGTTGTTGACCCATCAACAGATCCAACGTCTGACTGGAGGCATGAGACGTAGGGTGGAATGCGTCATCCGGGCACGTGGCGGTTATACCCGCTACGGATCTGTTTCACGTGTCATGTCAAGTAGAGACTTTAAGGAACATTTTCACATGAAACATCAAACGTAACTCGTTTACTTAATCCTGCAGCTCCATACTTTTTTAAGTATTGTCTAAGGTCAAAAACAGTACCTGTGTTACCATGATTCTTTTGGTCAGTAAATTTCAATCACAACTCACCAATACCTTCTTTATTTTGTTGTCAAATGTTTGTTCTATCTGATGACATAGGTATCGCCCCGCTCCTGTGGTCAGTCATCCCATGCCATGATTTTTGCCATATGTCATGATTCAGAAATAAGGGTGTGCTTAACCTTTTTTTCTTTGTGTATATAATCTGATGATTCAAAATGATAAATGTTTACTCACTGATTTGGTGGAGAGCAGTTACTCCGATGAAAAACAGCAGCCATGGATTCTGCGTCAAGAAGATGCTACGCGATTACAGAGTTAAACGCCAGCTGAGACGGTGTAGATATCGCTTGATCTCATCCAAGCGATATCTCCTGTGGGAGCCAGTTTTGGATGATAAATCTCACCCTCGTGTCTTTTGATATCAAATATATCAACACTCGTTGATAAAAGTGGAAAAATTCCGAGGCTTGCCGAGGATTTTTGCCACTTTTATCAACGAGTGTTGATATATTTGATATCAAAAGACACGAGGGCGAGATTTTATTTATCATCCAACATCATTCTTTCAACTTTTTCAATTTGTAGACAGTAATTAGCAGTGTCTTCAGTGTAAAAAGTACTGCAAACAGCTTCAGTAGCAGAGCCATTAGTAATTTATGGTCTCTGGCGCTACTCAATGAAATCTACTTTTGTAGACGTTTGCCACTTGTGAATCTAACGTGCTCGGTTGTAATGCCAACAGGCAAAGGGTCGTTGTCAGGACGAGTCTGAGACTCGGATCACCGCGGGCCCTGCATGCAGCAACTCCATGAATCCTTGCGACGTCCATGACAATGTGTTTATGTTTTAGCTCTGTGCATCGCGTACTTCTAAAGACAATGTTAATATACATTACTCGATGCCGTATCACTGTAAGGAACGTGAAATGCAGTGATTACTCAGATTACAAAGACGCACGCTTTGTTACAACAATTCAGGCGACTATATATAATATACTTATTGCTTTGCGAGATTGCAGATGTTCTGCAGCTGGCGTGTACAGAAAGAACATTCACTTTGGACCTATTTGGGCCAGGTTTTGTTTTAGGTCTTCCAGATTTTCAGTATGACCCGACGGCCGTCTTTAAATAGCAATCTTGAACTGGTTACAATAACAGTAAGACAATGCGAGCAAAGACTTTTTACAAGGTTCTACTTGTAAATACTGACGGTGCATGTTCTCCGCATATTGACAAGTTCTGACATAAGTGACTGACCTGTAGATGGGACATTATGAACTGTTGGCTTTCTCCTGATGTGTCACGAATATTTGCCGATAAAGTCACACGTGTCACGGCCACATGTTTATGTCAGTGGGTTGTAGGACTAAAGATAAGCTATAAGACGGTCACATGGAATGTATTTCTATAACTCAAACTAATTACTGGTTTTAATTATCAAGAAACCCACAATTCTAAATTAATAATTTAAACTGCACTGGAAATTATTGAAGCTGATATATTATTTATATCAATTACAGCATCTGACAGCTGAATGAAACAACCACGTACTAATATGATGTGCCAGGGCCTATGGGTTAGTGTCAGAGCTCAGTGAGGGAGTTGGGTTTATCCCTGGTTTTAACAATATTTCAGTTATATATCAGTGAGTAAGTTTATTTGGTTTTCAGTCGCTTTCAGCAATATTCCTGCAATGTCATGGTGATGGACACTAGAAACAGGCTTTACACATTGTGGGGAATTGAACCCAGGCCTTTGGAGAGCGCGCTTGAACTACTAGTCTACGCCAATGCTGGTGGCCTCTTCCACTTACGGCTTTCCTCCCAAATTACCAAATTACGCAGACACCAAGTGATGCAGGTGTCTGACATGGCCACACCACACCACAGCAGGCACACACACTGATGTTGATCATCAGGGCCATCAGGACACTCAATCATAGGATCATGATATGTCAGAGGGACGCAACTTCTCATGGTGAATTAGGTGCCTTAAACAAAGCTCATACAGATCTGGAACACTAAAGGCAAGGCTTTCCAAAGGCTGTTCAGTCTTTAAACTGTCATTTTCAAGGCTTTTTTAGAACTCCCAGAACTGTTAATCTCAAGTTACCAATTATAACTGTATGATAATATACAAAATAAGCATTTGAGAAATATACAGTTTATTTAAACATAACATAAACCATAAAGTGTGATGAACTTGCAAACACTGATGTGCAGCCTGTGTACGTGGTACATATACATGCTACATCATATGTATTATGAAGCTAACAAACAACAGTAACAAATAACAGAATATACATGCATGTGTACAGGAGTACTTGTATATGAAGACACTGATGATGATGACTTAATATAGAAATAGTACACAATGTTTGCTTATATCAGCAATCAGTCCATTGCAATGGCATGTACCAACTTCCTCCATTGAAAAGCATCACTAATGTTCTCATGTTCACTGAGATATTATTGATAAGAAAATTCAGCAGCATTCAGGTTGTATCCTGGCAACCTGTATACAAACATGCCTCTTCCAGGTCAACCAGTGCTTCAAGCTGTATCCCGGCAACTTGTATACAAACATGCCTCTTCCAAGTCAACCAGTGCTTCAAGCTGTATCCCGGCAACTTGTATACAAACATGCCTCGGCCAGGTCAACCAGTGCTTCAAGCTGTATCCCGGCAACCTGTATACAAACATGCCTCTTCCAGGTCAACAAGTGCTTCAAGCTGTATCCCGGCAACTTGTATACAAACATGCCTCGGCCAGGTCAACCAGTGCTTCAAGCTGTATCCCAGCAACCTGTATACAAACATGCCTCCACCAGGTCAACCAGTGCTTCAAGCTGTATCCTGGCAACCTGTATACAAACAAGCCTCGGCCAGGTCAGCCAGTGCTTCGAGCTGTATCCTGGCAACCTGTATACAAACAAGCCTCAGCCAGGTCAACCAGTGCTTCGAGCTGTATCCTGGCAACCTGTATACAAACATGCCTTGGCCAGGTCAACCAGTGCTTCGAGCTGTATCCTGGCAACTTGTATACAAACATGCCTCTTCCAGGTCAACCAGTGCTTCAAGCTGTATCCCGGCAACTTGTATACAAACATGCCTCTTCCAGGTCAACCAGTGCTTCAAGCTGTATCCCGGCAACTTGTATACAAACATGCCTCGGCCAGGTCAACCAGTGCTTCAAGCTGTATCCCGGCAACCTGTATACAAACATGCCTCTTCCAGGTCAACCAGTGCTTCAAGCTGTATCCCGGCAACTTGTATACAAACATGCCTCGGCCAGGTCAACCAGTGCTTCAAGCTGTATCCCGGCAACCTGTATACAAACATTCCTCCGCCAGGTCAACCAGTGCTTCAAGCTGTATCCTGGCAACCTGTATACAAACAAGCCTCGGCCAGGTCAGCCAGTGCTTCGAACTGTATCCTGGCAACCTGTATACAAACAAGCCTCAGCCAGGTCAACCAATGCTTCGAGCTGTATCCTGGCAACCTGTATACAAACATGCCTCCGCCAGGTCAACCAGTGCTTCGAGCTGTATCCCAGCAACCTGTATACAAACATGCCTCGGCCAGGTCAACCAGTGCTTCAAGCTGTATCCCGGCAACTTGTATACAAACATGCCTCTTCCAGGTCAACCAGTGCTTCAAGCTGTATCCCGGCAACTTGTATACAAACATGCCTCGGCCAGGTCAACCAGTGCTTCAAGCTGTATCCCGGCAACCTGTATACAAACATTCCTCCGCCAGGTCAACCAGTGCTTCAAGCTGAATCCTGGCAACCTGTATACAAACAAGCCTCGGCCAGGTCAGCCAGTGCTTCGAGCTGTATCCTGGCAACTTGTATACAAACAAGCCTCAGCCAGGTCAACCAATGCTTCGAGCTGTATCCTGGCAACCAGTATACAAACATGCCTCCGCCAGGTCAACCAGTGCTTCGAGCTGTATCCTGGCAACCTGTATACAAACATGCCTCGGCCAGGTCAACCAGTGCTTCGAGCTGTATCCTGGCAACCTGTATACAAACATGCCTTGGCCAGGTCAACCAGTGCTTCGAGCTGTATCCTGGCAACTTGTATACAAACATGCCTTGGCCAGGTCAACAAGTGCTTCCAACTGTATCCTGGCGACCTGTATACAAACATGCCTTGGCCAGGTCAATAAGTGCTTCCAACTGTATCCTGGCGACCTGTATACAAACAAGCCTCGGCCAGGTCAACCAGTGCTTCGAACTGTATCCTGGCAACCTGTATACAAACATGCCTTGGCCAGGTCAACCAGTGCTTCGAGCTGTATCCTGGGAACCTGTATACAAACAAGCCTCAGCCAGGTCAACCAGTGCTTCGAGCTGTATCCTGGCAACCTGTATACAAACATGCCTCGGCCAGGTCAACCAGTGCGTCAAGCTGTATCCTGGCAACCTGTATACAAACATGCCTTGGCCAGGTCAACCAGTGCTTCGAGCTGTATCCTGGCAACTTGTATACAAACATGCCTTGGCCAGGTCAACAAGTGCTTCCAACTGTATCCTGGCGACTTGTATACAAACAAGCCTCAGCCAGGTCAACCAGTGCTTCGAACTGTATCCTGGCAACCTGTATACAAACATGCCTTGGCCAGGTCAACCAGTGCTTCGAGCTGTATCCTGGGAACCTGTATACAAACAAGCCTCGGCCAGGTCAACCAGTGCTTCGAACTGTATCCTGGCAACCTGTATACAAACATGCCTTGGCCAGGTCAACCAGTGCTTCGAGCTGTATCCTGGGAACCTGTATACAAACAAGCCTTGGCCAGGTCAACCAGGGTTAACAGCATGATCCACACCTTTAAATGACAGTCATGTCACACACTGTAACAAACCAATTCTCACTTAGTCCAGGCGACGAACAAGAATGGGGTATTGGGGACCACAGTTAAAGCAATGTTGAACTTTATCTAACAAGCACATACTGCAATATATCTTCCTATTTTCCCGTAGTCAGGGGCACGGATGGCCCAGGCATCGAAGGTTCCACAATTCACTGTGCAAAGATTGTCTTCTTGGCCTACCAGAAACCATTAATCAGAGGTTCAATTTCCAGTTCACCCGGATTATGTTTCTAGGTTTGTCAGCACCATACCCATGCTCATGGGTGAATAAAGTCTTAGACTTGCATCACTTTAGTCTTTCCTCCCTCATCAAGCTGACATGCCTTGATATACAGGTAACTGAAATACTGTTCAAAGTGGCTTGAAACTCACACACTCACTCACTCCTCCACTTCTGTAGGGTTGTTCCAGTGTCTCTGGTAGACCAGTCATCACATAATGTTGATTTGTCTGATATTACAAGCAAACATTGAGTGGTTTGGACATCAAATACTCCTGCCATTTTGAGAATGTATGGGGACGGATTTTTTCAATGAAAACAATATATTTTGATATTTTTACAGGATGATCATTTAAGTACCAGTTGATTGTAGGAGAGAAATATAATTCCATTTATTTCATAGTTGTGATTTATTGTCTTTTAAGAAGTCTGTTAGGTTTTTTTGGAACATTTCTTTGGAAGGAATTTCACATAGTACATGTATTCATAACCTTACACTTTAAATTAAAAAAGGAATTAATTTATATCAAATATACATGACAACAGGTTTAATTTTAGATTTTTTCAGTGATCAAATTAATTGAAGTCTGAATATTTCAAAGCTATATTAGCATATGAAGAATAACCTTGCACAGTCCTAAATAGGCAAAAATTATATTATTTGAATGTATTTGCAAGATCTGTATCCTTCCTTTGCCATGTTGATCTATGCTATGTAAGCAGTACATAAAACACACTGCTCATGGTTTTGGCCATCAAAACTGTGATACCCTGGAAATGTGGAAAACACTGAAAACAACAATGTGTTTTAACACAATAACAATAACAATATCTTTTGGAAATTATTCAATAATAGCTACAGAAATGTCAACCAATCTGATGAGAAAACATGTTTGTACATAGAAGCATTATTAAAACACACAACCAAAGGATTTTTGACAGGTCCATAAAGGTGCGTTACACAGACATAACATTGAATCTATCATCTGAGTTTGGCTTAGAATTTAGGGCAGGTTCCAATCTCATTTTACTCTGATACAATGCCCCACTGCATCAAGATCTGAAGACACCTCCAGATATCAGTGAACCCGAGGCCAATTTTGACCTCCCAATCTCATGGATGCATGGGTTCTTGAGCCAGTCAGATGTCAGCTTTCTAAAATGACTGCTTCATTTATCACCTCAAGTTTGACATTTTGATTTGTACATATGAAATGCAACACACAACACAAATATTCCTTCAATTGTACTCCTGATGCCACAGCATTTACAAACAGGGTGTATAACATAGCCATAATAATGAAATGGTATTTGACTCTACTTTTGGCAGTGGGAAGTCCCTGGTAATATATGTTTTCGAGACACAGAAATCGGATATGCTTGTCTGACTGCTTTGTGCACTTGAACCAGGAATTTGGAAGTCTGGATGCTGATTGGAAAGTTCACCTGATGCGTCTTCTATGGAGGTGTCCTCACAACAGTGTCATGAGAGAGTAAAATACCTGATTTTGTTGAGATTGGGGAAGGAAATAATAAAATAATTTGGTATAGATGCTAGAGATATAAACATATTGGCAGCAAACATCATCTTTGGTGCAGGAACACTGTGTGTACTCTGTGCCTCTCGACATGATACAGCTCCTGGAGTGCATCCTACAACTGATGGCACATATCCAGAACACAAAACTGTGTATGAAGGGAGTCCTGACGAATGGTAGTAACTAAGCACCCATACAACCCACAGGGGTGAGACGACAAACTCAGCCAGCCTGTCACATGCAGTAGGAACTGGTGTTCCACGATTCATGTTATAGTTGCCTCCTCCTCATCCCTCAGGTTAACACATGACAACTGAATCATCTCCAACAAGTGCAGCATCTACATCACATCTACAACACAACTAGGGCAGCCATTGTTTACAATTGCTATTAACTGTGATATTCATTCCTCCATAATAGTATCAGCTACAACAGATCCTTCACAATATACAGATTCACATCTACTGGACGGAAAACATCAAGTAAACAACATTTCAAAATGGTCCTCTCTTAGTCTTTCAATCAACAGGAAGATGTTCTTCCGACCCGCTTCTTTCAGGAGCCGAATGCATATTCAGTGCTCACTTTCAATGTCTGTTTTATGGAGAAAATTGCTATCATGATTTCATGTTTTGAAGACAGTATACCAAAAAGTGCAGGAGTTTGATAGCAAAGATAAACATTCAACGTAGGGTATTTGATCCTGCCATTTGAGGAACATTCCTCTTGATCAAAAGGCTACTTGCATTACACCATAAACAATTACCTTGAACTTATGGCAAGGAGTTTGGAAAAAGCATATGTTTGTCAGACATTTTTCTTCTTTAATTTTACTTCTTACTAATTAAGGATGATTTTTCATTAAGAAATATTTAAAAGTGTGAACCTTAATCACTCTGAGAAACTTTCCCTCCAATGATGAATTGGTAATATCTCTGACCCACTAACCCACCTCATCTGCATCTTGCACACACTGACCAACTCTCCTCCAAGTACCCCTCCATCCACGTCCACATTCAACCTCCCCATTCACTCATCAGCCTCCACCTTGCACACACTGAGGAATTCCTCCGTGCCGTCCTCCACGGCCACATCAGCTGATGGCTTCTTCTTCCAATAATCATCCAGGGTTTTGAACACACCCTTTGTATTCTTCTTGGCAAGGCCCTCTACTTCTACAAAAATAATGTGGTCATGAAGAGGAAATAAACCATTAGTAGACAGTAAACAATATAAAGTTTTGTTTGGTCCTGAAAAGACCCAGTAGAACTAGTGTTACTTGACTTACAACACTCTCATTGAAATCACTGCTAATCTATATATGCCTTCCACTTGTTTCTCCACCTAAATGCCAAAATTTCTCATCACTGAGACAACGCAATATTATCATTTATTATGCATTTTGTGATAAAACAATTTATATTGCTGTGTGAAAAAAGTTTTTCTGCTGCAACTTCACTCGGTTGACCGTAATACAAGATAAACAGTTTCTTAATTTTCATATAACATATTTATCAAATCTCTTGTCACATGACTACAACAGTCCTGAAAACATCCACTTCACCACTCATGAACTGTCAACTTTGTCAGATGAAACAAACACATTATCTGGTGGTCATATATCCTCTTGGAAAACATCACTTAAGCCTGTACAGCCAAGGTATCAGTGACTCAACAAACTTCAATTACACATAGGTTTAGAAGTTATTTTGACCCTATTCAAGTTCCTATGCTAACAGTGCAAGGAATGCATTCTCTCTCTATGCTGCACAATGGCTCGTCAAGAACTCACGCACACACTGAATTCCTGTTTGATGATGGATTGGTGAGCTAAAAGCATAATGCATAACTTGTTCATTAATTTTGAAACAGTAGGGACCTACACTACAGTTTAACAATCATCCATAAAAAATGAATTTTATTCACACAAAATGTGTTTATATTTCTTTTGAAACACAATAAAATTTATGTAAACAGGGATTTAAAAAAGATATTGTCAGATATGTTGGAAATCTGTCAGACAGAATATCTGATACCGTTTGTCAGACAGACAAATGTTGAATGATGTATTCTCAGAAAGCTTGTGCCTCAATTGCAAGTCTTACCTTTAATAACATGCCCTGAATCAGTGATAGTCTTTCCCTTCCGCCAGATCTGAAACAGGTGCAAATACGTCCCAACGTAGAACTCATTGACGACCTCCATCACTTGTCTCCTCCTATTGCACTCCCTGAACAAATAGAGAGAAACTAGCTTGTAATACATTCTTGTGAGTGAATCAGTTGCGTTTCACTGCTCATATTTCGGTGTCATTTACATTGGGGTGTCTGTTTTACATGCAGACTTGACAGAACCTATAAGCATAAGTAATCATTGATCATAATTCACGTGAATTGGGTATTTGTACCATCATCATCGGATCCTTTAACGTCTGAGAAATAGAATTCTGCATGTGCATCTTATCTCTTTGTATTGGTGGTGGTTGTAATTAATCCACGGAACACCCTAAACCTTGCACGGTCTATGTATCTGGATCATGGCAGAGCCCCACTGACCTTCACTTGTAAACTTACAAATCCTAATGTTAGTTTTATTGCTCACTTGTTGAGAAGTCCCTCCCGTAAAGTCTGGATACAGATGCGGGACATGTTGATGCCCATCACACAGAACGGGAAGTTCTGAACAGAACAACACATCCTACATACATATACAAATATCAGAACAGAGCAATAGAGAATCTTCATTTATCTGTCAAGTCACATCTAATGAAAATGTTTGAAGTCTTTCTAATTAGAACACATTTACCTGTTGCACATTAAAATGGTAAAACTTGTTTTTGTATGGTTATCAGATCTTACTGATTTTTAATTATTAAGAACAACTCAAAAGAGGAAAAGAGCAATCATCAATGAAATACTAAATATTTGAACAGCACTCACAGATTAATTATAGTAGTTTGCATTCAACCATGATGAATTAGTTATCAGAGATTTTCAGTAAAATAACATTTAAAATCATTTTCAAAAGGCAAGGTCTGCATTTCACTTCTTGTTTAATTTTTGTAGAACATTTATTTTGAGTCAAACCTGTGTGGGATGAAGAGACAGTTTATACACGTCCCGAGCAAGCTGTGCAGTTTTTGGGTTACGCAGAAAGTACAGAAGCTGCAGCAATCCCAGCATTCCTACACCGCGAACATCGGTGCCAGGGTCGCGACCTTAGATAGAATGAATAAATATCAATGATCACAGTGCCAAACTTTGAACAAATATTTTTAACAAATGTTATATTTGGTATAACACTTTTTTTAGTAAAGTACAGATTCTAGTACTGTTTGGGGTAATGTCCCATCTGGGATTCGAACCCACACTGCACGAGTGAGCACCTAATCGCCAGCACACAAAGTCAGCGACCTAACCCACAAAGCCACCGAGGCTTCCACAAAATGAAAGTCTGACAACTGGTTGTCTAGCTAACTAACTTTGTGTACCGGTACCCCTCTGACAAGTGTAAATTGGCATGGCTCCCATGGCCGAAAGTTATGAACACCAATGCCATTTAGAAAGTGGTCAAATGTAACATATGTTATATTTGGGATAACACTTTCTTAGTAAAGGACAGATTCTAGCAAAATAGAACTTCTTTGGCCCAAGCTGACATTCTTAGGAGATGTAGAAAACGACAGCACAAACATGAGGCTAAAAAGTAATCTTAGTTATCTTTGCTCATGTTCAAATATTACAAAATGATTTCCTGAAAACCTCTTTTAGTTTGCAAAATCAGCCATTTTCACTAACCACACTTAGGTACTTGATCAAATAAGAGGTACAAACATGTTTTGTCTTGTTTCTTTATTAACACTGCACTCAGCAATGTTCCAGTTATATGACGGTGACTTTTACTAATAAAATCTGGACCCGACAAACCAGTGACTGACATCATGAGCATCGATCTATGCAATTGGGATATGATGACATGCATATATCAACTCAGTGAGCCTGACCACCCGATCTCGTTACATCTGCTCTTACGCCAAGCATGGGTTGCTGAAGACCTATTCTAACCTGGATCTTCAAGGGTGTGTATAACATAAGATAGTTTTCATACCAAACTATTTCATGTTGCTTAGATTGCAAGTCAATTTGACATCATCCTCAGTTATCCAGTGTATCATATCTGCATTCTATTATGATAAATACCCTTTACACTTTTCTTTCATGATTGAAACAAGGGGCAATATTACCAACACTTGACCCGCCTTCATGTGTGCCTTCTCAAATCCAACAGAGAGCATCTTGTAGAATGAGGACATCCTTGTTTTTATAGTCAGGAATACACCTTTTCCCTCTTAAAGGTCATTCATAACTTTTGATTATACACACCCTAGGCAGATCCAGAGGAAGGCCCCCCCCCCATCCCCCCCATCCCCCCCCTCCTTTTGAAAACCAAATGTAGTATGTTGTTGGCAGTAGAATTATCTGAGAGAGGATTTGGATATTGTGGACCCCTCCCTTTTAAGAATGTTGGATCCGCCCTTGCATACTACTTAAAAGAAGTTAAAGCACACCTGACATGACAAGAACTGTAGTTATGTGAAGATATCAGGTGTACTTTAACTTCTTTTGAGTAGTATATATTGAGAACTCTCTTGTACAAGGCTGTGATTATGAATGTTAATATTTGCCTGACTCACACTCAGATGAGGAAATTTTGATTGGTTGATGATTTCAGGATAATGAGCGAGAGAGTTTCTGTGTTAGTGATAAGAGACATGGAGATGGTGAGGTCCATTTTCCCAACCAAGCTGTAGTGGCGAATGGGTCCCGGGTATATGTCATATAAGAATGAACGAATATAATACACTGGATAATCAAGGGTGACTTTATAAAGGGATAGAGTCTACGACCTTGAAAACCAATCTCCTCCCAGTGACTGCCGAAGCGCTGACAATCGAAGCGAGATCCTGTGAGAGTGCGGTAGATGGACTGAAGGATGTGTACATGTGTTCTGTCCTCATTGTCCAGCTGAGCTACAAGGTAAAGAAGGATACACATGACACTGAGAAACTGAGAAAACATTTTAGTAGGAACCTACAATGTCAAGGTAACTGATTTGAAGAGTTACATTGTAACCACCTGACCCCTGGTCTAGTCTTACAAGTGTCAACAAGCATGGGGTTTGAGGCATCTGTCCAGCCCCAGAGTAGACAGCAGGAAACTAAAGGAGACAAGGTAACTGATTTGAAGAGTTACATTGTAAGCACCTGACCCCTGGTCTAGTCTTACAAGTGTCAACAAGCATGGGGTTTGAGGCATCTGTCCAGCCCCAGAGTAGACAGCAGGAAACTAAAGGAGACACTATTTGCATATACTGGAGTGTATTCTGTTGCCATGGGGAGATGAAGCTGCTGTACCCAGTGTTAGAAATTGGAGCAAAAGGGTCCTGGAACACTGTCGCTATGGTATTTGAATCTCATTTGCCCATTTTATTCTAAATCTTTTTATAGCTTTGTTGGCTGAAAAATACTTGTTGGAAGGTGGATAATAAATAACGATAACAGTGTCAACTTGTTATCAACATGCTCAACATTTTGTGTGATGACTGCATTAGGCGAACTAAACACAATAATTCTATTCACAGTCTTTTTTAATATATTTTAGCATGTCAAGGGTTGTGGAATCTGTAAACCAACTAAAAAGCCAAATCTTGGCTTAGAAATATGACATGGACAATATTAATTAGACATAAAAAAGACTTGTGTATTCAATAACATGAGGATTTATGCTTGGATTTTGACAAAACTTAGTATACATAATTTCTTATGGGGTTTTTGATTGCATCAACCTTTGTATGTCTTTCACGTAAGGTCATTAGCATCATTAGGATTCAAATTTTGCAAAAATGATTCAAATTCATTGACATTTTTTATTAAATTATGAAAAGTCAAACATTTTCCAACTGCACGTGATTGGATGACAATGAAGGTCAAGGTTGCTAAGTGTGGAGTAGACATCCCTAAAAGCTTGTGTACACAATATCTTGACTATCATTCTTAATTTTGACCAACTCTGACATCAATGACAGAATTCAATACATACTTAATTCTGTAGCAATTCACATCTTTTTAAATATACTACAAACTGATATTGATCAACACTGCAGCTTCATCTGAAGTCATCCTTCAGCCTCAATGGGGGTACTCGTGACACTATGGAAGGTAAGTACAGGCTTCGCTTTCCTGTTCTTTCAAACTGTGAATACCTCCAACACAAGTTTACCTGACTAAGAGGTTCAAACTCTGATCTTGTGTCTGTTTTCAGGCCTACAATGAAATCCCTGCTTACAGAATATGCAGTACTATTGAGATTAGCTGCCACGCTTTTCAATGTCAAAGTGGTGTAAGATTTTCTTGGTTTGTTAACAAGTCCTGTACACTCACATCCAGCCACACAGAAGATGAGGTCTCTCTCGGGTAACAAGTCTCTGTGTATCTTGGGCGGGCCAAACAAGAAGTGTGCCAATGCCGACAACCCATGCCTATCAATGGACGTCCGCACGTTTGGCTGTAACAAATACATGAGGACATGTTAAACACAAAGTTTACATATTGTCTGTGCCAAATAAGTTTTGAGTCTACAGTCCAAACTTGTATTTTGCCATTATTTTCAGTGTTTTTCTGTCTTAGTATAAAGACAGTGTAAACTGTCATCATTACTCATTAAAGAACCTAGCTGTAATTACTGAATCCCATCATCTATTCATCCTTTACGTAGGTTTTTGTGTATGTCACTAGTGGGACCTACGGATCATCCTATAAGAAGGGTCAGCCACTGTGCGATAAGTATTCATATTTTTCAAGTTATTCAAAGTATACTCAAGGACATGGGTGGCCCAGCTGTCTAAGGCACTTCAATTTGTTGTCCAGAGTTGCATCCCTAAGGACACCAGAATCCTGAGTTACCCTGATTCAATTTCTAGGTTTGTCAGAAGCTGACAACCCATGTTATCTCTCTAAGTGATTTGAGAATGAAATATGCTTGCCTGAATGTTTCACTCACTCCTACCAAGACTGAAGAGTGTCAACCCTGATGGTCCGACCACCTGACAAGAGCTTCAATTGAGGTGTCCTCACATATTCATGCAGAAGTAACTTATCAGAGTGAAAGATCTGATTGTATAAGGTTTTTGACATCAGATAGCAGCGGTAGAAACTGACAGTTTTCGTCCACAAGTCCATATAAAGATAACATATTGCAAAACCCTTAAAAAGGGCCAATTTCTACTAGACCTTGTGATACCTTAACTATTGGGCAGTTTGGCAAGGACTATCGGACTAGTGCCAATTTCTAAAGCTGAGATAGTCTTCAAATCAGTAAAGATGGACATATTTCTTTCTCATATAAAGTCTGAATGTGTATTTGTGTAATCTTAAAATGACATCAATAAGTGATTTTGGAACATTAATCAGCTTTTTTTTACACGGATTACATCCAAATTACAATATATTCATGCAGTTTTTCTCCAAAATATGTCATGTGATACATATAACATATCATGAACAAAGCATTGGGATATGTGTTATGTGATGACCTGAATATATTTTCTAACCTTCACAGCGGAGAGATCCGACTTCCTGAAATGGTCAACGGCTTCCTGGGCAGAGAGCAGGGGGGTCTGGCAGGCCTGGTTCGTGCTGCCTGGAAGTGTGGACGGGATTCATAAAGTTTGTCGCATGTTGGGCTAGAAGTTCGCACATTTACAACCATCTTTGTTCACCCATTATTTAGTAGCAAAGCATTTTGGCTATTTGATAGCAATGAATTCTAGCCCATAGGCACTGAAAATGTCTTCATTACTGGTCCATGGTCATAATCAAGATGATCATCATAATAAATGTTACTCTTTGTAGTTTCTTGAAATTTTACTCCGCTAACATGGTTAAGAAAGGAAACTACCCAGCAGCTACCTGGTAACGTTGACTGTCTTTATACTTAAATATGCATAGATTTGAGAATACATTGAAAATTACATATAACATGTTGCTCAAGACCAACAGACATTTACAGGGAGAGTGTATCTCACTCTTATTGATGTGACAATAATTCGAGGACCAACAAACATACTGTTGAAATAGACATCAGTGGTAGCCTTTTGTGATGACATTGTTCCAGGTCCAATGCACTATATGATATTATAAAGTGGATCAGTGGCCTTTTGTGATGACAGTGTTTCATGTCCAATATAACACATGATATTGAAGTGGGGATCAATGGCCTTTTGTGATGACAATGTTTCAGGTCCAATACAACACGATATTGAAGTGGGAATCAATGGCCTTTTCTGATGACAATCTTACAGGTCCAATGTACAACATGATATGGAAGTGGGGATCAATGGCCTTTTGTGATGACAATGTTTCAGGACAAATGTACTACATGATATTGAAGTGAGGATCAATGGCCTTTTGTGATGACAATGTTTCAGGTCCAATGTACAACATGATATTGAAGTGGGGATCAATGGCCTTTTGTGATGACAATGTTTCAGGACAAATGTACTACATGATATTGAAGTGAGGATCAATGGCCTTTTGTGATGACAATGTTTCAGGTCCAATGTACAACATGATATTGAAGTGGGGATCAATGGCCTTTTGTGATGACAATGTTTCAGGACAAATGTACTACATGATATTGAAGTGAGGATCAATGGCCTTTTGTGATGACAATGTTTCAGGTCCAATATACTACATGACATTGAAGTGGGGATAAATGGCCTTTTGTGATGACAATGTTTCAGGTCCAATATACTACATGACATTGAAGTTGGGATAAATGGCCTTTTGTGATGACAATGTTTCAGGAACAAATATACTACATGACATTGAAGTGGGGATCAATGATCTTTTGTGATGACAATGTTTCAGGTCCAATATACCACATGATATTTAAGTAGCAATGATAGAATTCCATGACAGATATTTCAGATCATACAGGAACTTCTAAAATTCTTGCATCATGACATGTTACCTTACAAAGCCAGAAAACATTAACTACCTTCTGTTGCACTCTTGTTCTCCGCAAACTCTGAAAGCACATAATGATAAAAGCAGTGATCAGGGTTTTATGCAAATAATTACATCCTATACACATAAATAATAGCGCCATGGCACTAACAATGATGACGGACAAAAAGGCAATGACATTAACTCACTTGACAAGTCAGGTAATATTACCATCACACCAAAGTAGTTCTATCCCGTTCTAAACAAAATACTAGAACGGGCTGTGATCACGGTAGAAAGCGTAGTTTGGCGTAAAATTTGATTCTAGTTCGTTCATAAGCAGTCCTGAATACGTCTACCTCGTTCTTATCTTGTTCTTAGCCAGTCTGCAGTCTGTTTGTATCCAGTTCAGATCCTGTAAAAGTACCCGTTCACCTCAACCCGACAACGTTTCGAAGCAGTTCGAGCACGTCCGTAGCCATTCTCAACCCGTTCTTAACCAGTTCAACCTCGTTCACAATATGTCCAAGACAGTTCTAACTAATTCTTAACCCGACCAACTCTTTTGCAGTATGTGCTCATCTCGTCCCAAGTGCGTGTGTATTTGTGTCCTGGCCCGACTCCTATGGATAGGAGCTAGTCTTCATTCAAGTTCAGGGCTCCGAGCTGTACACATCATGCCTCCAAAGAGAAGTCAACCTGGTCCGTGTGCACACGTACTGAAATTTATGTCGGACTGCACCACGTCGTAACTCATCACCCTAGTAGATTCGAAGTACGGCAATTCCGTTCGAAGTACGGCAATTCCGTTCGTAATACGTCTTTCTCGTTTTAAGTACGTTGTCAATCCGACTAATTGCAGAACGGGATGGACGGGATAATATTTTGAGCAGACTCAAAGTTCTGGAGCACCCTCCCCATCCATGAAGTACGTAAAAAGACTGTCAATAGTTGCTACTACGTCCACTATGTTCATACAAAGTTGGACCCCTTTCGACAACATTTTCACGAACATTTTGAGAACTTGTTTGGTGTCATGGGGGCATAAACTAAAACCAAAAATTGACATAAATAACATCTATAGCGAGACTCATTGGACACAGTGCATGGATGTTGGAATGACTGAAACCAAACAAATTGAAAAAAGTACATTGGATTTTTCTGAGATTTTTGTTCTGATAAGAAACATAATCAATTTTTGTCATCAGAAGATGACAAATCCCTTCGGCCCCCACAATAGCTAAAAGCACCACTTCAGAACCTGGTTAATACGTGTACCAATTTGGATGAAAAATATTCCATGTTTTTTAAGTTACGCTCCATAAACAAAATATGGATGGATAGACAGCGATTGGCGGACAGACAGACAGACCAAACAATGACTACATGGGGATAAACAGGAAATCCCTTTCTGCAATATGCTTAATGTGCATCTTATTTGCTGTTGGTTCTGTGGTGCTGGATTGTATTTATTTCAGATTTATCAAGCACCTACCTTATTGATGTATTTATCAAGCACCTACCTTATTGATGTATTTATCAAGCACCTACCTTGTTGGTGTATTTATCAAGCACCTACCTTGTTGGTGTATTTATCAAGCACCTACCTTATTGATGTATTTATCAAGCACCTACCTTGTTGATGTATTTATCAAGCACCTACCTTATTGACGTATTTATCAAGCACCTACCTTGTTGATGTATTTATCAAGCACCTTCCTTATTGATGTATTTATCAAGCACCTACCTTGTTGGTGTATTTATCAAGCAACTAAATTATTGATGTATTTATCAAGCACCTACCTTGTTGATATATTTATCAAGCACCTACCTTGTTGGTGTATTTATCAAGCACCTACCTTATTGATGTATTCATCAAGCAACTAACTTATTGATGTATTTATCAAGCACCTACCTTATTGATGTATTCATCAAGCAACTGACTTATTAATGTATTTATCAAGCACCTACCTTATTGATGTATTTATCAAGCAACTACCTTATTGATGTATTTAATCAAGCAACAACCTTATTGATGTACATACACTTGTATTTCTCATTTCAGGTTGCTTGAGATACTTAAGTAGTTGTTAGCTAAGCATCATCAGTAAAGCCCTAGTCTTTTGTTAGTGTCAGCTCATGGGACCAGTCCACTGCAATGAAGGGTAGACAGGTATATCTTTGTCGATCAATCAAAGTTAAAGCTTGGGTGTGTTGCTGATTAGTTAGGTTTAAAATCTCAGTGTCCTACTTTTAAGTTCTTTGTTTTCACCACTGCACTTTTCACTTACACTTCTCTCTGTAGTGGGGAGATAAGACAAGCAATGGAAAGGTTGGTAGTCAAAGTTATCATTGTGTTTGTTTCATGCCAGAATGATACATAAATCACTGTAGGTAAGCAAATATCTACATCTCATTAATAGTATTTCAGTATGTTACATATACTAGTGTTTGTGTGGCAAGTGTATGTGTACTCGCAGGGCTCAACTTGGCTATAGAAACATGTACCAGTGTAACCTATTACTGAAAAATGCTGCCTCATATTTATGTCCTAATGCACAAAGTGCACATAAAAAAAAGTTCAAAGTTAGCCTGACGAACCCTCACTTGTCCACACATCCATCTAACACATTCAGTACCTCTAAGTGTTGTTTTCCATACTATATCCCAAATCTCTGTGTTATCCTAATTTGTCATGCTTTTGTGTGCATGACATCATAAAATTGTGTGTACATTTAACAGCAATACTTGTAGAATTTTCCTATTCGGAATATTCTATAAGTAATACGTTACCACTGTTATACCGAGGATGTTGTCTCCCACAACTGCTGCTATAGCGAAATCTACCACAGAGATCTCAATTACCTCATGCAGCACGTGCGTAGCCACCTAGCTGCCATGTGACACCCTTCACTCTTGTCTCCTGCGAGAGCATGTGCTCGGGGGACGGACGGGCGGGCAGCAGCCCAGTGGTAACGTATTACTTATAGAATATTCCGAAAAGGAAAATTCTACAAATTACATTGTCATACGTTACCACTGTTATACTGAGGCTGACTACCACAGTAGGCGGTGGGGAGCACCTACAACCCAAATCCTGACTGCTAGCATTCCTTCCGACCAGCGGAAGTAAACACCAAGGCCGAAGCACTCGATGCGCATGCACCTAGCTAGGCGTTACCCTAACTCCAAACGGCCCCACTGGATAGGTATTTCATCGCCGCAGCGGATGAGAACACTGTATCCGCGTGAGCTTAATCTTAGATCAGGTTAAACAGTCGAAAAGAGGGAAATTAATTTCATTCAGACCGTATATCCCAGAGCAAGCCTACTTAAAGTATGCATTAGGCGCGTGACCTAATTCCAGTATTTGTAAGCATGCATCACAAGGTTGGGATACACGACAGACAATTAAATACATAATTGTCAAAATACAAATAAGGACAAAGCACACAAAAAGCCGCCCTCACCTGTGGTGTGAGTGCGCTGGTTTGCGGGACCCCAACTCCTGTACCCACGGCAGTGGGAACATTGGAGTCGACCCAGATTGACCACCGTGCAAGGTCTGACGCCTGAGGAGTTCGGAATTGCGCTGGGCACACCCCTTAGGTGCCCGCTTGCGCCGCGATCCGCGGGCCAAGACGGTGCACACTCTCCACGACGGCATCAGCGACCTGTTTGAGGTAATGATTGGCAAAAACCGAGTCAGAACGCCAGTAACAACCTCGTAATATTCTGCGAACAGAGATATTCGAGTGTAGGGCAAATGTTGCCGCTAGCACCCTGATCTCGTGCGGGTTTGACCCCGCTACCGGTAACCCCCGAGACCGGTACGCCAGATTGATGACAGAACGAAGCCACACCGCAATCGAGTTGCGAGTTATGTCAACCATCAAGAGATCCGGTCTCACAGGCAGTGGAAGTGGCGACTGCGTGACCTGGGTCAGCAAGTCGGGATACCACGATCTGTTCGGCCACATAGGCGTGATCAGTAACATTCAACAGCGAACTCCTAGGAGCCGGCTTAGAATGTGTGGTATCAACGCTGTCGGTGGGTAAGCATAAGTGTCCAAGCCTGTCCAGTCTAACGCGAGAGCATCGTGATCGATGGCCCTCGGGTCCGGGACTGGTGATACAAACAACGGGAGTTGATTGTTGAACCGCGTTGCGAACAGGTCGACCATCGGACGACCCAATCGTTTGCACAGCCACTGAAACACGACTGGGTTCAGCATCCACTCTGTGGGGCTCGGATCCTGAGGCCTCAATAGAGCATCGGCCAGTACGTTCCGCACACCTGGGATGTGACGGGCGCGTATCTGGCACGGGACACTGTCCACCAGAGAGTAAAACTCGAACGTGAGATCGAGTAGCGAGTGACTGTGGGTTCCCCCCAGTTTGTTCACATAGGACACTACCGTCGTGTTGTCGGTCGCCAGCATGAGCCGGGAGCGACGAGACGATGCTTCCAGTGATTGACTGCGTTGATCACTGCCTTGAACTCGAGATAATTGATGTGAAGACCTAGTTCGTCTACGCACAACAGCCCCGAGCTCACCTCCCCCTCTAGATGGGCGCCCCAGCCCACTAGAGAGGCGTCTGTATACAGGTTCAACGTGGCCCGGTAGGGCCGCATAGAGACTCCTGATAAGACATTGTAAGGGACCGTCCACCACTCCAGATGCGGTTCTGAGAAGGGGTTAACTCGCTCTTGGGGAGATTGACAATCCACCCCAATTGCTCCAAGAGCCGACGTGCGAAAACGAGATGGCGTGACAGGGTGTCCGTCATTTGATTTGCTACTAGCGAGTCGTCCAGGTACGCGAAGTACCGGACACCCCTCCAGTGGAGGAACCCCACTATGGGGGTGGTGAACCGGATGAACAGCCAGGGAGCGGACGTGTGAATCATTCTGAGTTCGGCACTATCCTACTTTGGAACGAGAAATATCCTGGAGTAAAACCCCGGTGTTATTTCTGGTAGAGCTAACTCCCGTACTGCCCCTTCTCCACCAACCTGCCGATGGCATCGGCGAGGATGGGAAGATCAGTTTCCGAATAGAAACCTGCCAACGGGGCAACGGTGAGCGGCGGATTCGCTTTGAGATCAAGCCGATAGCCGTACCGAATCGTGTTGACCACCCACGGGTCGTCGAACACTTGTTCCCAATTCTCCAAGTAAGTCTGGAGTCTGGCTCCCACTGGGGAAGGAGAGGGGGCCCTGACAGGCTGCGGCAGACGCAACTGTCCAGGGCCAAGTGACTCGGGTTCGCCTAAGGGCCAACCGAAGTTGGCGCTGTCGGCATACGAACCCCTCCAATGAGAGTCACCTGGAGGGGCCCTTGCCGTCCTTAGGCGACTTGGGCTTCCCCCAGTTCCCCGTCTTCCCGCGAAAGGGCAGCTGATTGCCCATACCGGAGCCCTCAGGGCGGGGCTTCTTCCCAGAGGAAGAAGAACCCGACCCCTTAGACCTACCGGCCGCAGCAGCCTGGGGCGCGCTCCGGTTAGGAGCGGCACCCAGGCGCCTTTGCAGGGACCCAACAAGAGCAAGTGTGTGCCGAGAGTCCTCGGCAACGTACTCCAGGGAAGCATTTAAACTGAGCAGGCAGTTGTAAATGCGCTGGTCACGGTCCATGGGAGAACCTTCGACCAGACTGGCCGCTGCAGCCAAGTAAGTGTCTCCGTGAGACATGGAGTGCCGAGCGAGGGCGTCCAGCTGGTGCAAGGTAGCTTGCGTTACCGTTGCAGCCGGTGGGGCACGGACACCCAACCGCTCAACATGGGCCTCCGCGGTAGGACCAGCCTCGGGAAAGGCAAGGTCATGAACCGGGAATAAACTCTTTCTCCACGACGTCGGAGGCAACGGGAGACCCCGACCGGAGGCCGCCGCGAAGGCGTTCTCCAAGGAAGGCTTGATACCGCGCAGCAAGGTTGATGCGGGGAAAGCCGTGTCGGAAGACTCATCGTATACCTCGGAGGAACCCACAGTCGTGGATTCCCCGCGGTACCGGCAGGGGCCGTGGCATGTCCTCAAAGAGGTCATAAACCATGGCCACGCGGTCCTTAACCGATAGCGGGAGCAACGGTTCGGGGGAAGGACCGGTGTCCACGGGACCCCGCGTCCGACCCCGCGGCCATCGAAGTGGCCGGGGACGGAACAGCCAGCGGCCGATCCTGAGATAAGGCCGCCAGCTTGGAGTCCACAAGTTATGCAAGTAATGCAGCGACGGAATCCCCGGACAGCCCACGGGCCGCCAAGGGATCCGCCGCAGCCGTGGTGGTGGTACCCGCAAGGGGACCCCGACCGGACGAGCCGGCCACCACAGGGGTGGAAACGGACTGCACATACAGCCGGTAGCACTCGCTTGCGGCACACCCCGCAGCTCCTGGTTGCGGGGGTAGAGGGGGTGGAGGACGGCGAAACATCCATGTCAGACATTTTGTTTGTACTATGAACAAAGAGCAAAACATGGTTACAACACACGCACCACAAATAGTCACAAACGAGTATTTTCACAAGAAAATAAACGAGCAAAGGGAATATAGAACATACACATATAACATATAGAGGAATAAGTGATGTAAAAACCCCAAGATATACTAGAACAGGGGAACGTAAGACGCAACGTGCATACGAGACACCCCGCAAGTATATAGAAAAAAAGGGCGGGAAAAATATTTCCTTTTGGCGGGAAAAATATTTCCAAGCGTAGTTACAGCAAACGCCCCGTAAAAGCACAGTTTATTAGAGAGAATAAACAGTAATAAATATCACCGAATGGTCAGAGAAACAGGAACGCTTGAGCAGTTTATTGTACGTCTTGCTAGAGCAAGCGAAGAGACAAGAGTGAAGGGTGTCACATGGCAGCTAGGTGGCTACGCACGTGCTGCATGAGGTATTTGAGATCTCTGTGGTAGATTTCGCTATAGCAGCAGTTGTGGGAGACAACAGCCTCGGTATAACAGTGGTAACGTATTACTTAATGTAATATCATCACATTAATGTGACACGGGCAGCGGGCTAGCCCATGTTTCAGCTTTGACAAATTTATGGGACCAGGGTGCAACCTGGTTTTGTCTGGTGCAACCGGGCTTTTATGTCAACAGGCTCCTGGTGCAAGTTAAATCAAGTTTGTTAACTTGAGGCCTGACTAGATTTCATTCCAATTCATTGTATGCACGTTTGTGTTTTGGTCTTGGTGCTAATTGGATAAATTTGTGTATTCAGTAAGTTGGCATCCATAACTGTCTTCCTTCAGCAACTTGTATTGTGTATTCATGATTTGATGATAATCTACATGTGATTTCTACACGTGTAAATAGCAATGTCTTCAGCATTTGTTTTGTCATCAGGACTTTGCTGTACCACTAAGATACACCCCTGTGGGATTCACTGGTTAATATATCATGATATATAGACACATCAGAGCAGTCATTACAATCCACAGACATGACAAATTATTACTTCATCCTGTGATTATAGTTATACCCAAACACACTAGCATTGCACAGACTGTTATCATTAAGTGATTTAACTCACCAGCTTGTATTGTGGTAACATTCTCCCAGTCATCAGAACTCTGAAGTTCAGGAACTCTCTGTCAAACAGAAATCAAAGTGGACACCTTTAGAAATTGTATTAAGGTTTCGTATTGAAAGACTAGATGAAAGTAAGTCAATCTCGTTGAAATCAAGTCTTTTACTCGATGCCCAGAGATTTATCTAGGGTTCCAAACTAGTGAGTTAGGTTTAACGTCACTTTGAACAGTTATAGTTATATCACAGCGTGTCCGCTTAATGTGTGAGAAAAGCCCAAAGTAATGCAGAACTCAGACATTTATCACTTTGGTGAAACCCACGAGCACAGGAATGGTGATTCCAAACAAAGTGCAAAACTGGGATGAAACAACAAAGTTAGTTGACAAAATAAGGAGTAAAGAATTGAATGAAAACAGTTCCGAAAACTTCTCATATTTCAAGCTGTGTCAAATAGTATAAGAGGTATCAACAGAACAAGATGGTTGGTTGGTTGGTCGGTTTGTTGTTTAACGTCGCACTCAGCAATATTTCAGCTACATGACGGCGGTCTGTAAATAATCGAGTCTGGACCAGACAATCCAGTGATTGACATCATGAGCATCGATCCACACAAAATGGGGATAGATAGTATCTTTGAATCCTGTCATGGCCAACTATGGTTAACTCTGTCAGAAGTCAGAGAAAAGTCAGTAACAATGAAACCCATTTCTAATCCTTCATGACTAATGTTCATTTGAATGAGCAAGCTTGTTGAAGAGGGGACTCATCGGTGACTTGCTAAATTGTGTGTCATCATACAATGTGGATCATTGCTCATAACATCAATCTCTGGTCTGTCTAGTCCAGACTTGAATACTTAGAGGCAGATGTAATATAGCTGGAATATTGGTACAGCAGTAAAACAAAGAAACCCCAACAAGACTTACTTGCAGCTTTTCCTCAGAATTCATGGTGTCCAACAGAGGCTGTGGGGATGAAGAACTGGTCACACTGGAGGAGATGGACGGTAGCCCAGATGATACAGGAGGGGCGGTTTCCCCGCCTGGGGGTACAGCAGTTGGACTGCCAACCCCTGTGTGTGAAGGCAATGTGGTGGGGATGTTCCCTTGAGATGGGGCTGTAACATTAGGCTGCTGTGGTGCAGGGACGGCAGGTGGAGTGGGTGGCACTTTGGGACTTGAGGCTGGTGATGGAGATGATTCTGATACAGGTTGTGAAGGCAGAGCAGTTGGATCTTGGGTCATTTTTGACAGACTTGCAGTGATATTTTTTTTTGATAAATCAGTGCAACCACTTTTATTCGGATGATCTGGTACCTCGAACTCGGAATCAGACTCAGACTCCTCTTTCTGAACAACTTCCTGTTCTGCATATTCATCTTCAAACTCAGAGCCGGAATCATCATCTTCACCAGAGTCTCCAGACTTCTTGGCAGATGACACAATATCGAGACGAGTATTTTCTGGGATAGGGCCAGATTCAACAATCACATCTGTCGAAGATCGTACACTCTCTCTCAGTAAATTCTGAAAGAAGTAAATATGACAAGATCAGAGCAATTGTCACTTCTTGCAGAACTAAATTTTGATGTGATTGCTTTCACAAATGCGCAAAAGTCAGTGCCACATATGCAATGTTTCTACTGTTAAACATATGCTAAATAAAGGAACAGTACATTGATGGTTCTGTGTGTTATTAAATCATGCAAAAAAATATTTCCAAGTGTTATGTCCGAGTCAATTCTCAAACCAAAACAACAGCCCTGAACAGCGAAGTCAACAACATAAGTGCTGCAAAGAGTAAACTGGCTTCAGTCATGTTTTTTATTAGAGGCAAATTGAAGAGAAAGCTTGTGTATTTTTCTAACAATGCTTTACAAAAACAATGCTTCAGAACGGCCGATGTCCTGTCCCTTTAAACAGTAGAAAGATATGTCACATATCAGTGAGCGAGTGAGTCTGGTTTTTACGCCACTTTTGGAAATATTATAGAAAGGCAACGCCAGGGAACACCAGAAAATGGCTTCACGCGTTGTCATCATGTGGGGAATTAAACCGAGCATTTGGTCATGACAAGCCAACATTTTAAACAACTAGGCTGCCCCACCACCCATTACAAGTCAGTGAGTGGAGCACACGAACAGAGGATAATTCTCCAAGGATTCAAAATGTAAAATGAAGTAACACATAAGTTTGTTTTTAACGTGTGTCCTTTTCATTGTTTTCTGTAATTATTTTAACATGACCCTCACCCTCATACTATCTGATTCGTTTCAGCCCATCGGCCCATAAATAAACAAGCATGAAATACTCACATCCCCCGCCAATATGACATGTCGGGTGTGTGCAATGCATTAGATCCTGTGAACTATGTTCACTGGGCCTTTTTGTAAAGAAATATAGTATGTTTTTCAAGATCTGTTCCGGAAACAAGGACTACCTCCATTTTCAGTCTAAATCGAAGTTGTTGCCATGGAAAATAAAAAAATAACTTTAAAAAAAAATCCAAAACTATCCAACGGCACCAGTTCACCACTAGACCTATCAATGTGCAAATATGGTGAAGAAAAATGGTACGGTTTTCAAGATCTGCTCCGGAAACGAAGACTACTGCCATTTTCAGTCTAAATCAAAGTCGTTGAAATGGAAACGCAAAAAATAACTATTTTAAAAATCCCAAACTATCAAAAGGCACCAGTTCACCACTAGACCTATGTGCCAAGTATGACGAAGAAATATGGTACGGTTTTCAAGATCTGCTCCAGAAACAAGGACTACTGCCATTTTCAGTCTAAATCAAAGTCGATGCCATGGATACTCGAAAAATAACTTTTTTTAAAATCCCAAACTATCAAAAGGCACCAGTTCACCACTAGACCTATCAATGTGCAAATATGGTGAAGAAAAATGGTACGGTTTTCAAGATCTGCTCCGGAAACGAAGACTACTGCCATTTTCAGTCTAAATCAAAGTCGTTGCCATGGAAACGCAAAAAATAACTTTTTTAAAAATCCCAAACTATCAAAAGGCACCAGTTCACCACTAGACCTATCTATGTGCCAAGTATGACGAAGAAATATGGTACGGTTTTCAAGATCTGCTCCAGAAACGATGACTACTGCCATTTTCAGTCTAAATCAAAGTCGGTGCCATGGAAACTAAAAAAATATTGTTTTTAAAGATGCCAAACTATCAAAAGGCACCAGTTCACCACTAGATCTATCTATGTGCCAAATATGGTGAAGAAATTTGGTACGGTTTTCAAGATCTGCTCCGGAAACGAGGACTACTGCCATTTTCAGTCTAAATCAAAGTCGTTGCCATGGAAACGCAAAAAATAACTTTTTTTAAAAATCCCAAACTATCAAAAGGCACCAGTTCACCACTAGACCTATCTATGTGCCAAGTATGGTGAAGAAATATGGTACGGTTTTCAAGATTTGCTCCGGAAACGAGGACTACCGCCATTTTCAGTCTAAATCAAAGTCGGTGCCATGGAAACTCGAAAAACAACTTTTTAAAAAATCCCAAACTATCAAAAGGCACCAGTTCACCACTAGATCTATCTATGTGCCAAGTTTGGTGAAGAAATATGGAACGGCTTTCAAGATCTGCTCCGGAAACGAGGACTACCGCCATTTTCAGTCTAAATCAAAGTCGGTGCCATGGAAACTCGAAAAATAACTTTTTAAAAAATCCCAAACTATCAAAAGGCACCAGTTCACCACTAGACCTATGTGCCAAGTATGACGAAGAAATATGGTACGGTTTTCAAGATCTGCTCCAGAAACAAGGACTACTGCCATTTTCAGTCTAAATCAAAGTCGATGCCATGGATACTCGAAAAATAACTTTTTTTAAAATCCCAAACTATCAAAAGGCACCAGTTCACCACTAGACCTATCAATGTGCAAATATGGTGAAGAAAAATGGTACGGTTTTCAAGATCTGCTCCGGAAACGAGGACTACTGCCATTTTCAGTCTAAATCAAAGTCCTTGCCATGGAAACGCAAAAAATAACTTTTTTAAAAATCCCAAACTATCAAAAGGCACCAGTTCACCACTAGACCTATCTATGTGCCAAGTATGACGAAGAAATATGGTACGGTTTTCAAGATCTGCTCCAGAAACGATGACTACTGCCATTTTCAGTCTAAATCAAAGTCGGTGCCATGGAAACTAAAAAAATATTGTTTTTAAAGATGCCAAACTATCAAAAGGCACCAGTTCACCACTAGATCTATCTATGTGCCAAATATGGTGAAGAAATTTGGTACGGTTTTCAAGATCTGCTCCGGAAACGAGGACTACTGCCATTTTCAGTCTAAATCAAAGTCGTTGCCATGGAAACGCAAAAAATAACTTTTTTTAAAAATCCCAAACTATCAAAAGGCACCAGTTCACCACTAGACCTATCTATGTGCCAAGTATGGTGAAGAAATATGGTACGGTTTTCAAGATTTGCTCCGGAAACGAGGACTACCGCCATTTTCAGTCTAAATCAAAGTCGGTGCCATGGAAACTCGAAAAACAACTTTTTAAAAAATCCCAAACTATCAAAAGGCACCAGTTCACCACTAGATCTATCTATGTGCCAAGTTTGGTGAAGAAATATGGAACGGCTTTCAAGATCTGCTCCGGAAACGAGGACTACCGCCATTTTCAGTCTAAATCAAAGTCGGTGCCATGGAAACTCGAAAAATAACTTTTTAAAAAATCCCAAACTATCAAAAGGCACCAGTTCACCACTAGATCTATCTATGTGCCAAGTTTGGTGAAGAAATAAGGTACGGTTGTCAAGATCTGCTCCGGAAACAAAATGTGACGGACGGACGGACGGACGGACGGGCGGACGGCACCCATTCCTATATCCCCCCTTCCACTTCGTGGCGGGGGATAATAATAAATCAAGTTGGTACAATCATCATTAATTAAAATTTTCTACACCCAGAATTTAAATCAATACTTTATTAAGCAAAGTTTACAGAATAAAAAAATATTCCTGAGTATTTAAAAAGAGCAATGTTTCCATCTGACATATGGCAATCATATCTGCTACAGTGTCACTACCAAAGTCATTAGATTTCAAGTGGTTGGTATCTCTGTAACCCATTTTTTCCACTACAAAACAAATATGTCATTAAAGTTTCAGCTTTCTGTAAACCTGTGTTTCTGTACCACCATTATCATCTGTCCTGTGAAGGGTTACCTGATCTTGTTCCTGCACGTCAGTATTCTCATCCTTCATCAAAGCCTCTTCACCATGTCCACTGTTCACGACATTCAGACCACCTGCTGATGTGTCAATACATTCATTATGCTCCATCATTTTCTCATCAAGCAGGATGTTGGTAACAGCAAGTCCAGGTGCATCACCAGCCTGTTGTACATCCTCTCGTAGTGCTTCCTCATCTTGTGCATCCTCTTCTGGCACTATCCTCTCCTGATTCACCCTGACATGATCGTGTTCGTCTACAAACCCACCAGAAGATGCATTACTGTTCATATTGATGGGGATGAGGTCCACGAGTGCTGACTGTTCTGTTGAAATGTCATTGTTTTCTTCGATGACATCACTGCTGAGAACTACCCCAGCATCTAACTTGCCACTAAAGTCAAACTGAAGCTGGTCTAACTCCACTGGGCCTGATATATCCAGTTCAACTGGATCTGTATCTCCAGACATGTTTCAGTTTTAGTACTTAATAGAGCTGAAATGAAAGAGAAAGTATTAATGCATTACAATTTATATACATGCAATATAACTATTATCTACTGAACAATGAGATGTGGACTGTTTTGACTCTGACATACCTTTTTTTTATGCCGGTCATGCTTATGTCACTGTGATCAATTATATCAATTATTATTCTGAAAATATTATTGAAATATCTTTTATCATTCATATTTACTGTCATGAATGCATGTAATGAATTAAGTTGTGTTATGGTACACATGCAATATACCAGATACCTCTTAGCCATACTCGTTTGATGCTTCTAACTCTGTTCCCAGAATGTGCCAATTCTTAAAATATGTTCCAAAGCTCAAAATTAGTGAATATCTCAACATTTGCTTGCAGTTTATTTCATTGCCATAAAATATAACATTGCTACATTAAGGAAGAGACATGATTAGTTAATAAATATGGAGATGACAACTACTGATGCAGAGGTACAAATTAACCAAACATAGGTTATTTTAAAAAAATTATGAGTCGAGTTAAATTAATAGTCCAAAACTTGGAAACCATTACTTAGGAAGACATTTATGTAAAAAATACACTGTAGTGGATCCATCATCAAAATGGCAGATACTTCAATCTAGCCTGTATTAATGTAAAGTGTTATCATTTAAGATATTTAAAGTTATCAAAAGATATTTCAGATGACCAAAACAAAAATAATTTGAGATTTTGTATTTTAGTCTGACATCACTCAGACATCCATGGATTAAGGAGAGTAAGAATAACGATAGAAGAGCCACACAAAATCAGTGAAGCTAGAGTCACAGCCGGTAGTGGGGTAGCCAAGTGGCTAAAGCGTTTGCTCGTCATGCCGAGGAACCAGGTTCGATTCCCCACAGGGGTACAATGTGTGAAGCCATTGTTTGGTGTCCCCAGTCGTGACATTGCTGGAATCAACCACAGCCGGTAGCTGGCGCCAGTGATTTTCGACAGGCCTGTAACTAAGCTGCGCCCTGTAATCTTCAATATCGCCAAGCTATGACAAGGTAAATAATGTCAAAGATGGGTTGGACAATTAAACTCTCGTTGTGTACGTTGTCGTGGGAGACCTCCAGTCACCGTACACAGCATAACCATAGGGTAGTCTTCACGCCATGACTAGCCTAGCCGAGATGATGCCTGTACAGTCTTGTCATCACTGACTTCTGGATCATCCTTGTCATTAGCAAGCATTTGGATTTGAATTTCGATCTATCATCTACAATCAAATTGACAAAGTATATGGTAAAAGCTACCTTAGATCATATATCGTTGACAAAGTATTCACATAAAGTTGACCGGCTCCAGAATTTTGACAACTTCCGCCATTTGTAAACACAACAGAACCGCACTGACAGCTTTTTATTTTAATTAATATCATATACGAATAACGAATTATTTTCGTGGTTGGGGTTCGATGGAAATTACTATATGAAATGATGTAGGCCGAGATATCGATCAAATTTATTTTGTTTACAACATTTACCGCGGGACAGTGTCATGGCCGCGCACATGGCTTCAAGACAAACCATGAGCGTGCCGTTGAAAATACATCGTTTTCTCAAGTTAGGGAACTTTACAAATTTATCTCCTCCACAAAATGTCCAAGGTAAGTAATTCGATTCCGATTTTAATGTCATGCAATGACGTTATGTGATCGTGTTGTCATGTCAGCAATTAACATTATGTAATTAATTTAGGCTTCTGACACTAGTGACGGGTTATTTTTTCACCTCGTGAAGATCCGGGGTTGAACTTGTCTTCAGGAACCCATTCTTGTCGCAAGAGGCTACTACGGCGACTAAGGGGATCGGTTTGTCAGGAACACTGACTTGACTGATGCATGTCGTCGTATCATAATTACGGAGATTGATGCCCATGATGTCAATATTACTGGATGGTCTGGCCCAGACAGTCGTGCGGCGTAAAACAACAAACAAACGTTATTTTCCCTAACAGTGTTTCAGAATCCTCACATCCTATACATATATGCTGTGTTCTCTTGTTACCTGTTTTCACACCCCTGAGCTGTGAAGTCATGGCATTTTAAAGAACTTGACATTTACACGTACACGTGTGTCTCTTGTTTCCAAGCCCAATGTGAAATACTTTTTTGAAAAACTATTTGAAAATAAGATGCAGATGTTCACACAGATGGTACTCTTTACAAAAATTCTGTGTTTGTGCACATGTTATGTTATATTGCAATCCACCTATGAAGTGTACCTCAATGAGCTTACTTTTGGATCTCCATGTTTACAGCTTAATGCACGGGTTATAGCGAAAACGTCACCGGGCGAAAACGGCACCTCGACTCAAGCGAAAACGGCACCTCGACTCGAGCGAAAACGGCACCTTATTTTTTTTTTTTACCTTGGTCAAATGAATGATATTAAACTTACATTGTAACTTGCAAAGGCCAATAATTGTGAGATGTTAAAACAAGTTTACATTAGAAATTAGCCTCTGCTCCAACTATAATCCAACTTAGCTTATACGCAACTCAACTTATGGTGAAAACATAACATGCTTTGACGAAAGATAATAGAAATTAAACTCACATCGTCTCTTACAAACACAAATATTTGTGAAATAAAACAAATAAGAAATTAGCCCCCTACTCCAATTTAATCACCGACTTTTATTCACTATACGCTTTGAAGTTTTAAGTACCTTTACTCAATTTAAGCTGAAACTGTATTTGAGGCCTAACATGGTGCTGTCAGATCACAATTATTCACAATGGCCTTTCGATGTGTTGCATGCGAGAAGAATGACAGAAAAAAAATCAACATGCTGTATCATGTGATAACTGTGACAACTGGAACCGGACTTTCTATGGCCCGTTATAGAGAAATTTGCCGTACTGACTTCCCTTTCCGCTGTGTGAAATGCGTAGCTCCCGTCATTGAAGAGGTGATCGGTAAGAAATGAGAGTACCAAACCTATCGGAAATTCACATTACGGCCTCAGATGTACTCAATACATCAAATACCATGTAAATAAACCCTATATATTACTACAAAAATAGTTGTTTATCGTTATTAAACATAGAGGTTCCGTTTTCGCCCGACACATAGTAGCTGTTTTCGCCAAATGCGGTGCCGTTTTCGCCAGAGAAATCGGTGACGTTTTGCTGAGGTGCCGTTTTAGCCTGCACCCTTAATGCACATGATGCAGTACGTTTCTGTCAAATAGTGCAAAGCTTCACCCAACTGTTTCTGCTGAAGGATCATTGTCAGCACAGGTACTACAGATATATACCACATGTCAATTCTGTATACAGAAGTGTACTCTAGCCAAAATCAGAGTACAGAAGGGTGTCTTAGGCACCTTGAACAGGGTCCTTGAAAGCTTATGTATAGGACACATCCCGGATGCCAAACCTTGGTATGTGTTGTATATTTTTCTCTTGGTATTTCCTTTCCATAAATAGTTCAGAACTGTCATACTGTTGTATGAGATGCATTATGTGCTATATATAAAAAAAACTAGCAAATACAGTGACATACGTACATAACCCAAATATTGCACGCTGCACAGCATTGTCCAGCATGCACTGGTCATCAGACGAACCAGAACTACAATTGTACATGAATTGGTTTCGGGTTTAAGAATATGGACTCGTCCGCCATTAAGGGTACCCTGTGCATTCTGATTTTGGCTAGGGTACATTTCTGTATACAGAAACGTACCTGGGGTTGTCTGTGCTGACAACCCCTTCAGCACTAGTTCTCCAGTGTAGGACTACCTTTATTTATGTCCATGTTACAAACATAAGTATTGGTAAATTGGTAAATAATTTTAAATACACAGTGAAAGTAGGATGTTGAACTGGGTCCTATTGACAGTGGCAGCGGTGAAGCCCTTTGAGCACAAGGGTGATATGTGTTATGACTTGAGAAAAGGATAAGTCCTTCAGCACATTCAGGATCTTCACAAGTGATGAATCAAGAAAATTTGATCAATGTGGGCATGTTGAAATTCCTTGTTTTTAATAGGCCATTTATATGTATTTGGTGCTCTTTTCAGTTTTGTGTAGTTATAACATGTATAACACTGAATTCGTTTGCGAAAGGGAATTGCATTGTTATCATATTGGGAACACATGTTACTTTAACTTTAAGTCTTCACTTGATGGCTTCCTTTCGTGGCAGCCTACAGGATTATAAGTCAAAATGGTTCAGGTTTGTATTGTAGTTAGGTGATGTTATTAAGATATAATCACTACAATCTTCAGGCTGAAAGAGTCAATGTGTAAACATAGCTAATTCTCTTTGTTTAGGTATGACATTTTCACGGCTGTTCTGTAGCCAAAGCCAGCAACCTACCGCCACATCAAAACAGAAGATTGAAGAAAAGAAAGATCCAAGTCTCAAATATGTCCAGCAGTTCAATCCAGAGCTAGTCAAGCAACTCAGTGCACAAGTTGAAAGTGACATGGTATGTCTTTAACAGCCTGTGTTAACATGATGAAACATTATTAATACTGGAAGATTTACAACTTAACTGATTTGAGCTTATTAAACATGAAACTTATTAATTCTGCTCCAAAAGGATTTTGTTTCTGCCTTCTCTTATCAAATTGGGACAGTGGGGGGACAATAGATTCCAAACATCTGTACAATTTGCAGAGGAAATAATGCATGTCTCCTGTTGTGAATGTCATGTGACTGGAAGTTGGGACCGGTATTTTGTTAAAAGTGGTGTAAAAGCACACTCTCTTGTTCTTATCAAAATGTTTGAACTTCACATGCAATTGTACTTAGGATATTGTTCAGAAGAACAAATAATTGCCATGATCATAATGATACAAGACTATCAACAGAACAATGAATTTTCTAGCTTATTTCTTGGGGACACAGGTGGACCAGCTGTGTAGAGTGTCATCCCTTGGGTATGCCAGAAACCTATGATTTAGGGTTTGAGTCCCAGTTCGCCCTGATTATGTTTCTATGTTTTTCAGCACAATACCAGTGCTCATGGGTTTCACCAAAGAACTAAAAGTCTAAGACCAGCATCACTTCAGGCTTTCCTCCCACATTAAGCTGACACGCCATGGAATAACTGAAATACTGTTAAAAGTGGTGTTAAACCCAACTTACTCACAAACACTTTCATTTCTGTATCACAGTATTCTGTAATAGAAAGAGATTGCTGGGTGATGTGAACTGTTGTCATTTCTTCAGCCTCTGCGTCGGATGCCAGATCCTTTTGAAAAGAAATATAGAAAATGTCTGCTGTGTGAGAAGGATGTAGATCTGGATTGGAAGGTACAGTTTAACAAGTTACTAAAATACTGTTGGTCATGAAAGGGTGATTCATGATTACATGTGATTATGATACAGTGAACATGCTTGTCAGGTAGTGACTAATGTACTTTGAGCATACAAGATCTTCTTCCATGTATCATGCATATCACATCCTGAAACTCATCGTCACTACTTCATGGATTTTCACCCATGAATACATAAATTTCAGTGTATTAGTGACATGTGTCTACTTTTATGAAATAAGATTGTTTATGATTCACAGAAGTCAAATGAGATATACTCTGTGCATGAACTCACTTCTCTTCCTGCTGTTGATGCAGTGTGTAGAGCATATGTGCGCAAGGCCATGGCATGTGTTCCATGAGAAATATTTGTGTGATGTAGTTTTATCGCTTATTGGTCTGAGCACTCCCTTGCGATGGACTCCAGCTCGTGGTTTGATTTGTTGATTATAAGTAGTGACTAACCTGCAAATTAGCAAATTTTATTCAAATGGAATTTTCTTTTTTAGAATTTGTTCTTTGTTTTATCCCACTGAAAAGCTGATAACATATTGCATCCAAAATATTTTTTAAACAAGGACCAAATGAATTTGACATATATACATGGGAGTCAAAATAAAGTTCTTATTCCTGAAATTGATAGGATGCACAGATGCACCAAAGCATTCCCGCGTTATTCGTCAGGTTTGCATTAACCAGCAGCTGTGTTGCAGGCTCTCCTCCCACATTAAATCAGTTGTGTTTTTGTTCTACTAGCTTTTTTCCTTTCTTTCCCACCTACCGACCAATATTTTCTTGTAAGAAGTCTGTCAAGCAGTAAAAAAGAAGTTTGGCCTATATTACGGAGTAATGCAGGATAAGTATAGAAATATAAAACATATCTAGGATTTTACAAGTTTTAGCAGTCACATATCAAAGCATAATAGGCCCATTCCTATATACCCCATTCGCAGAACTTACTGATGTCGGCTATGTTGTTACACCATTCGCAGAACTTACTGATGTCGGCTATGTTGTTACACCATTCGCAGAACTTACTGATGCCGGCTATGTTGTTACACCATTCGCAGAACTTACTGATGCCGGCTATGTTGTTACACCATTCGCAGAACTTACTGATGTCGGCTATGTTGTTACACCATTCGCAGAACTTACTGATGTCGGCTATGTTGTTACACCATTCGCAGAACTTACTGATGCCGGCTATGTTGTTACACCATTCGCAGAACTTACTGATGCCGGCTATGTTGTTACACCATTCGCAGAACTTACTGATGCCGGCTATGTTGTTACACCATTCGCAGAACTTACTGATGTCGGCTATGTTGTTACACCATTCGCAGAACTTACTGATGTCGGCTATGTTGTTACACCATTCGCAGAACTTACTGATGCCGGCTATGTTGTTACACCATTCGCAGAACTTACTGATGCCGGCTATGTTGTTACACCATTCGCAGAACTTACTGATGTCGGCTATGTTGTTACACCATTCGCAGAACTTACTGATGTCGGCTATGTTGTTACACCATTCGCAGAACTTACTGATGCCGGCTATGTTGTTACACCATTCGCAGAACTTACTGATGCCGGCTATGTTGTTACACCATTCGCAGAACTTACTGATGCCGGCTATGTTGTTACACCATTCGCAGAACTTACTGATGCCGGCTATGTTGTTACACCATTCGCAGAACTTACTGATGCCGGCTATGTTGTTACACCATTCGCAGAACTTACTGATGCCGGCTATGTTGTTACACCATTCGCAGAACTTACTGATGCCGGCTATGTTGTTACACCATTCGCAGAACTTACTGATGCCGGCTATGTTGTTACACCATTCGCAGAACTTACTGATGTCGGCTATGTTGTTACACCATTCGCAGAACTTACTGATGCCGGCTATGTTGTTACACCATTCGCAGAACTTACTGATGTCGGCTATGTTGTTACACCATACATGATAATGTCACTTTCATTACTTGGAACACTCAAGTTGTCCATCTGTTGTAAAATAGTAATTATACCCAGACTATTTGTTCTGGATTTCACCTGTATCACAAAACTCTTAAGATTAACTTGTGAGGTGACATGAAATGAGGTTTAACGTTGCATTAAAGAAATAAATACGTATATGGCGATGTGCATGCACGTGTATGTGTGTGTAGCTGCTTGTACTGGTCTGGACTTATGCCGACTTTATAGTTCTAGGCTAGAGGTCAAACTGCAGCATGGTATCTCAGTGGGCTAGAACTTCTAGCCCACTGAGATACCATGCTGCAGTTTGACATGAATACCCCACTCAAACACATATACCAATTTCGAATCAACCAGTCCTTGTTTTAGCCCCTAAAAGCTGGCACCAGGCAGGGTAACAACATGTACCATCTTTTAACGTCTCTTGGTATGACACGGCCAGGGATCGAAATCCTAGAACTTCAATCGTCCTGGTTGACGCTCTGCCACTAGACCACAGAGGCAGTCAAAATTAACATGTATCCTTCACAAGGATATGTAAAGCATTACCGGTGTGTGCTTTCCCAATAGGTTGAGCTATTCACATACATGATATAATGAAGAATTTACTTTGAGCTTATAAGATCTGGTTCATTTATTCACTTTAAATTTTTGATAGACATTTTTAGATTGGAGAAAAAAAGCTGGAAATTTCAGTTGCCTGAAAGTTAGGAAGTTGCTAATAGCTGTTACTTTGTAATAATTGAAAAGATGTCATTAAGGCTTGTGCTGTGTTTCAGAATGTGCGTCTTTTGAGTCAGTTTGTGTCGCCCTTCACAGGACGAATATATGGCCGCCACATTACTCAGCTGTGCATTCCTATGCAGAAAAGGGTGGCCAGACTAATTAAACGGGCTCGAGTGCTAGGTAAGTCAATATCATGTCATACATCCTGATGTGTAGTTATTTTACATGATTTTGAATAGGGATATTTAAATTTACATACCACATCTTTACATATGTATGTATATGGCTCATAATATCAATCACATGTTTGTTTGGTCCATACTTGATTGTTTACAGGCCACTTTCATAAATCTGGAATATTGCTGAGTGCCATGTTAAACCATTCAACACCAAGTTATCCATCCATGGCATTGTAGCTCACCATGCTCACCTGGATGTGCAGTCAACAGTTCATTATGTCACCAGGCGACAGCAACTTACCAAAATTTTCTGTCAGCCTTGATATTAATTTATTTTCTGTAAAAATACTGTGGGCTGAAAGAAAAACTAAAATCTAATGATTTGAACAAATCATGATATCACATGTGACATGTGCTCCCCATGCTTGCCATAAAAGGCAACTATGCTTGTCGTAAAAGGCGACTAACAGGATCGGGTGGTCAGGCTCCTTGACTTGGTTGATGCATGTCATCAATCCCAATTGCGTGAATCGATGCTCATGATATCAGTCACTGGATTGTCTGGTCCAGCCTCGATTATTTACAGACAGCTTGAATATTGCAAACAAACCAACCAACCAACCAACCAACCAACCAACCCTCAGTCTCGCAATATTAGAGCAGCCAAATATGCATTTTGAGAGAAATTAAAAGCTTGTCCAAAACAAGTGTTGAAACCCATATGTCTTTATTTTTAAAATGTCTAAAAGAGGTTTCAGTATGGTCAGAAGTGCAAAGATGAAATGCAGGTCAAAATTTGAAATATCACCAAAAAACGGAACATTTATTCAGTTAAGAATTTCCATAGTATTTGTGCTCAAGTGGGTCAGCCATGTTTTTAAAACTTGAAACTACATAAAAATAATTGTATGGACTGACTTTGAATTCTGTTGGTGAGGTAAAAACCCAAACTGACACTAGACTTGCTGCATTCGGCAAACTGCAGTCTTACCATCCTTGTCATATGCTTTAAATATTCTTAAATAATATTTTGGTTTCAGGTTATATGGCCTACATGAATAAAGACCCTCAATATCTGAATGACCCCAGGCTGTTCAACCCACTTCATCGACGTAACAAATAGATAGCCAGTCAACCACGGGCTTCACCAGAATATCCGTTTGTGTGTGTGTTTGTGTGTGTGTGTCTGTACCCAGAGAGATGTGTATATATGTAGTTGTTGCTATTAAACAATTCTATGGAGATCTTGTTTGTTGTCACAGCTTGTCAGGGTATTTCGGAGTGTGCTTTTTTTCTGTTTCTGAGTGTACGATGTCCAGCTCTTTCATTGTGTATCTAGTAATCATAACACCTGCAAATCCAAAGGCACATGTTTATCGACATTGTGAACTACAAAAGTTATTAGGCACTTTTATTAACTATGATCTCTTCTTGAACTCTCACAGTTGTGAGACAGACACGTCACGCTGGAGTCTAATGACATCATGTTATAATGGATGACTTCATGTTTCCATGACACCTGCTCAGCAGAATGTGGAGAAAACTAAATCAAAGTTATTCTGACAAATATTTATCAAACTTTACCTCTAATTAAATAATCATTTCACCAAGGCAAATGGCAAACTATTTAAAATATGGAATTGAGATAAACAAACTTATCAATAAAAGTATTCCTAAGCAGTGAAATTCAAACCCATTTTACAGTGTTTTTCAACCAATCAGATTGTAATGGTGAGTGGATATACATCACAGCGACAGTCTGCAGTAATATTGCTGTATTTTGGTGGTAAGATCTTGACCAGATCACATGAATAACAACCCACAAGGTGGGGCACAATCTGCCTGGGCACACAGTCTCCCGTTTGTCACCTTGCACAAGCGTTTGGTTCTAGAGAATCCACAGACAGAATACAGAGTACATGCTTATGTTTCAGCCTCCAGGTTGTCCTAGGGTCAGTGGGGTAACCTAGTAGTTAACATGCTTAAATGATTGACTTGTCAGGCCAAAGGCCTTGGTTCAGATGTACAATGTGTGAACCCAATTGATAGTGGTGGAATAGTGCTAAAAATGTCATAAGCCCCACCTGACTCACTCTAATAAGCCTGATCCCATCCATCCAGTGATAGATGTGAAAAATGATGCAAAGATAGTGATCGTTTGAGAAAAACAAAATGAAACATTCACAACTGTTTGTTATTTAATCATACAATTTCAACATCCAATTTGAGATACTATTTCTGTATCTATATATAAAATGTAGCACCATTAATAACAGAATCTTTTTCATTCAGTCAAAGATTGAGTTCAGCACATCGCTCACACACCTCCTTGACCTGAGGTGAGATTCCTCTGTTTCACCTTCCCCTTGAACCCTACTCCTTCCCTTCTCATCGACATTCTCATCAGAACCCCTGTCCTCTCCCTCAACCAGCCCCGGCTTCCTCCTCTGTTCAGGAGATACAGTCCTTCTCTTTGCTGGAGACGGAAGATTGGTGGATTCATCTGGAGAAAGTTCATGGGCAGGTATCTGTCTCTTTCTAGGGGAGGCATAATCCGTGGACAATGTTGGGACAGCCAGCATGTCTTCAAACTCTCCATCGACCACAACTTTTGATTTGTGTGTTTGTTCCTTGTTTGGAGTAGGAACACCAGTAGCTTTACCTGTTTCCTCCTCTGCTCGTTTGTCAAGAACTTGAAGCAGATCTTCGCGACCGCCCTGTCAAGGGGAGGGAATGGTTTAGTTCATGCCACATCATTCAATCCATTACCCTCTATTAATGTGTGAGTTTGGTTTAACACCGCTTTGAACAGTATTTCAGTTCTGTCATGGCATGTCGGCTTGATGTGGGAGGAAAGCCAAAAGTGATGATGCATGGTGAAGACTGAGTATACAATTTCATCAAAATATTCCCCAAAATATTCATGATCCCGAACCTTTTTTTTTCAGCATAGAAAGATAATCAGGTTGAACAAGGATTCTGGACCCTCTTTTGTAGTCGTTTAACATGCTCAAATGAAGTTAGATGTAATAGGGGTTTCATAATTTTGGGAATTGACTAAAATGTAACTATGCACTATGTCTTATTCTTGTGCTAATGGATATACAGTGAAACTTTGTGACAGTGAACTTCCTTAATGCAGCATTATGCTACATATCACAAAAGACAATGTTACATTGTTGTCCTGACAATTCCTACTGATACAATGGTCTGATATCAATGTACTACTTGTCTTGAACAGATTACAATGTGACACTGGATAGGTAGTTTCCTGGGTACCAAGGGGACACTTCTGTGCTTTAGATAATTATAACCCCAAAATGGACACCTTCAGTGTTAAAATGTAATGTATGAAGTGTACCTGTTTGAGAACTTGTCTTGCTGCTTCCACCAACTCCAGCTCTGTCATGACATAAACTGTGCTGCGGAACCTGGAAGACAAACACGGCAGTACCGTCAGCTTCATGTGGGAAGAAACACCAAGTGATACAGGTCTTGGACAATTACCACTCGGTGAAACCCACAAGCATGGGTATGGTGCTGGCAAACATAGGTTTCTGGCAAGCTAAGGGATGCAATTCTGTACAGTGAACTGGACCACCTGTTCCCCAGGTAGCTGAGCAGCTATCCAAGTTGGAAGTCGGGCGATTGAATTATCCATTATGCATCATCATACCTTGATCTTCCCTCTGTGGAGCTAGCACTGTCACTTTTGGACAAAGATGGTGCTGGGCTCTTCTTAGATTTCCCCAGCATCCAAGTGGGCAGGTCCCTCACGGGTGCTGCTGTTGACCCTGTTGATGAGTCACTGGACAGGGTTGGGACGTCTGACATAGAGGTGGGGGACGGGGGTGGTTCTGATGGTACAGATTTGCTCCCTCTCTCGTTGTGGATTAGACTTCCAACTTGCCCAACAAGTGTGGCGGAGGTAATGTAGTCGTTTTGATAACTGCAGGATGAAATTAAAAACGATAGGTTGAAGCACTTAGTTAAACATTAGAAACATCAATTTTATTTACTGAACCGAAATAATTCATCATTTAAATAATATAATCCCTACATGCTTGTTTCGTGGGTAGATCAGAAGCCTAGCAGTTGAACTGTACATAGTTTTGTTTCCTCATATGGCTACAATGGTTGACACCCATGTGCCCTTTATGATATTACTGGAATACTGCTCAAAGCAGAATAAAATCTCCTAACTTCATCATTATGAGGAAATCCACTTGCACAATCTCATTAAAATCAGATCTTAGTTCTCGCTACCGCTAAACAAAGATCTGAGGACACCTCATTACATGTCACGTCAGAACAACCTTACGCGAATTTTGACCGACAAATTGATTGACTAACAAGAAGTTGACATTACCCAATCAGAAGGCAGCTTCTGAAAAGAACATTCTGGAATGGCTAATACATGTACATAGTCTAGATTGTATGGATTCAGTCGTTTAGCCCATACCTATCGTTTGGAATACCCTGTGTTGAAGTTTTCGAGGTTACATGATTAGGAATCACATTCAGACTGTCACTTTCATGATCTGGTAAGCGACGCTCTGATTGGTCGGATGAAAAGTCATTCCGACTTGACCCCTAATGGGATGTCCTCAGATCTTTGTTTAGCGGTAGCGAGAACTAAGATCTGATTTTAATGAGATTGTCCACTTGCAATGCTTGAAAAAACATCTCTTCATCATGTTCATGACAATGAAATAAACATAATATGTCCAGTGAGTGAGTTTAAAACATCTCGAACAGTATTCTGCATGTCAGCTTAATGTGGCAGGAAAGCCCTAAGTAATGCAGAACTTTGATAAAACCCACGAACTGACAACATAATCAGGACAAACCCAGATTCGAACCCACAATGAGATATTTCTGGTGTGCCCAAGTGACACAATTCTGCCTAGCGGAAACACAGTGTCTTAGTAAACTGGGTCATCTGGGCCCCATAATATGTGTAAGCTTTCCTGTGTGTTTGTTACAACATTACAAAGTGTTTCCATAAATCATCAACCTTTCAGATGAGACAACCAAACCCAATTGTCACTAATTACTTGTGGACAACTTGGATGTTCTTTGAAAACAACATCTCCCTCCTGCCTCCAGGCAGCTCCATCTTGATGCAGCCATCATCCAGGTCGTCCATGTGACTGTAAAGGGGGATCTCCGCTGGCAGCTCCTCATCCCCCGCCTCCACCGTCAGGTGCTGCAGCAGCTCGGGTATTCTGGGGGTGGAGCTGCTGTGAGCTGAGACAAGCTGCAAAATGAAGAATGAACAGTCAAACCAAGGTGCTTAAATATGAAAACCTTCAATGACAAACGTTACGTTGTTTTAGTTGGCCTGTTTTAAACATTTCTAAGATTCATTGCATACATGCAACATGATTGAAATGGCACATCAATGAAAGTGGCAAACTCTTCATATTCATGCAAAAAATGCTGTCTCGAGTCATAGACTTTGTCTCTTTGGCAAAACCCTTAATAATAATGGTGCTGTTAAATCAGGGGATTTAAACCAGTGACAGACATCCTGGTTGGTAAGGGAGACAACTCTACATAGAAAATTGTGACTACTGGGCAACAAGCTTCGATCAATGAAGAGAGATTACATGCTGTGTACAGAATGTCTGTAAACTTATGCAAGGCCATGCAAAGTAAATATATAATTTCACCTGTTGATATTTTTATAGATTTGACTAACAGAAGCAGCTGCCTTTGTAGGAGAGATAGATCTAGTTTCTGACTAGAAATAGATCACAATCAAATTATTTAAGTATAATGCTGCACACTTAATAATCAAGGCTAGGCAATCCAATGATTGATATTATGAGCAACGATCCAGCGGCGTGGATACAATGACATAAGACACCAAGCCTTACCACAGCACCAAATTTATTTGGCCGTCTCTTATGATGTGCATACGTTGCTTGGAGCATGATAAACAGATTTCAACTGGATTTATTTTAAATATAACTTTATTTTCAGTTAATTTACTTGCAATAGGGGAATGGTCAGAAAATTCAAAGCCCATATCCATTTTTAAGGGTGTTTTTCCAAGGCAGAATCTAATGTATACAAGAATCTTCCTGAAGGAAACAAAACCTGAATGGGACATTTCCCTGATACAAGCCATGAATCATTCATTAAAGCAAGGAAAGATCACCTACCAGTTTAGGATGGTGGAGAACCTGAGATATCTGCAAAACAACCAGCCATGATATACAAATCTTTCTGAAAGGAATCAGCATGACAGATGTAAATGAATGTGTCCAGAGAAATTATCAGCCAATTCAAAATAGTCAGAATTTCTTCAGAAAGTTAATTTGGTCACATCAGAATAATTATGTTCAAAGACAGATGGAAATATAGTACAGTATTTCAGTTGTAACACACCGCATGTCGGCCTAGTGTGGGAAGAAAGCCCAAGTCATGTAGGACTTAAATGTTTACCACTTTTGTGAAACCCACGAGCACAGGTTTGGAACAGACAAACTTGGAAACATGATCTATGTGAATCTTGGATTCAAACACATGATCGTAAGTTCTGGAATGCCTTTGGGACATATGTCTCTACAGTCACCTATGGTGCATTAGATGGATCGGACACCCATACCTCCATAGCCTGGTTTGAGGAACATGTAAATGTTACCTTGATGTGTCGGACTCCTGCCCTCTCGGCCATGGCTTTGTGTGCAGCACTGGCATATATGTACTGGGTGGCCTGCAGAAGAGGGGGAAGTGAGTTGGGGTTAACACAGCTTTTAACAGTATGTCACTGAAATCAGGTAATCTAAGAGAACATGATGCAGGTCTGAGACATTTATCACTCATACCCAAGAGCCTGGGTATGGTGCTGAGAAAACAATAATCATATTCAGGACAAATCTGGGACCACAGAATGCTGGCATGCCCAAGGGACACGACTCTGCACTGCAAACTACGGTTGCATAGATGACTGGGCCTGGGCAACAAGGAATTACATGTTCAAGGCTGAAGATTTGATGAAGTTATTTGCAAATGCTGTATCACAATATATGAGATAGCTACGTGATGAATAGCAAAGGACAATGAAGAACAAAGCGTGGTTTATTTCACGATAAAACAATGTTCTAACATGACATCATTTTCATATCACAACCTACCCTACAGTGGAGGTGGAGATGGTGTCTCTTCTGTAAGAAGGCAAGTATTCCTGGTTCCTGGGGGACACAGAAACTCCCTGCTTGTGTCAGTTCCGTCAGTTGTAGCACATAAATAGGGATGTTCACCTGAAACAAAACAAATGATGGCTTCATATTCCGAAGTCACATAGATATATCAACACGGTCTATGCACATAACAAGGCACTGTAGGTCAACTGAATTTTTCAGGAATATTACATCAAATCAGTAAAGGTCTTACAAAGGCAAAAGAATAATTATAATCAGACTTACCCAATATTATTAAAATCAGATCTACATTCTCGCTGCTGCTAAACAAAGATCTGAGGACATCTCATTATGGGTCATGTCAGAACAACCTTTCGCAAACTTTGACCGACCGACCGAAGAAGTCGACATGAGCCAATTAGAAAGCACCTTTCTAGAGCTTCACGGCACTCATTTCAACCTGGCGACTTCCATTTCAGACTACGCTTAAAAAATAGGTTGACACAGTTCTCGATCTCGATTTGAAAACTGAACAAACGAACATTACAGAATATCTAATATATGGTTGAGATTGTATGGCAATGCTTCCCAGGTACTGTCGCTCCTCCGTTCAAATGTTTATCCCGCGGAAGCGAGAGATAGATGATCATTTTGACAGAATCAGTCGTACAGGTCGTAACTGTCGTTTGGAATACCCTCTGTTGACGTTTTTGAAGTTGCATGATTAGAAAACACATTCGGACTGTCACTTTCATGATCTCGTAAGCGACACTTTGATTGGTCGGATGAAAGGTCGTTGAAAGGATGACGTGACCCGTAATGGGATGTCCTCAGATTTGTTTAGCAATAGCGGGAACTAAGATCTGATTTTAATGAGATTGGAAGTAACCTAACTTTCTACACATCAGATAAACACATGTGATATTGGGCAAACCACATACTGCAAAACAAAATTCATATTGATACTTGTAGGAATAAGGCTGGCATGGTGGCCATTTTTAAAACTGATTAGAATTCGGTAAGCAAAAGCTTTTGGACATACCATAATTTGGATCATCAGTGCAAGGATTCAGCTTCACAGGCTTGTTTCCGGAGAGAATGTAAAAATGATGGGCAGATGACAGACAAGATGCTACACATTCAGCTCACTTGAACTTTCAGTTACGGGGGAAAACAAATCATTCCACTTATCTATGTGAACATTCCACCTTTGTACACAACATGGCGAGATCAACACATCAAATACCTGTTGAGCAACAGCTTTCACGAAAGTTCTCACAGAAAAGTTTTCTTCTTGTTGATTAATCAGACCTGAAACATACAGAAAAGTCTACCAAGAGCGATAAATAAAATAATTTAAAAATTAAACAAAGAATATAAGTGTTGTTGATACAGTAAGTCCTTTGGTAACATGTATTGATTATTCACTGCAAAGTAATCTGCCTCTTTTTCTCATATGACCGCCTCCATGGTCCAGTAGTAGAGTGTCCGCCCAAGAAGCAGAAGGTTGGGGGGTTTGATCGCCGGTCATGTCTATACCAAAAGATGGTATTTGTTGTTACCCTGCCTGGCACTCGGCATTAAGGGGCTAAAACAAGGTCTGGTAGACTCGGAGTCAGCATACTGTATCTGAGTGAGGAATGTGAAACTGCGGCATGGTATCTCAGTGGGCTAGAACTATAAAATGGGCATTTGTCCAGACTAGTGTGCACGCACGCACACACACAGATGACGTTGAACCGCACTTCACCTCACCTCACCCTTTTCTCCTATAACATATCAGCAAACTGTAACAAGAACTTCCTACTCTTGATTACTTCAGGTGTTGGTCACTGATGACATGCTGATGTCAACCAAGTCACCGAGCCTGACTACCAGATCCTCTTAGTCACCTCTTCCCACACACGGGTTGCTGGAGGCCTCTTACCTGGTATCCCCACAAGTGGTAAAGGTTTGAGCATGAGGAATCGATCGGTGTCTAATCATTGATGACTAAATGGTTAGTCCACTTAAAGTCTTAGGTATGTTGTTCATGCCTATGGGATAATGGGATATAGCAGGAATACCACTGACTGAGCAGTACAAACCTTCACCCACTCACTTTACCTTTACTGACGTTCTTCCCATCACAGACGATGAACACCCTCCCACACCTGTAGGCTGTGCTCCACCCCTGACACAGCTGGGCTGTCAGATGGACGTTCCTGGTGTGGGTGTTCAGACCCTCCCACTGGAAGAAGAGAGCCGGGACCTCCAGCTGCAACATTACCAGGAATAGATACACCAGAAGGAAATTCAAAACATTTAGTTCTTATTGTTTGCTTAAGTATCTGCCAATCTTAAAAATTAGGGATTTGAAAAGACTTTAAATTCCAGTTTCAAGTTTGTTTTTAAAAATAATGCCAAGCCTGACATCATACCTATGAATACTAAATAACAAGTCTGAACGAGACAAGTATAAATGCTCTATGACACACCATTAAATCTTTAAAATTCCTGTCACACTTTGCAAACATGTCTAAAGGAAACTAGAGAACATGAAAGTTTATTTTGCTCATCCTACTGACCCTCTATTGTTACAAATACTTCAGTTTAGCCCCATGAAATGTAATTATCATATGCATATTTGATTATTATTTGATTGAACAGGGTTTGTTTTACAGCAAACTGGTATCCAGGCCATCTGTTTCGTTGTAAACTTCAACACAATATTCAAGCCATAGCACAGAAGCCTGTAACTGGATATGTTGGTCATCACTGACATATATGTCAATATTACTTGGTTGATGACTTAATTGCCATCCAGAAAGATGTCATTTGCATCATCATCTAAGTGCTGTAGAAAAGTAGATACTTTTAGTATTTTACAATGGCAACAAACATTGTGTTTTCAGAGTCACGTTGTGTCAGCTTGATGTGAAAGGAAAGCCAGAAGTGATGCAGGTCTTACACATTTACCACTATGGTGAACATGAGCATGGGTATGGTGCTGACAAACCTAAATCTATCAATTTGAACCCATGATCATGGGTAGGGCATGGACAGGTAATGTTGGAACTCTGGTCAGGTGGGTCCTGAGTAGGACCCGAGCACCCACAGGACTACCCAGACCCATGGTTAGTCACGTGATATATTGTTTGATGACAATAACAATCAAAGTTGCTAAGTTTCCATGTCTGTGTGACTATGCTGGCTTCCTTGTGCCTTGTATAGGTCTGAGTAAAGATAAGCATGATAAAGCTTTCATCAACCTCAGTGTACACGTGATCAGATCATTTTATGCCTGCGTGCATCTAAGTCATTTTGCCAGGGCTCCAGTTAAACAATTCTCAGTCAGACAATTTGTACCCAACTTGAGACTGCTGAGGGTACCCTGGTAGCAAGTTCTGACTCTTCCCAGACCCAGCCCTAATCATGGGGCTCTGGCATACCTAACTCTGCACAGTGAATTGCAGTTCTTGAGACAACTATGCCACCAGTGTCAGCTCTCTGTGAGACAGGCAGATGCACTAACCAAGTAACTAATGGGCTATTTCTTTACCCATGTTCAGAAACATGAAGCTGTTCACAGACTTTCATAAACATAATGGATAATTTTACAGCTACAAAATCACAAACAATTCAAAACAAACAAGATGACAGGAAAATACTACAACATTGACAACAACAGTTAAGTCAGAAATCTTTATATTTATTGATTGTACCTTTACCTTATAATTTGTGACTGCTGTCAAAGGAAGGGTTTCCTGAACAACTGTCAAATCTTCTGTGCCTTCTGTAAACACATGGAAATATGATTAACATGGTTTACAAAGGATTCCTCCTTGTTGTCAATGCAACCATTGTCCCTGGTTCCATTCCCAAATCCAATCCATGTTCCAGTTAATGAACTAAATGTCCCTTATGTAGGGCCTCAGAAAATGTCATAATTAAATACCAGTAGACACTGCTTCAAGTCACCAGTCACTGATTTTACTCATGATGAAACTGTCAGTTACAATTGTTTTGTTATACATATGCACATCCTTGATAATACAGTGTATTATATTTACATTCTATTTAATAAATACCATGGACCAAAGACGTACAAAGATATTCGTCTATATACGTCTTTGCCTGGACCCATTGACATCTGGACACCATAGCTGGCTTACGGAAAAAAGATATCACCATCGCTCCTATACCTAACTCAGCACAGAATATCACAGTCAGTAATTTGATTGGACATCTATTTTTAGTGTCATATCATTTGACTCAAAAGAAAGCAATGGCAGGAACTTGGCTCAGGGTAATCATCACAATTATCCACACAGAGAGGAGACATAATACACAGGGTAACTGAGGACAATATTTGCAATACACACAGGCATAGCTGTGATATGTATATTGATAATGCATTGGAATCACATGATAAGTGGTCTGTAAAAGGAATGTGTATCTAACTCTGCAGATTCCTGTTTTGTAATTCTGTCCGGTTGTATTGCAATTAGCTGGTTCAGGATTTCATAAGGGGAGGAGGGAGGAGGGAGGGGTGGGTGGGATTTGAGATAAGGCATCACTAGATATGTTGATTTACCGTTTAAATTGTATTTCCATATCTCCTAGGTACTGTTTTAAAATGCAGAGATTAAGATTACCATGTGAATTTTCTCGTAAACTAAGCCAGAAATAGCAATCAGTTGTACACACGTTTTACCCAATAACATAACGTCGAAAGTCTTAGACAGTGACTCCTTGACAGAGCTCACTACCTCATTACACCTGTTCGTCGATATGTCTTTCCAAGGCTGGTCAGCGCATCTGGAGTGCCAAGTCGCCTCATTATCAGTGGCACATCAACAACCTGGAACTAGAGGCTTTCATCTAGGCTTTCTCTCACATCACTGCGTATGGTGCCTCCACAGCCAGGAGACAACCCACTCCTCCTCACGGTTCTCAAGTTCTGAGTCCAACAAATCACAGGTTGACGCAACATCTTTGCAGACTTCCTCTCCAGACCAGACAATGTAGCTCCCACAGAGCGGAAAGTCCATCTGGACGCCTTCGATCGCCTTAACTTTTGAAGACAGCTTTAAAGAAGTTGATGCCATGATCAAAGAATTGTACCTGAAACTATTATTTTATCAGGTATCATATATTTGAATATCATGTTATTTTAGTTGCAGCTTTACTATATATATTTAAAATAATAATAACCATAACCGTAGCACTTTGGTACAGCTGATTGCTATTGCCGGATATTTGTTACGCATGGAACAATATCACCAGTCACCACCGAGGCACGTGCCCACGAAAACTCTATGTTGTCATATAACAATCAAAGTAAAACAAACCTCGTTACATCTTAATATGTTTTATATTTGTATACTTATCCTGCATTACTCCTTAATGCATTTACTGCTTGTTCTTGACAGAAAGAGCAGTGAGAGGTCTTGCTGAAGAAGAAGTTGTTCCAGCTGGTTGAGTGGCTAACCCTGTCACACAGCTCCCATGTGACCACGGAAGTGGTGATGTCACTGATCAGCACATGACTGGTAAAAACTGAGCATCTGAAGACATCATGGGGAGGCAGCTCGGTGGGTCACAAAGTAATGCAGGATAAGTATACAAATATAAAAAATATCTAGAGTTTTCTAGATTTTCTAACTTATCCTGCATTACTCCTTAATGCTTCTTTATCGGACGGCACAGAGGAGGGCATACCTTCTGGTGTGATCTTCAGTAAACTCTCCATAGTATCCAACCAATCAGCAAAAGCGTATCCAGCATCAAGTGACCATTCCTGTCAGCACTGGAAGAAAGTTTCAGGTATGTGTGATGTCCAGGTATCATTGAAGTAATAGAAATTAAACATAGTTAAAGTTTAGAACTGACGTACCGAACCAATGCTTGCAGCATGTAACCTTCTCGTCTGGGGTGACACGCACTGGAGAGGTCAAAAGGTCAGCTCTGGACATGTGGAAGTGTCAGTGGCGTCTTGGGGCTGTGACCTGCTGGGCAACCACCAATAGCCAAAGCTGTGGACGTCTTCCACGTCTTCTAAAGCCACAAATAGTCTCACAAGTAGTGGCTGGCTGGCGAAGACTGTGTCAGAGCGCCAGAAGCAGCCTTCCATAATGGTGTGGATGGAGCAGTTGCTGTAAAGCACCAAGGTAGAGTCGACTGCCTGGATCTCATGCGGGTTGTTGGCCCTCAGAGGATCCAGTACACTGCTTCATAGGCCTGAAGAAACCATAGGGCGATCATGTTGCAGCTGACCTCAACCAGTAATGTTGTAGATACCAGAATAAAAAGGCTGCGACATTGTCCTCAACGGGTTTTGAAGCGTCAAGGCTCTGAGTCGACCTGATCTTTTGAAGGACCCTGGAAAGGAGTACTGGCAGTGAAAGCGTATGCTTTTAGTCCTTCCCAGGGGCCGCTTAGGGCGTCAACTACCAAGGCTTGTGGATCCAGCCTGAGATATATGAAGGTCCAGACCTCAAAGTTCTGGCTGGTGGCAAACAGGTCCATGTTGGGGTAGCTGAGGTGTTAACAGACAAGATCGAAGGCGTCCAGATGGACTTTCTACTCTGTGGGAGCTACCTTGTCTGGTCTGGAGGGGAAGTCTGCAAAGATGTTGCGTCAACCTGTGATTTGTTGGACTCAGAACTTGAGAACCGGGAGGAGGAGTGGGTTGTCTCCTGGCTGTGGAGGCACCATACGCAGTGATGTGAGAGAAAGCCTAGATGAAAGCCTCTAGTTCCAGGTTGTTGATGTGCCACTGATAATGAGGCGACTTGGCACTCCAGATGCGCTGACCAGCCTTGGAAAGACATATTGACGAACAGGTGTAATGAGGTAGTGAGCTCTGTCAAGGAGTCACTGTCTAAGACTTTCGACTCCACCATCTACCACTGGAGATGTGGCTGGGGGGGTCCATGAGGACGATGGAGACAGACTGGTCCTGGCACCTGATGTAGGGTGCAAAGAACACTTGTATCAGGCACAGTGGAAGCCATCCTCTGGAGGTCATGTCCTGCGCTGACATGCGGAGTCCCAGAAGTGCCTGACACTGGCGCACAGTGCGGGGTTGTTGAAGAGCTGGGAGTATGTGGTGTTGGATTCGATGCCACTTGTCCCTGGGTACAGAGAGGGTCTGTCTGGAAAAGCCTTTCTATGAATGAGTTGCAATTTCCACACGTTGATGATCCATCCCAACTGATGCAGGAGACGTGTGAAGTCCCTGTGGCGGATGAGCATGGCCGTGTCCTGGTGGTTCTGTAGGCAGTTGTTGATGTATGCCTCAAACTCAACACTCCTTAAATGGAGGTTGGTGGCTATCGGCTTGGTGATGGGTGTAAATAGCTAAATAGCCTCAGGGCCGAGGAAATTCCAAATGAGAGCACCGCCCATTGATAATGGATTCCATTGAAGATAAAACGGAGACATTTCCTGTCACTGGGATGGATTGGCACATGTAGGTCGGCATCCTGGATATGCTGCTTGAAATTAGAATATAATCTTTGGGGAAATACATCTATAAATGAATCTTAGACCATACAAGTATGCTGTGATGCATATCTGATACATTTTCTGAATTATTCTCCAACCATTTCATGCATATTTTCATCCGTAGATACGCCGATATGGCCTTTATCTGGAGCCCTGCTGGTTCATGAATATATTAACACATCCCAACTGATTACCACACTCAAATGTAGACTGAAAAGGTCAATAAAAAACAGCATGAAACAAAACGTGAATCGAAATTAATACTTTGAAATGATGGTCTAAAGTACATAGTCCAGTAATGAAGGAATGTATGAAATCTTGTTGAAATAAAACAATGAGCCAAATCTTAACCTTTTGAATCTGACATAGCATGATCAGACAGGAACCACTTCTGTATCTCAGCCTGTTTGTTGTTCAGCGTTTCACCACTGTCAGTGTCTGGTGTGTCGGCCATGGCAAACTGGGCAGCCCACTGACACTGGAGCTCCCCGTACTCTGGGCGGATCTGGACAACCTTCACCTTGCAGGCAGGGAACTGTATGTCAATGAAAGAAGGAAATATTTGCAAGTAAAAAAGATTTAAAACTTCTTATTCTACTAGACCACACTGTCTCTTTGCATCTTTTTCAGTCATATTGGTATCAGATTGGATATATAGTTAAAAGAATTAGCTGTCTTTAAAACAGAACTTTCACTCGACTAGGGTTTCAAACTAATTAAGATTGAAACTCTCTTTTCGCAATCAAGCTGTCAGATCACAGAATTGAACCAAAATCCATTTAAGGAAAGTCATTGGACTAATCCACCACCAGCAGTACTATTGAAAACCGAAAAACAGGAATATTAGAAACAGAAGGGTAAAATTTTGCCATTTAGCCAGAAAAATATTATTTGGATTTTTAACATTCTTAAGATATTCTTGTTTCATACTCACAAATCAGTGAAATACAAGCCGACATTTCATTACTGCTCCATCATTCTCAAGCTCATGGGTTAAACACCAATACCTGTTTAAATATACCTGTATACTACGAGAACCAGTACTTACCTTTTTCTTGATAGCAGTAAAGTATGCCTTTCTGGTGGTGTGCTGGTCACTGACATCATCTAGGATAACTCTCTTCCCCTGTAAAACATGGAATCAGTTCTACTCACAGATAGAAAAACAAAACAGGGGCTTTGTCTTGATCTGTTATCATCATGATCAAGATATCAAACCCACAGATCAACAAAAAACATTTGACAAAAATGGAACCAGAATGCTCTGCTTCTCACCTAAAGATATCATGATAGAGGTGATAATAAAAAGGTAAACTAAGAATATGCAAACATAAATAACAGATGCTTCAAATACAACAAAATAGAATGAACATTATATATGGATAGTGCCATAAGCTATAACAGAGAAGCCAACCAGAAACTAGGCAGGTAGAAATATATAGGGTAAAAACAATGTCACTCACCATGCTACTGGGACATAGCCCACTCCCTAACTGTGAGTAAATGAATCAGGGTCTATACCAGCAACTCTAGTGATTTGTAATTAATTATTAATAGGTTGTATATCCATCAATGAATATAGCGAGGTCTATATATTTAGTTCTAATTACATGCAGGAAATATTTTCTTGACAAAATTTGTAATATGTTTTAACTGATGGTATTGGCAAAATTTGATTCAAACTATCGAAATGATGTTGCCAAAAACTGTAATGGTTGTCATCTCTGCTATAATCCATGAGAATACCTTTTTCAATAGACCGCATATGTGCAGACAGATATCCCTCAATCCAAAATCTGGGTTTTCTTTGTATAATTCAGCTGGGCACACCCTGCAAAGGTCTTTCTGATGCTTGTACATCTTCTTACAGTAATGAGACTTCCCCTTGAAAAGAAACATTTTATCTAATCTAGCAAATGTACATAAGGACTGTCACAGTGTCAATCTCATTAAAATCAGATCTTAGTTCTTGCTACCGCTAAACAAATTAGCGTGAACTAAGATCTGATATTAATGAGGTTGGTCACAGTGTCATTCTGACATTTTACAGTCATCTGAGATTTTGTTGCTGTTGTGTTTTCCAAGCTTTCTCTTGCTATGTTAAACATATTTTCCCTTTGCACAGCCCAAGTCCACAGTCAAAAAGACAAACCATCACAGGGAAAAGCTGCTGGAGGCGAAATCAGTTTGCACAGTATGAAACTGATAACTACGTCTACTGTGACAGTCACATTTGTTTAAATCGTCATCATCTATTGTGTCCAATGGACCCCAATTTTAGTTGTCGCGTGAGTTATAGTTAGTTTTACAACAAGCTGACTTGACATACGGAACACGGTGGCCCTGACAAGATGACAACATTTTCAAAACTTGATTTTGCCGCCATGTTTAATACAATCTTATCCCTTCCACCATCTATAAATTCCTCTTATACATATTAATCTAATTTTATACGTTATAAGGAAACATAAACAACAACAGGTAACCACACTCTTGATACATTGTTGATCTTATTCATGCTTTGAAAATGTAAGACTATTAAACATTTTCGTTGATGTGAGCGATTTGATTTCATATAGAGTAATCTCCCTTTACAAAACGGTGGCAATTTTGAAGTTTTCACAGCTATAGGGCCTATCTATTTGTTTTCACGGAGACCATATACAGGTGTATGGTCTCTGGTTTTCATAAACATAGAGCTGTGGTAGATGACATCCATCCTACATCCGTAGGTTATGGCAACACGAACCATAACAATATGTGGCTCATCAAAGTTTATTAGCCCTACTTTTTGGCAAGAACTTTAGAAACTGTTCTATGCTAGTGACTAAAAGACTAGTGTCTTGTGTTGATTTGAGGCATTCAATCATCCATTACACGGCTGCATAATCACTATTTATATGCTAGAGTGGAAAGAAGTACACGACGAACTAGTACAAGGATTATACTTGTAAGTAATGTCTGGTCATATCTTTCAAACATGTCCTTTGTTAAGATATTGTCTTCAGTGACTTCATCATGAGCATATTCTTTTCACACTACTGGCTAGGGACCAGTTATCTATGTAACCCTTGCCGAACTAGGCTGGTATTATGGAGTTACATTTTTACTGGACTAATGAATCAATGCATAGTCCAATCAAAATCGCGCACCGAAATCGAAATCTAGTTTGTAAACTGTCGTGTAGATTTCGGTCGATTGCAGGATTTGCAAAGCATGTCCAACTCGTTATCAGCAGATATTTTCCAAATCTTTTCATGTGTGTAATCAATGTGCTAACGTGATTTGATGCATTATGCAATGTAAGACCTGTTTTATCACAATGTAGATCTTGATTATCGATCAGATCATCATGACTGGGTGCCACCATTTTGTGTGAAGCAAACGGAAGTGATACGAGAGGTGGAATCTGATTGGTCCATGGGAGAGGCTGAGAAGAGACATAATTGGTAATAGCCACAGGTTGCGCGACGATTGAGCCTAGTTCGGCAAGGGTGTAAAGTGGACTTTTAAAGTCAGTTTACTCTCTTGCCTCGGGAAGATGAGGAAAACGCTGTCTAGAGCTATAGTGACTAGTCAAGAGCTTTTCTTATCTCAAAGTTTAATGTCCAGATCATATATAATCCAATCCAATCATTAACTGTTTTGCATTGATTTGTTGTTATGATTCATCATTTTGAAACGTTCAGACTTATTGACTTTTGCCATTAACTTATTATTATTATTATTATTGCATTTCTCGGGAACAAGTCTTTGACCTATGTACAGATTTTGTGGCATATTAAAAATGATGTCAAAATTGAACGGATGAGAGGATATCGTAAGGACAGCTACCTACATCAGCAATAGAAACAAAACAGTTTGGTCCACTAGTCGTTATGATAACATGTGTACAGCAAACCCCTTAAAAATTTCAAATGTCAATAAGGTTATATCATGTATTCAGATGGAGAGTGATGAAGCTGGTCCAACTAGAAGGGTTGCTCGTTCAAGGAAAAGAAGTGCCTCATCTCTGCTTGACTCCAGTAATATTGTTAGCAGTGCCAAAAAGCATCACGAAAAAACCCAGAAGCACACAATGCATTCACAGGCTCACGACTCATTCTCTTTTGAAGAAGACTGGTTCATTAACTCATTCTGTAGTGAAAATCATTCATCTTATCCAGAGAAGAGTAATTCACATGTAAGTTATTAGTTGTTATGGAATTAAGCAAAATGTAAGGAACCACTACATTTTGCAGTGTTACTGTTATTGAGGGTCCTTGGTTCCTTGATGTTATTTGCTATTATGATGATTATGTGGTAATCTGGTGATTAATTTTTTAAATGATTGATTCAAAATGATAAAGGTTATTGCAATTCAGAATATGTTATCGCTGTTTAACTCTGATCATTTACCGATACCTTGTAGTCATTATATGTATGTATAATGTATATATGTTTCTATGATAGAGGGGATGGGAGGCCAGCGGCAGGGTGTGACAAATACATTGTTCCACTAGACACATACCAGTAGACAAGGAATCACCGACAAGGAATCTATCCTCAATCAGTAACAGGATTTAGCTGGCACACCTGTAATCATGGTGACTGAAATACTGTTGGAAGCATTGCTAGACCAATCTTGATCTTGACCGTGGATTCACCCTGATTACTGAATGTATCCATGTTTTGCTGTCAACCAGTCTGTGCCCATCCTCTATATCTCCAGGGCTCGCATTTCCGTAAACCTTCACTAACCCCTGGACCAATCCACAAGGTTTTCACGATCTTAAATTTCCTCCCCTTGATTTTTATTGATAATTTACTGACCAATCAAATGTCATAATAAGTAAACAGGACATCCTTTTCATCAAAAATATTTTATTTGGCTTTCTTTTGCCTGTCAGTCAGTATTTCAACGTTGAATTTCTCGCAAACTCTAACCTAAGTCTAGTAAAATTGTGAGTAACTTATCCTGCATTACTCCTTAATGCATTTACTGCTTCTTTTTATAGAAAGAAGAACCTGTGTGAGGTTCATATGAAGAAGAAGTTGTTCCAACTAGTTGTTTGGCTAATCCCATCACACAGCGCCCAGGTTACCACAGAAGTAATGACGTCACAGACCATCACACTACTTCTGTCACGCAGACTGAATAGTCAAGCTCCTGATTCATTGACATCCTTTGTGTGTCACTCAACACTATTTGTTTTTTGTGATTTATTTCCTTCATATGGTTTGTGACTTTATGTCTTACCTTCTTTTTTTGCGATTGCATTAATAATTAACACTTGATGGTGGCTTTTTGTCACAATAAGTATCAGGTGTATTGTTGTTCCAATTAGCCATTTTGAATTCACTTTGTGCCAGTTGTGGCCACGTTATTTTGTGTCATGCATTTTGTATTCTTTGTGTTTGGTACTTATACGTTGTTGTACCTATGCCTACCTATGGTTATTAAAGTGTTTTATGTACTTTTCTTTGCAGAATCTTACCCTTTAACCTCTGTTCTGGTATTTAGAATATTACATACACACTCAATCATGCTGGGAACACATTGTGATTACACCTGCTTCATTGCAGATTTATGACCCGTTGTACTCAGTGCCACGGTAACATGTCAGAACTCTCTGACCTGTAAACATCAGGATCTCCGACCAGAGTTAGGACCTAATGTTAGCTGTGCAGTGTATTTGTACAGATTGGTTTGCATGCTTACTTCATGCGGGGTAACAAGGCACCACCCTTCATTGTCACCTCAAAAAAGGAATGGGAGGAACCAAGCGATCGGAATGCTGCAAGAAGAGGCAACTCAAGTGATCGTTGCCAGACATTTAAACGTCCATCCATGCATGATAACTCCACTGTGGCATCTTTCAACGCAACAGGGACAGCTGCAGACCGTCCGAGACCTGGTGAGGCACCTGTGACAACACCGCGCCAAGACCGTCACATCTGTCTTTTGTACCTTTGAAACAGGTTTCAATTAACTGTAGATACAACCAGGAGGACTTTTGGGACCCGTCAACGCCGCATTAGGAGGCAATGAAATGGTGCTATCAATGCTCATTCTTGGTTATATAAGGCAACCTCAATGCTCGAGGTAATGTGAACATTATTCTTCGTCCAGCACTGTTGCCATTACTGGTTCAACATCAGCTTGTCTTCCAGTATGACAATGCACCTCCACACACTGCAAGGTTCACAGGAAACTTTCTGACCAGGAACAACATCTGTGTGATGACGTGCCTGCCATCTGACTTGACATGAATCCAATTGAACACTTGTGGGACAAGCTTGGACTGAGGGTTCAAACTCAACAGCAACCACCTCAGACAGTGGCAGAGTTGACACAGTCCCTACAACATCACTGGCAGAACATCCCAAAACCTTTCCTGAGGCATCTGTGTCAGTCCATGCCTCGGCGACTACAGGCATGCATCAGAGCACAAGGTGTACATACCTGATCCTCGGTGACATCATCCACGGACGTGTTGCTTACAGGCTTTAATGTTAACATTTCATGTGATGGTTATGTTTGTCACTACTGTTGGTTTCATTTGGTATTCTTTCATTGAAATTAAATACACACCATCTGAAGATTTAATTGCATTTTCAATGGACTTGATTATATTCTGGTGGCTCTCCACTTGCTCATTGCACCTTGAAGATCAGAAGGCCAAGTTTTGCCCTCCCACACAGGATTGTCATTTTTCGTGCTCAGTCGTTTGAGCCTCTTCATGCTACATTGTTTTATAACCTCACCAAAAAACTATATGTTTTTGGCACTGGCCACGGTGGCAAGGGTTAGTGAGCTTCACTATTCCGACATTACCCATGTATGCTTGAGCGTGGTACACACAGAGTCAGTCACCTCGGACTGTGCCCGGATTTCACTGCCAAGAATCAATTACCAGGACAGCCCGACCGGTCTTTCTCCATCCCATCTGTATCATCGATCGTGGGAGCGGAAGATGAGGAAAAACTCTTAATTATGCCCTGTGCGTGCATTGTGAGTTATATCCATTGCTCCAAGACTTTGCGTGGTGCTTTGAAACAACTTTTATTCAAGGACCGAAGCCAACCACAACACTGTATCATTATGGTTGAGAGCTGTCATACTTCAGGCTTATGAAATTGGCAACCTTGCCGACAGCTGTTAACACTCATGAGATTTGAGTGGTTGCCTCTACGATGGCTGTACAAGGTGACTGCTCTATAAGAACCATCATGGAAGGATGTTTTTTGGAAGTCCAGGTCTCCAGTCCTCGTCGCCATTAAAATTCTCTCCCTGTATAGAGCGAGCCTTACCCGACTTGCGCAGTGTTCGCACGCCTGACAGGGGGGCTATTCTGCTAACCAGCAGTTTGGCTTGGTAAATCAGTTTCAAGACTTTAGTGCACGCTAATTTCTCCGGGACGTCCTCATACTCTCGTACCGTCCGCGGACAGGACTGGTGGAAGTAGTTACAGATCTGCACAAGTGATGCGCTCAACAACTTCCGTAAACTAGTGGAGAGTTTATGTCACTGAAGACCGCATCTGAAGGCATGCCCTCCGCTGTACAGTTAGATAAAATGCATAAAGTAGTAATGCAGGAGAAGTTAAAAATTCAAGTTAAAACTAGATATTTTTTATTTTTGTGTACTTATCCTGCATTTCTACGTCTAAAGTGGCCCAACTGTCGCTGAGCTGCGTCCCAACAATGTTTTCAGATGTTAGGATCGAGCAGTAATGTGATGGTCCGTGATGTCATCACTTTTGTGGTCACGTGGGCAGTGTGATGGGATTAGCCACACAACAAGTTGGAACAACTTCTTCAGCTGGACCTCACATAGCTCCTTTATTTTGTCAAAACAAGGAGTAAATGCATTAAAGAGTAATGCTGGATAAGTATACAAATATCTAGATTTTACTAGTTTGGTCTTGTGAGATCTGGTATGATAACACCAAACTGAACTATAAATGATGCTAAGATCTAAGTTCAGACTGTTACCATGTATGTAAGATCAAAATAGGGTTTACTTGGCTTAGACTTTGAACAGACACAAAGACTGGTCAAGCTGAGAAGGTTTTCACAAAAAGGATGCATGAACAATATGAATCGTTTGTTTATCATCATATAGGAGATAACCCAGTAGAACAGACAATATATGTATGATTTACATTTTGTTGTTGACAGATACCAGGGGAAAAAATGGCATTAGTTAGAAAGTTGGAGAAATCTGACTCTCCGAGTGTTCATACAACATCAAACACATCAGATGCAGTTGAATCTGTGAGATGCGGAATTGACAGTGTGGTAGTCAAGGCAACAAGCAAACCAAATGGAAGTTCTGCAACTGATGGAGGAACCTTCAAAGTCCAGCCCGCTGTGAGTGGTGGGACAGGAGATGCTGTACATGAAGGGACTAAACATTTGTCTTTAAAGGATAGACTCAAGCAGAAGATGAAGCGCAACTCCATGGCTCCGTCTGGAGTGAATCACGCCGTGGATCTGCTCCGGGAGACGGTATTGGAGCAGGCTCAGATGGAGGCTCTAGCGATACAGAAGCAGGGCACAGATGTGGACATAGGGCCGTTCTATGGCCTTCCCTCCAAGGTGCAAAAGCTGCTGGAGACTCACAGAGGAATTAAGAAGTTCTATGGTGAGGGAATTGATCTATTAATATGAAATACAGAAGGACATTTATCTCTACAGCTAATTATGAATACGAATTACTTACTGGGTTCTCACAGGCTTAAAAATACTGTCGTTGAATGCAACTTAAAATGTCCTCTAGGACATCAGAACACACTTTCTAACACTGTTGTTGATGTTGATCAGATTGGCAGGAAGAATGTCTCCAACTCCCAGCAGTGCTCCAGGGCAGGAATCTGATCTACTCCCTCCCCACCAGTGGAGGCAAGACTTTAGTTGCCGAGATACTCATCCTTCGTGAGCTGCTGTGTAAGAAGAAAGATGCCATCCTCATCCTGCCTTATGTCTCCATCGTACAGGAAAAGGTATACTCAAAAGTCAACACTTGTTTTATCCACTGGAGATTCTGGGTAAGAATAGGTCCCCAGCAACCTATGTTTGTGATTTTGTTAAAAAAAATGTCAACTGACCAATGTCCAAAAACACATTTAGAAAATATAAAAATACTACTTTGAATATATTTTTATTTACCGGAGCATTTGTTTTATCCTTGATGGATATGAAAAATGAAAAGAGACAACTTCAAAACAATCAGTGATTGTTAACCTTTGCAATGATTGATCAACTGCATTGCCACTACAAACAGAACAAAACATTATAACATTACCTCAGGCTGCTGTTGTAAGTTTTGTAACAGTATGAAATACTTCAGTATCCCCTAGTTTAGTGGTATATATTGGTGTGTGTGTGACTGATTTTACCATGTCTTCAGAGTCTTAGAATTTCTGTATTTTGCAAAGGAATTTTTGAAGTTATCAATTGTATTGAAACCATGTGAAACCAGTAATAGAATAACCATGACATCGACAATGTGAGACTGACATCATAGAACATAATATGTACTGTTCCTGTTACCATGGTTACTAGGTACGGAACCTGTGTCAGTTTGCCCTGGAACTGGACTTCCTTGTTGAAGAGTACGCCGGAAGCAAGGGGAGGTTCCCTCCTGTCAAGCGGCGCCGCAAGCGGACCCTCTACATAGCTACCTTGGAGAAGGCCCACTCCCTGGTGAACAGCATGATAGAAACTCACTACCTCGACTCTCTGGGCCTTGTGGTTGTGGATGAGGTGAGCACAGTTTCTCACACTGGGCTGTTTTCTAGGACATCCAGACTTTTTTCATATTTGGCAATGATATATGAGAATGTCATGAAATGTCCTTATGCCATTTGTCTCCAGCTGAAACATTGGTACGGCTTCAGATAATTTTTAAACGAATGACTTGACCTATTTTATATATAATTCTGCTTAAAATGATTTTTTAACTAACTTGTAATTTCCATCAGTTCATGGCCTGCCCCAATGTGTCATACCCGGTATATTGCATAATCTCACAACAGCAATATGTGTCTCAGTTACAAAATAAGCATGACATAGCACTTTGTGTATTATTCACTTTATAAGAGTTCTTGTATAAACATGTGATGCCTGCATTCTGCCAGTAAATAAAGACCTGTTCAGACGTGTATGCCAGATCTAAAGGCTACATTGGGGAATTACCCGCAGTGTTAGACTGTTGGGGTTTTGTAGTTTTCATTCATATTTGTACACAACTCGGAATTAATTGGGTTATGGTGATATGTTTGGCATTAATTGTACAAATATACAGCTTCTCTGGAATTCTGATGTTAGAATATCAACTTCGGGTATATCTATCAGATGCTTCAGTTTCATAACGTGACATGCTTTTTGCTTCATACGTCTCGGTTTATTGACAAACAAATCTGTAAAACAAAACAGTTGGTGTGGGCTGATGAAACTACTCCACATGTGTGTACACGCTTCATTCCTCCACCACCCAGGAATACTTGGGGCTGATATGCAGTGTAATAGTGTCATGTATCTCTCTTTAATTTCATTATGAAATGAGGATGTTTATAACTCAGGGAAGTCAAATGAGCCCTGCTCTGTTCAGTAAAGGAGAAAGGAGAAAAAGGCTGTAAGGCTTTGGCACATGTTGCACATGCAGGCAGTGTTGCAGATGTCATCTGAACACTCACTGGTCTGAGCACTTGCTGGAATCTGGACGTCGCTTGATTTGTAGGTTAAACATAGCGACTAGACCGCAAAGCAGACTATATATTCATGGGTGATGGAGGAATTAAGTGTATACATACACATGACGTATTGATGATGGACTCGGATGAAGTGTGATTTGTTCCAGCTACACATGATAGGAGAGGGAGGAAGTAGAGGGGCCATACTGGAGGCAGCGTTACTCAAGTTGCTGCACTGTGGGGGTGAGTTGGGTTACTCTACATGCTTTGTGTCGGGGCCATACTGGAGGCAGCGTTACTCAAGTTGCTGCACTGTGGGGGTGAGTTGGGTTACTCTACATGCTTTGTGTCGGGGCCATACTGGAGGCAGCGTTACTCAAGTTGCTGCACTGTGGGGGTGAGTTGGGTTACTCTACATGCTTTGTGTCGGGGCCATACTGGAGGCAGCGTTACTCAAGTTGCTGCACTGTGGGGGTGAGTTGGGTTACTCTACATGCTTTGTGTCGGGGCCATACTGGAGGCAGCGTTACTCAAGTTGCTGCACTGTGGGGGTGAGTTGGGTTACTCTACATGTTTTGTGTCGGGGCCATACTGGAGGCAGCGTTACTCAAGTTGCTGCACTGTGGGGGTGAGTTGGGTTACTCTACATGCTTTGTGTCGGGGCCATACTGGAGGCAGCGTTACTCAAGTTGCTGCACTGTGGGGGTGAGTTGGGTTACTCTACATGCTTTGTGTCGGGGCCATACTGGAGGCAGCGTTACTCAAGTTGCTGCACTGTGGGGGTGAGTTGGGTTACTCTACATGCTTTGTGTCGGGGCCATACTGGAGGCAGCGTTACTCAAGTTGCTGCACTGTGGGGGTGAGTTGGGTTACTCTACATGCTTTGTGTCGGGACCATACTGGAGGCTGCGTTACTCAAGTTGCTGCACTGTGGGGGTGAGTTGGGTTACTCTACATGCTTTGTGTCGGGGCCATACTGGAGGCAGCGTTACTCAAGTTGCTGCACTGTGGGGGTGAGTTGGGTTACTCTACATGCTTTGTGTCGGGACCATACTGGAGGCTGCGTTACTCAAGTTGCTGCACTGTGGGGGTGCTTTGGGTTACTCTACATGCTTTGTGTCGGGGCCATACTGGAGGCAGCGTTACTCAAGTTGCTGCACTGTGGGGGTGAGTTGGGTTACTCTACATGCTTTGTGTCGGGGACATACTGGAGGCAGCGTTACTCAAGTTGCTGCACTGTGGGGGTGAGTTGGGTTACTCTACATGCTTTGTGTCGGGGCCATACTGGAGGCAGCGTTACTCAAGTTGCTGCACTGTGGGGGTGAGTTGGGTTACTCTACATGCTTTGTGTCGGGGCCATACTGGAGGCAGCGTTACTCAAGTTGCTGCACTGTGGGGGTACTGCATGTGCTTTGTGTTAAGGGAAATTTTGAAAATTGTTCAGCAATTTATTGCAATATGTAGTTTTATTTGTTTGTTTATTTGTTGTTTAACATCACACTGTGAAATATTCCAGTCTGTAAATAACAGAGTCTGGACCAGACTGTGATTGACATAATGAGCATCGATCTATGCAAGTGGGATATGATGACATGCATCAACCAAGTCAGTGGCTGTATTGTGGTACATACTCATATGTATTGCAAACAAAACGATGGATCTGTGCAAGGATGTTCCTTTAATTCTAATCATTTTCAGATACATGTTTGTCAGTATGATTATAATTTCAGTCAAAGGTTGTAACTAATTTGACAAGGACACAAATACTTAGTATTGCTATTTTGGTTAGTTTGTGGTGCTGTTGTATCCTTGATTTGTATGTTGTTTGTATTCTACACACGAGTATGGTCCTATCAATATATAGCATCTTGGATAAAAGTAACTGATGAATCAATAAATCTTTCGTTCCATGTATGTGTGCATGGCACATGCTATAGAGTTATTTCCAATGACTTTGAAGGGATCTTGAAAAAGTCTCAACATTAGAGAGACTCCCTGGGACTCGTTGACCCAGAAAACTGGTAGCCTCTGGAATTTGGCAGATAGGTCCCATGTTCTCCATGCTTGCTGTTAGAGACAACTAACTTGTGGACACAGGGGTAACAAGGGGCACAGGTGGCTCTGTTGTCTAAGGCACTTCAATTCCCTGTACAGAGTTGCATCCCTTGGACACTCCAGAAATCTGTGGTCTTGGGTTGGAAACCTGTTTCGCCCCGATTATGTTTGTTAGCAGCATAACCGTGTTGACAGGCTGTGGTATAACTGGAATACTGTTCAAAGCAGCCTTTAATCCAACTCACTCACTCATTGTGGTAACAATGTGGCACACTGTCTCACATAAATCAGTGCTCAAGCCTGGTTTACTTAGAGTCCTGTTGGATGATGCTGGCTGCAGTATATGACAACATCTACTATGTGCAGGAGTGGAATTATTTATTATTAACTGTAATTTATGGAGTATGTGTCTGTCTGTTGTCAGGGACACAGATTGTTGGCATGAGTGCTACTCTGAACAACATCAGAGACATTCAGACATTTCTGCAGGCAGAGGTGTACTCCAACAACTTTAGGCCGGTGAGTATGGACATATATATACATGCACACATGCAAACATATATATTCAAACTAGGGCTGGGACGAGTCCAAATTTACTACCCGGGTACCCGCTCCCCTATTACCCGACCCTACCCGGGTACCCGTTGTAGGTCTTAAAAGATAGGTCTAAATATCCGATTGGAAATAGTTTGACCGTAGCCCTGGCAAAATGTATTCAGATACACATATAAAACGATATGGTTATGCATACACTGAAGTTGACTGAAGTTTTATCTTTATTCAAACATATATAGTCAGAAGGACTGGTGCTTAGTCAGAAAGAAATGCGAACATTAGTCACTTATAGTGTAACCATAGAGTTCCAGATGATTGTTGCCATTAAACAATATATCACGTGACTAACCACTGGTCCAGGTAGTCCTTCAGGTACCCGGATCCTACTCAGTACCCACTCAACCTGAGTACCAGAGTTACCCGTCCCAGCCCTAATACAAACAAAGACATGCAGACATATGAACATACTCATGAAAAGATTTGCAAAATAGCTGTCTACACACAGTTGGCGGTACACATGCTTTGCTAATCCTGCAGTCGAATGAAATCTGCATGTTGAAATCCCTTTTGTTTACAAACCTGATGTCTCGTTCATTACATGAAATAAATTGGGCTATGCATAGACTCGTTAGCCCAGCCGAAATTTAACTCCAGAATTCCAGCCTAGTTTGGCAAGGGTGGAAACTGGATTTTAATTGTAAGTTAACGCCCTTGCCATGGGAAGATGTCACAGATCATGACCAGTGACAACTGTGTTGCTTCACATAGGTAGTGTAACAAATTCAAAAAGTCAATCATCATCCCTACTCACACGTTATAATTTCTTTGTCAGACTCAGTTTTGTTTAATATGTCTGGTCTTTAATGCTTTTCTTTTGAAATGCCTCACTTTCCAGGAAAACTGGATGATTATCAAATGAATAATTTTTTTATCTTATCCTGCATCACTACCATAATGCTTTAAGTGCTGTTTTATGACTAGGAATACGGAGATGAGAGAGGTCCTGGCTACAGAAGTTGTTCCAACCAGTTGTGTGGCATATACCCTCCCACAGCTACTATGTGACCAGAAGTTTTTGTTTTGTTTGTTTGTTTAATGCCGCTCTCAGCAATATTCCAGCTATATGATACAATTGGAATACAATGACATGCATCAACCAAGTCAGCGAGCCTGACCACCTGATCCCATTCGTCGCCTCTTTCGTCAAGCATAGTCGTCGCCATTTACAGCAAGCATGGGTTGCTCAAGACCAATTCTTACCCGGAACTTCACAGTACAAGTGACCGGAAGTGGCAAAGTCTGTATAATCACATTACTGCTAGTCATCGGACTGTACAAAGTTTGAGAATAAAGCACTCCAATTATCAACAGCCTGAAAGCATCCTTTGCTAACTAATATACTTTTTAACTTATCCTGCATTACTACGTATTGCATTTACTGCTGTCTTTTGACCCAGAGATGAACTGTGTGAGATCCAGCTGCTGATGAAAAGTTGCTCCAACCGGTAGAAGGCAGCACCCCCTGCACAGTTAGCATGTGACCCGGAACTGGAACCCTCTCGAGACACAATGTGGATCTTGGAAACCGCTGTTCATTCCAGCCTCGTCATCATCCTAAAGGGGAGTTAGTCATAACATTATCTCACTGTAACTGTGCTCCATTATCCAGCAGGCTCCAGAGGTATGGACTAGGTTAGAATCGAGGGTGTCGTTCCAATCATTGCTCTCCACAGCACTTGTTCCATCAAGTCCATCATGGAGGGTTGTGTTTGGCACTCAGATACTGTCTTCTCTAGTCATTGTCTCCAAGAAATGGCTCTTAAGGATGGTGTTCATAGTTTTGGTCCCCTGTTGGTGGTGCAGCAGGTCACAAACCCGGTCTTGGCTTTTACACCTCGGAGCTGACCTTGCGACCTCTTTGGTAGAAATTACCCCAGGCTAGAGGGTTTTCATGTTTCCGTTTATCCCAGCTGCTTGAACCGGAATTTAGAACTTGGCCTACGCCCTTTCTACTTTTCCTTTTTCCATGACTACACTTCCCAACTCCTACTCTCTCTTGCGTGACTCTATTGGACAGGAAGGTCTGTGGTTTCCTGTTTTCCTGCTCAAGATGCTGTCTGGTTACCTGGACTGGCTGAGGGTCTATCCTGAAATTCCATCTGTTCCATCTTTTAAAAATGCTTTAAGGTTGTAATGCAGGATGAGGCAAAAATAATTAGTAAAATCTCTGTAATTTTTACATTTGGATACTTATTCTGCATTACTATGTCTTAAGTGCCTGCTCATCGCCTTGCTACCTCCCCACAAAATTACAGATGTCCGTACTAGCAGTAATGTGATTATACATGACTTCACCGCTTCCGGTCACGTGATAGCTGTGGGAGGGCATATGCCACACAACTGGTTGGAACAAGAACTTCTGTAGCCAGGACCTCTCACAGCTCCATCTTCCTAGTCAGAAATCAGCAGTGAAAGCATCAAGGTAGTAATGCAGGATAAGTATCCAAATGTAAAAAATGTTGAGATTTTACTAAACTTTGAATTTCTAACACAGGTGAAACTGACGGAGTATGTGAAAGTGGAGGACAGCGTGTTTATGGTGGACAGTGGTCAAGTCGACCTGCGAGGGCAGGACATCCTCAAGCATGACCGAGTCATCATGTTCCCAGTAAGTGGCCTGGGTTAGATAGGTTCCCAGTAAGTGGCCTCACTGTAGAGGTCTGGGTTAGATAGGTTCCCAGTAAGTGGCCTCACTGTAGAGGTCTGGGGTAGATAGGTTCCCAGTAAGTGGCCTCACTGTAGAGGTCTAGGGTAGATAGGTTCCCAGTAAGTGGCCTCACTGTATAGGTGTGGGGTAGATAGGTTCCCAGTAAGTGGCCTCACTGTAGAGGTCTAGGGTAGATTGGTTCCCAGCACTCCTGTCAGCAGAAGAGACTAACCTGGATTGGGTGGTCAAGTTTGGTGACTTGGCTGTGTGTACCCCTGTTGGTGCGGAACAATGCTCATAATGACAACCACTGGTTTATTTAGCCAATTATTAGCAGGCCATTGTCATCTATACTCCCAGCTGGTAAAAGTAATTTGACTTTTGCCCATTTCATATTTCTTTTAGTTAAACAAACAAATTTTCATTGAAATGTTGATGAGTGTTACAACTAGTGTTAAGACATAACATCTAAGTTACAAACCGAGATGTATTGAAATACTTTATTTACAGTCCGATACACATCATAATACATTATTTCAAGGAAAATTGTGTCAATTTTGCTATAATGCCAGACCAATTTGATTTTTTGTTTTGAACTTTTCTTGGTCAATTTGTCAAGAGGAAGAAGGTGAAATAGAAATAGGAAAGTGCTGCTTTGATGTTAATTTCCTTTACAAAAAACAACTCAAGAAATAGAAGTCTGAACTTCTAAGTTCTAATCCTTTCAAGACAATGTGGGAAGCACATTCTTGTTTCAGTGAACACTGCTTCACTCAGTACAATGGTACAGTGAACACTGCTTCACTCAGTACAATGGTACAGTGAACACTGCTTCACTCAGTACAATGGTACAGTGAACACTGCTTCACTCAGTACAATGGTACAGTGAACACTGCTTCACTCAGTACAATGGTACAGTGAACACTGCTTCACTCAGTACAATGGTATAGTGAACACTGCTTCACTCAGTACAAAGGGGGCATGAGTGGCCCAGTCGTCTAAGGCGCCGCGATTCGCTGTGAAGAGTTGCGTCCCTTGGGCATGCCAGAAACCTATGATTGTGGGTTCGAATCCCGGTTCGCCCCGATTATGTTTCTAGGTTTGTCAGCACCATACCTGTGCTCGTGGGTTTCACCGAAGTGGTAAACGTCTTAGACCTGCATCACTTCGGGCTTTCTTCCCACATTAAGCTAACACGCCATGATATAACTGGAATAATGTTAATGGTACAATGGTACAGTGAGCACTGCTTCACTCAGTACAATGGTACAGTGAACACTGCTTCACTCAGTACAATGGTACAGTGAACACTGTTTAACTCCAATGTCCACTGCTATTTCAGTACAATGTCCTCAATTTCAACACCATGTCCAGTGCTTTTTAATGTCCCCTGTTTCAATATAATGTCCTCTGTTTCACCATAATGTCCATTGTTTCAGTACAATGGTCCCTGTTTCAGTACAATGGTCCCTGTTTCAGTACATTGTCCACTGTTTTAGTACAATGTCCCCTGTTTCAGTACAATGGTCCCAGTTTCAGTACAATGTCCCCTGTTTCAGTACAATGTCCATTGTTTCAGTACAATGGTCCCCGTTTCAGTACAGTGTCCACTGTTTCAGTACAATGTCCCCTGTTTCAGTACAATGTCCCCTGTTTCAGTACAATGCTGACTTGAAGATTCAGGACCCCGACCATCTCCTGGGGCTAGTGATGGAGGTGATTCCCAATAACTCCTGCCTAGTCTTTTGCCCCACAAAGAAAAACTGTGAGAATGTGGCTTTGATGCTGTCTAAGCTGATGATCAAACATCACAGGTAAGTGTTTTCTAATATCGATAGGTAAGTGAGGCCTAGTCATTCATAGCACTGCGATTCTCGGTGCACAGGTGCATCCCTAAGATTCCCAGCGATATTTACCTATGCATGTGGGATTCTCTATAGTGATAAACACCTCAATCTGTCCGTCCACATCAAGCTGACACACTTCATCTACAGCGATGTACCTACCTTTACGTAATATGACTCTCAAACACAATGTATATCGGTATAACTTATTATTTAACTAAGGGTGTCCCAAAAATATCAAAGCAAAAACATTTTTGCCTTTTTGAGGTAATACTTATATTCCAGCAATAACAAAACATCACTTACTGATCTTATCGTGTCAGATGGTGACAGAGAGTTATTGATTTGCTGTAAAAGAGGTGATTTAAATGAGATTGGATAATTCCTGGTGTTTTCTGACACAGACACCTGACCACGGTAAAACGCACAGAGAGGAAGCAACTGCTCCAGGAGCTGTACCGAGATGGCAACGGTCAGATCTGTCCCGTCCTGGAGTACACCATCCACCTGGGTATCGCCTACCACCACAGCGGCTTGACCATGGACGAGCGGAGACTGGTGGAAGACGCCTACTCCGAGGGGACGCTGTGTCTCCTCACCTGTACCTCCACCCTCGCTGCCGGCGTCAACCTCCCCGCCAAGAGGTAGGACACTTGGGGGGGGGGGACTAAAAAATAATTTAATTTGTTAAAAATTGGGATATTTTTAAAGTTGTTATTTTCTAATATTCAGAGGTATTTTAACATTGCAATAATGTCAAACAATGCATTTAGCCTTTTCCTCTTTATTGGTCCTGTTATCCTTCAGTGAAATACCAGTCACCTCTACAAAGCCATAACAGTTGTTACAAGTGACATGAATTGGAACACATTAAATTTCAATTTGGGAATGAATATACATTGATGCAGAGTTGGGGTTGAATATTGTCCTCTGAGCAGTTCAAGATGAGTCCCTGCAATGTATTATACATCTATTGTATTATGACAAATCTTGATCCATTTGGCCCTTAAGCTCCGTTTTGAGTCTTGTTCAAATAAAACAAAGCTTTTATAGCCGTCCAACCAAATTACACTGTTCCTAGATGATTGAATCAAGCGCTGAGATTACTGGTACTTGATTTGCCTTCTGAAGGACTTTCTCTACCGTGATACTCAGGGAAACAGGTTTTCATCTGGATGTTTATGGATAACAATAGTTTGTTTGGATTCATTGAATTGAGGGCTTGCTCATACAAGACCAAATTTGGAGGAGTAACAACAAATGAAGTCCCAGCACAGGTGTCACGGATCAATGCTCGTACTATCGACCGCTGATCTAATATTGCTGACTATGGTGCCACCCCACACTGAACTCCATACTGTGACTTGCTGTGAAACACCACCTTGAAAGGTCCTCTGTTGGTAAAGTCCTCATTACAATGTTAGCACGGTTTATTGCACTGTTTCAGAGTGATCCTGCGAAGTCCCTATGTCGGCAGTGGCTTCATCAATCACAGCCAGTACAAACAGATGACTGGGCGGGCGGGGCGGGCTGGCATTGATGATTCAGGGGAGAGCATGCTCATCACAAAGAAGGCGGATGCTCCCAAGGTAATCAAGCAATGTCCTCTGTTATAGTAAGTGATCGCAACTCTATCAAGGTTTGCCCTGAATTTGGCTGTCCGGTCTTGAAGAGGTCTTTAGTTTTAGTCTGCCTTGAAAAGTCCATAAAATTCAGGGAAATACCTTGACAAGGCCTTTGCAACCAATTTTACTCTGCTGTTAAATATATTATATACAGTTATGTTTTTCTCTTTAATATTGAATGATGACATCATGTACCAAAGAATTAGTCTGTAAGACACATGATAATAATATTTAAACACTGGAATATTTCTTTTGAGTGGTTGGGTGTACAAATGGAGCCATTCTGACCATGAAATAGAGTAAGAATGTCCTAATAAGTCTTGGGTTCAGCCTTAACAAGTATGATAACTGCCTTGAAAAAATATTAAAACAGCTATAAATGTGTCTTCTCACGTTTTGTATGATCTGTGTCGCTGGATGCTGTGCCTCCCATAGTCCAGCTTGGACTTGCATAGCTTAACTACCAAAGTACAGGGGACTGTCACGGTGTCAGTACGTATGTGTGGAGCCAAGGAGCCACTGGGTGGTGGCCTGTATGGCCGACAGGGCGAAACTGACGCTGATGATAAACTTCAAGCAGAAGACGATGTCTAATGACAAGTTCCCCATTGGCATGTATGTCACCGTCCCAGAAAAAGGGTGGATGGATGAATCACTGATGCACAAGTGGATCAAGAATGTGTGGATGCAGAGACCTGGGGCTGCTAGAGGTTGCAAGTCCCTGCTTGTGTGGGACATGTTCAGGGCACATTTGTGCAAGGCTATCAAGAAGCAAGTTGGCAGACAGTAAGATGGTGGCTGCATATCTCTGCTGCAGCTATTAGACGTCTGTCTCAACTCACCATTCAAGGACCGAATGGAACAGTTGGATGGTGAACGGCGACCACACATACACAAAAAGCATCAAGCAAAGAAAGCCCCCTCTACCAGTTGTTGCTGAATGGGTCAAGGCAGCCTGGAAAGACATACCAGAGGACATGGTGAAGCAAAGGTTTCTAAAGTGCGGGATTGCCAATGCAATGGATGGGTCTCAGGACAATTGCCTGTTTGAAGATCTAGTGAAGTCGTTGTCTCAAGGCGAGAGATCTGAGGACACAGAAGCCGAAATCTTTGACAACTTCGAACGTGAGCTGAACTATTACTATGATGACCGAACAGAATCAGCAGCTTGGAACATTCTGTGCACTGACCCCGAGTTTGATGGATTCACTGATATATGATTGTGTTCCTTGTGAAAAGGAAAAACTGTATATGGATGATTTTGTGTGTGTTATAAAACGCCTCAATATACCAGCTATATGACAGCAGTCTATAAATAATTAAATCTGGATGAGACAGTCGTGTGATTTGTAGGAATTCATTTAGTGTGTGTGTGTGTGTGTGTGTGCATGAATAAATGACTCATAACTCGTAACCCCCTGCATACCATCAGCTCAACAAAGACTCCAATCAGTCGTAATCCTTTTGTTTATATTACCGTCATGTTCTTCATCCATATATCTTGCCCTTACCTTTGTTGCTATATTTCACCAGAATCCTATTATCAAGGATTTGATTCCCAGTTGTCCCTGACTATGTTTCTAGGTTTGCCAGCAAATACACATCCTCTGGGTTCCACAAAGTGGTAAACATCTAAGACCTGCATCACTCCAGGTTGCCCTACCACAGTTATCTGACACGCCCTGATTGTACTGGCATACTGTTCACAGAGGCGTTAAACCAAACTCGCTCTGTTAAACAACTAGATCTCTAGTGTTGGGTTGTGTTTGTGTCCATGCTAATCCACGAGGCTACCTGCATCCCGAGTTTGTTAAATGGCTGTGTAAGTGGTTATTGATTAACACAGCATTAACCCTACCTCCCCGCCCTTGTCTGTCCAGGTGCGTGAACTGCTGACCACCACTCAGGAGCCCTGCCACAGCAGCCTGATGTACGATGAAGGGAAGGGCATCCGGAGTCTGCTTCTCTCCTCCATTGGACTCCAGGTAATTAACATACTTTGTTGTAAATAAAGATTGCAGGATTTTACTGGATGGAAAATATTGTGTCCTATTCACACAAAAAATGACCATGATAGTCTGGGACTTTAGCCACTAGTCCAAAGCTGAAGTCCAGTTAAAGTCGGTCAGCTCACAATAGTTCTTATGGTGACATGAGTCACATGACAGTGCACATAATGTGATGCTGAGAGCCAGGTTCGGGCTAGTGGCTTCAAAAGGTTCTGGCACAGACTCCCATGGCTCTGCATACTTTGGTCTTTGTGGAAAATGGAATTCACAGTAAGAATAGTTGTTTGAATCATAAGATGTTACCCTCGATCAGGGCGTCCATATAAGATGGTGTTATGTATTGTCAGCACCCTACCTGTGCTTGTGGGCTTCACCAAAGTGGTCATCATCAAAGACCTGCATTATAAAGCAGACGTGCTGACGAGCACTGATGTAATTGAAATACTGGATGATAGAGCTGAACTGAGAAGTTGAATATGAAACTTATGACAAGATGATCAAATTCTTTATTACAATTGCAGGAATGTCTCTGTGTAGATTCTAACACTGTTTCATGTCACAAGTTAGTAGATCTACATTATGTGTATCAATACATAACAGATTATTAGCCTAGTGTGTTTTTGTATCATAAATATTATATCAGGAATATTAATTATGTGATCTCTTTATCATATGATGTCAGGCTTAAAATAGTTGAAATTAATTGAAAAGGATGCACTGGTGAATGTTTCATGTAGCTTAATCAAGCCCTGACCTCATTTGTATTTTTACTGGATCGTGATACCAAGTTTATCAGACTGGTTTATCGCATCGATAACGTTGTTCCTGAATTGATAAACGTGTGTATTGTGCAGTGTATAGTGCAGTCAGTTTCCCCGTATCATTCCAGGCTTACCGTTTCCCTTGCCTTTTCTGGTACCTATATGATGCTGATTGCTGATGAAGTAAAACTTCTATGTCAGATTTTGAAATCAACTGATGAGATCCTGAGATTCATGAAGCAGACGTTGTTGTCGGTGCAAGCAGTTGACCTGGGCTGTGATGTGGAAGCTGTGACCAGGGCCTCTCTCAACCAGCTGCTGAAGCTGAAACTTGTCCAGCAGGCCAGGAAAACACCTGACTCGTCACAGGTGAGTGGACTCACATGTAAAGCTGACTCATCACTGGTGAGTGGACTCACCTATACAGCTGACTCATCACAGGTGAGTGGACTCACATGTACAGCTGACTCATCACAGGTGGGTGGACTCACATGTACAGCTGGCTCATCACAGGTGGGTGGACTCACATGTACAGCCGACTCATCACAGGTGGGTGGACTCACATGTACAGCTGACTCATCACAGGTGGGTGGACTCACATGTACAGCTGACTCATCACAGGTGGGTGGACTCACATGTACAGCTGACTCATTACAGGTGGGTGGACTCACATGTACAGCCGACTCATCACAGGTGGGTGCACTCACATGTACAGCTGACTCATCACAGGTGGGTGCACTCACATGTACAGCTGACTCATCACAGGTGGATGGACTCACATGTACAGCTGACTCATCACAGGTGGGTGGACTCACATGTACAGCTGACTCATCACAGGTGGGTGGACTCACATTTACAGCTGACTCATCACAGGTGGATGGACTCACATGTACAGCTGACTCATCGCATTTGGGTGGACTCACATGTACAGCTGACTCATCACAGGTGGGTGGACTCACATGTACAGCTGACTCATCACAGGTGGGTGGACTCACATGTACAGCCGACTCATCACAGGTGGGTGCACTCACATGTACAGCTGACTCATCACAGGTGGGTGCACTCACATGTACAGCTGACTCATCACAGGTGGATGGACTCACATGTACAGCTGACTCATCACAGGTGGGTGGACTCACATGTACAGCTGACTCATCACAGGTGGGTGGACTCACATGTACAGCTGACTCATCACAGGTGGGTGGACTCACATGTACAGCTAGCTCATCACAGGTGGGTGGACTCAGATGTACAGCTGACTCATCACAGGTGGGTGGACTCACATGTACAGCTAGCTCATCACAGGTGGGTGGACTCACATGTACAGCCGACTCATCACAGGTGGGTGGACTCACATGTACAGCTGGCTCATCACAGGTGGGTGGACTCACATGTAGAGATGACTCATCACAGGTGGGCCAGCTCACAAATATGACACACTTTGTCTCTCAGATATATGTTAACCCCCTGGGTCTCTAGGCTTGAATGGTCTCCAACACTCTATTGCTTCACATTAGAGGCATCTTTTGATCAGTTGGTCTTATTTTCAGAATGGTTCTCAGAAAACAAAGATGTCCAATCAGAGTCAAGGCCTTAACAAGCCGAAAATATTCTCTCAAACTAGCCCAGGATCGCAGCAGTCCATAAACAGTTTGGCAGCAGGACCTGCCAAATCTGAAACTGCATCTAACAGTGGTGGTCATGATAGCCATGTTGCCATGGGAACAGTTACAATGGAAGATGGAGCTACTCTTCATGCAGATATGTCCAACAGTCCAAATATCCATCTGGAAGTCACAGCACTAGGCAGGGCAACGTTTAAAGGTGAATTTCAAGCAGTTGTCCAGAATATTTAGGTCTTAATTTTTACATGACGTGTTGTTGACACTTGTTCTAACAAATTTGTTTTTTTTGTCAATAACCACATTTTGATTTCATTTGGTTTTTTTATTACCTTTGTAAACAAGCTTGCTGACTGAAACAGTGAAAAAGATACTCTGGACTTAAAAGCAGGAGTGTTAGGTATTGTGCAGTAATATTACATTGATAATGAAATTTTGTTTAAGATATCAGTGCAAAAAGAAACTTTTATGATAGCGGTAATCTGACAGGGGCTGTTTCACCTGCAGGGTCTATCGACACTGACAACAGCAGCCTGCTGTATGATGACCTGAAGAGGGCGGAGGAATCCTTGGTTCTGGCCTCCTATCTCCATCTCCTGTACCTCGTCACTCCGTACGACATGGCGCGGGACCTACACATACCCTGGATGGTCTACTTTGAACAGGTACAACCTGGAATAGGCTTTTTTGTTATAACAATTAATCTGTGGGAATCCTGGGAACCAATTCCTCTGGGCCCCGTTCCTCAAAGTGATCTATATTTCTGAGGAAAGGGAGTTAACTGACTATAGAAGTCCAGTTACCACCCTTGCCGAACTAGGCTGGAATTCTTCTGGCTCAATCGTAGCATCACCAGTGGCTGTTATGAGTTATTTCCCTTCTATGTCCTATTGGCCAATCAGATTCCACCTCTCATATCACTTGCATTTGCTTCAAACAAAATGGCAGTGCCCAGTCAACACAATCTAATCGATAATCAAGAGCGGTATTGAAATGAAACATCTTACCCCACGAAATGCATCAAATCACATGAGCACCTTGATAAAAATGTGAAAAGAATTGAAAAATATTTGTAGACACCCAGTTGACAGTACACATGCTTTGCAAATCCTGAAATCCCGAATTCTGCATGGCAGTCGCCATGTTCTTTACAGACTTGATGTCGATTGCATTACAAATTTTTTATTGGGCTATGCATTGACTTATGAGGCCAACAAAAACATAACCCTAAAATTCCAGCCTAGTTCAGAAATGGGTGAGAACTGGACATCTACAGTCAGTTAACTCCCTTGACTTGGGAAGATGAGTGATCATGGTGCTGTGATGATCGTAACTCCTATACTCTAACACTTAGACAATCATGACGCTACGATTGTTTTGGTGAATGGGGCCCAGGACCCCATCCCATGTTTGGTATTATATTACATTTCTGGTAACCATAAGATTAGAAAGATCAAGGGGAATAACTCCTCTGAGACACCACACCGAGAGATTCTCAATGCTGACTGGACAGTTATGACATTACATTATTGAGACCATTATGATAGGACGAAACAAGTTGATAACATTAGGTCATCTTTACATACCTGTTAGGTCAGTGAAGTTTCTCATGAAGTTTAGCTACTGGGTACTTACAACAGATAATGTTCTGTGACAGTGTGTGATACTTATTTCGGTAGTTTCATGACAACTGCTTCTACTGCAGCTGTGATATTGCATCAAGCACAGCTGACTAACTTGATCATGTTTGAAATTCACACACAAATACAAGTAGGCAAAGCAAAATTTCTTCTGCTTTTGAGTAACACAAATACTCTCTTACGTGAAGTATGATTTCTGACAATATATAATTGTCACAAATGAGATGATAGTCAGAAAAGACAGCAGTGCAGTCGTTAGAATAATGCCAGATCACTACATTTTCTTGTTTAAAGAAGACCGTCTCTGTGGTCTTGCAGTAGAGTGTCCACCTGGAGAGTGGAAGGTTTGGGGTTTGATCCCCATGCTTCATACCAAAAGACGTTAAAAAATGGTACTTGCTGTTACCCTGCCTGGTGCTCGTGCATGCACATAACTATACATTAGTGCAATAATCATGAACGCGACGATGAACCCAGTTTCACCTCACCTTGTTGTCCCCCGCCGCGCGAAAGCGCGGAGCGGGGGACATAGTATTCACGACCGTCCGTCCGTACGTCCCACCTGTTTGTTGCCGCGATATCTCAAGAACTAATTAACCGATTGTCTTCATATTTGGAACTATGGTTTATATACAGACTCCGCAGACACCAGTCGGTTTTGGTGACCTTGACTCCATTTTCAAGGTCACAGCAGGCAAATCTGCTTTTGGAGTTGGAAAACGGTGTTGCCGCGATATCTCAAGAACTAATGGCTGGATTGTCTTCATATTTGGAACTATGGTGTATATACAGACACCGCAGACACCAGTCGGTTTTGGTGACCTTGACCCCATTTTCAAGGTCACAGCAGGCAAATCTGCTTTTGGAGTTGGAAAACGGTGTTGCCGCAATATCTCAAGAACTAATCGCTGGATTGTGTTCATATTTGGTACTATGGTGTATATACAGACTCCGCAGACACCAGTTGATTTGGTGACCTTAACCTTAATTTTCAAGGTAACAGCAGGGAAATCTGTTATTCTAGATGGAGAAAAAAAACACATATCGCATAAGGCGGCGGGGGACATTTTCGTCACTTTGTGACAAATACTTGTTTAAATTAAGGAACATACCCTGAATATTGCAAAAGTAAGACAATAATTACATCCATTGAACATACACTTTTTATTAACATTGATTTGTCTCTAGTTTTTGTTGATATTTAATTTAAAGACTTTGTTTTAGGAAGTTAAGCTGAAATGAACCTTAAGCCCATTCTTTCCCAACCTCCTGCCCCTTTTAGTTTGGCCTTATTAATATTCACCTGCATGTTGCAGGACTGTACTTCTCCTGTGTTCTTTCCTCTCTAGATGAACACCTTGAATGCGATGGAGATGCGTGTGGCCTCCCTCATCGGTGTGTCAGAAAGCTACATTGCCAAGAAAGCCTCGGGACAGAGTTGTAGACAGGTACTTGTGTGGCAAACATTGGGCCATTTGCTATATTTGTGTCATTAACAATACAGGATAAAATTATATAACATATAATAATAATTTGTGTTTGTAAAAGTGTTTAATGTGTTTACTGCATAGGAGTAGCTTCATAGTTATAGTGAAGGAGCGGACGGTATTGTGGCCTTACATATGGTTGGGAACATGTAACAATAACAAGAATGTGTTCCCTGTGGCTGGGGACCTGCTTTAGAATAGATCTCGGGCTCTCTTATTGCTTCTCATTAGAGAGGGACGCGGTGCTTAAAGCGTTCACTCATCACGCCAAAGACCCAGGTTTGATTCCCAACATGGGTACAATGTGTGAAGCACATTTCTGGTGTCCCCCGCCATGATATTGTTGAAATATTGCTAAAACCAGCCTTAGAAATTGGCACTGGTCCTATAGTCCCTGCCAAACTGCCCAATACTTAAGGTATCATAAGGACTAGTAGAAATTTGCCATTTTTAGGGGTTTTGCTATACGTTATCATTATAAGGAATAGTGAACTGAAACTGTTAGTTTCTAATGCTGCTAAAACTGGCGTAAAACCAAACTCACTCACTCTCTATTATTAGAAGTGACTGAATAGAGGCTTGGTGAATTTGTCGATTGAGTGCGGTCATACTCTGAAACGTTGATCTGAATATTAGTCACAGGTTTGTCTGATCCAGATTTGATTATTTACAGGCAGCTGAGTCAGACATGCTGACTGAGGTGTTAAGCAATTAAGATGAAAAAACAAACCAATCACTTATCAACTAAAACATAAAGACAATCTGCTGTTCCAGAAGGTGAATGAGTTTGTCATCAGTCGCTTCTACCTGACTCTCATGTTGAATGAGCTGTGGCAGCAGAAGACGGTGTGGCAGGTGGCCCAGCGCTTCCAGCTCAACCGTGGCTTTGTCCAGAACCTCCTCTCCTCCGCCGCCAGCTTCGCCTCCTGCGTCTTCCATTTCTGCCAGGTTCGTAGAGGTTGTAGCCAGCAGTGTCATTCACCCATCTTCCATGTCTTATGTGTTCAATGAATATTCTAACATGAATGTTGAAATTACTCCATTCAGAGGTTGTGAAATCGCAATAAACCCCCTCTGATTGAAACAGCCGATTTGATGGGCGCATAAACCTGGAAGCTAATATTCATAGAATAGTACTTTTTTTCAGTCATTGTCAGTAGGCATATTTAAATAAAACTGCGACGTCATATATTTTGTGTCACAATGAGCGACATGACGTCATAATGGTGAAGTGCGGTGTAGAACAAAAGCTTTGCAAGGCTTGCTGAGTTTTCTCTATTGGTGCCCACCTCAAGTTAAATTACGAAGTTGCTGTGTTCATATGCTTTCAGTGCCTGTCATATGTTCATGTGAAGTATAACGGTGTAAACAAACTGCTTGAGCATATAGAGCTCCATACTTTGTTTAAAGGCTGTTGTCTCTGATTCCACAATTCAGTTCGACAACCCACTCAAAACACTGGACTCAAACACCAAAGAGTTCACGTTTTGTTTTCCCATGGTAGAATGGAGATACACATACTGTGTTTTCAGTGTGGAGCTGAGTTAACCACACTAAATTTAACATTTGAAACCTCACACTGCACTTTCGGTTCCAAATTCATTATAGCGTGGTCAGGTCTTCAGGTAACCTAGCTCTACATTGTAAACACAGTATGTTTATCTCCTAAATAATTGATGACCTGTCATTGGTTGGAACAGTAACTAGGCAGACAGTCTAGTTCATCAGATCACTATCCATTCTCATAAAAATCAGATCTTTTACTCGGATATGATACCTGTCTGCGTAAAGATATGAGGACACCTTCATGCAGGGACACCTCCATACCAGGACAACTTCATGCGGGAACATCTCCATAATACGACACCTCCATACGAGGACACATTCATGCGGGGACACCTTCATACCAGGACACCTTCATGCAGGGACACCTCCATACCAGGACACCTCCATACCAGGACACCTTCATACCAGGACACCTCCATACAAGGACACCTCCATACCAGGACACCTTCATACAATGACACCTCCATACCAGGACACCTCCATACCAGGGCACTCCCATACCAGGACACCTCCATACCAGGACACCTTCATACAATGACACCTCCATACAAGAACACCTCCATACCAGGACACCTCCATACCAGGGCACTCCAATACCAGGACACCTTCATACCAGGACACCTCCATACCATGACACCTTCATACCAGGGCACTTCCATACCAAGGGCACTTCCATACCAGGACACCTTCATACCAGGACACCTCCATACCAGGATGCCTCCATACCAGGACACCTTCATACCAGGACGCCTCCATACCAGGACACCTCCATACCAGGACACCCCCATCCCAGGACGCCTCCATACCAGGACACCTTCATACAAGGACACCTCCATACCAGGACACCTCCATACCAGGACACCTTCATGCAAGGACGCCTCCATACCAGGACACCTTCATTCCAGGACACCTCCATACCAGGACACCTCCAAACAAGGACGCCTCCATACCAGGACACCTCCATACCAGGACACCTCCATACCAGGACGCCTCCATACCAGGACACCTCCATACAAGGACACCTCCATACCAGGACGCCCCTATACCAGGTGATATCAGGTCAGGTTCCTGAGCGAACTTTGTGACCGCCCAGTTAAAATGAAGGATATGCATGGGTCGTCAGCTCAACCGATGACAACTGATTCTAAATGAATCCGCTTCATATCTTTACCTCCTTGTTTCGGAAGCTTTGATGTGTACAAATGTAAACCTACACTGAACACAAGTATTCCTACAATGGTACTCCCTTTTGGGTGTATATGCCATGGCACTTGGGAACAACAGTATAAAGTATCCACAACAATACAATGGCCTGACTTTATTCATGTACATTTGGAACTTGACATAGCAAATCGTTTTGAAGATACGGAAAGCAGATATGCTGGCCTTAATGCTTCACTCACTTGCACTGAGAATTTAGAAGCCTCAATGCTGATTGGCTGACAAGAAGGTTCACCTGACGCCTCCTCCTATGGAGATATCCTCAGATCATCATTCAGAGAGGTTTGATACCAGAGTAAAACATCTGTTGTTAACAAGATTGGATCACTAGTCAGCAACATCTTGACAGTGGGGATTACTGTGACGGCTGATTGTGTGTCTTCACAGCCCAACAGTTTGGATTGTTGATACTGTGTTCAGTCACTAGTTTGACCATCTTCCCGAGGCAAGGGAGTTAACTGATTATTAAAGTCCAGTTTCCACCCTTGCCAAACTAAGCTGGAATTCCGGAGTTACAATTTGGCTGGACTAACAAGTCTATGCATCGTCCAATCAAAATCACATAATGAACTAGACATCCAGTTTGGAAATAACAGGGATTTCAGCGTGCAGATTTCAGTTGACTACAGGATTTGCAAAGCATGTGAACCACTAATTGGGCGCCGACATATATTTTCAAAATCTTTTTAGGTTTTTAATCAAAGTGCTCAAGTAGTAAGACCCCTGTTATTGCAATATGATCAGAAACTGGACTTAATAGTCAGTTAACGTCCTTGCATCAGGAAGATGTTGTTTGTCCTGTCCAGACTATTTGCAGTGATGTTGGAATACTGCTGACTGATGCATTATACAGCATTCACTTACCACTTCTTGCAGAGGAAGGTAATCAGTGTCTGGTTCTTGTAGGAGCTGGATGAGTTCTGGGCCTTCCAGGACCTACTGGGCAACTTTGTGAAGCGTCTGTCCTACTGTGTGTCCATGGAGCTGATTGCGCTGCTAGAGATTCCTGGAGTCAAACTGGTAAGAGTGACTATCATAACCCACACCCAAGTACCCCAAATGTCTTAGATAGGCTTTGTGTCCCTTAGACGTGCCAGGATCTGCTGCTTAATGACAGATTCTTCCTGATTATGATCCTTGGTTTTAACCTCTAGGCTTTTTTTCACTGTCTGTTCTCATCCTACAGTAACTCACTTTGCAGAATAGCTTTGCCAGAATCCTATGATTGTGGTTTCAAATCCCTTATTTGCCATGCTAATGATTCTTGGTTTGTCAGCACCATACCCCTACTTGTGAGTTTCACCAATGTGGTCAACATTTATTGCTGAGTGCGATAAACAACAAAACAGATAATCAACAGCTCCTTTACTCCCATGATTAGCAAAGATGCTGTAATATACCTAAAATAATGTTGAAAACTCCTCTTCTCTCCTCATCACAAATGAAGGAGGTAGTATGTAGAATCATGAATGGTTTGTGTTGTTACCATGCAAATGTATCTCATGCTAGAAGAACACTGGTTATTCCAGGGTCGAGCTCGCCAGCTATACCACAGTGGACTACGAACACTGCAGGATGTTGCTGCCGCCGATCCAGAACAGCTGGTGAAGAACATCGAGCACATGCCGCGTAAAGCAGCCAGACAGATTGTGGCTTCAGCCAAGGTGAATATTGCCTGCTAGGCTAAGTAAGGCCAGATTTATGTTTTTGGGTTTACAGACTTTTAGCCAGAAAATTCAGGTTGATAGATTGAAAATATCATGTGTATTTCTGATGAAGTTGGACTAGTAGCATTAGATTTTTACTTGCTAAGGACAATTTAGTAGTCGCGGCCTAGGGGAATGTATGCATTGTATGATTTGATCTATGTGAAAGGAGATTAAGCTTTACTGTGTAAAGTGTGCCCCTCCGTGGCATTGAAATCTATCTCTCCCTTGAGTGGGTCTCTAATGTATAGGAAAAAGGATGTGATTCTATTGTGTGGAGTTTATCAAACAAAAGCACATGGATTGATTGGAAGAATCTTGTCATCATGTCATGTTGGTACTTTCACATTTACTTTGTGTCTGTTTCAGGTGATGCTAAATGAGAAAGCAGAGACACTGTGGGTGGAGGTTGAAAGCCTCGTTGCTTTACCCATGGTTCAATTAGGGACTTTATCAGTGACTAGTCAGTAATTAGAGTGTGATGTCTTGGTACATGCCTGCATTATATGTCCAGCAGTCTATATGTTGCTGGACAGATGGACTGAACTAGCCTGTCCTTGCAATCCACTGACCCTGATGTGTTTAGTGGTTTAGCCTTATTGTAATCTGAGTGTAGCTTAATACTGGAGGGACCCTGTGTAAGGGTGGTGTAAGGCACCATATTGTGCTGTGCAGAGTTATGTCCCTTTGTCACTGCAGGATCCAATGGTCATGGGCTCCCATCCCATATATGCCGCTGTTGTAATCTTTGTTCAGCAAGCCATACCCATTCAAGTGGTGAAGGTCAAGGCCCTGCATGACACTGGACTTTCCTCCCGCACTGCTGACACACTGTGACTGAAATACTGTTAAAAGCAGTCATCGTGACTTATTTACTTACCAACAATGAATCTCTTGCTGAGGGAGGGCTTCAGGTATTATTGTATTGCCATATAAATTAAAATTTAACTTGCTCCTGTTTGTGAAAAATATTTTCTGTTTACAAACATTTTACGAAGGAACTGAAAGTCTCTACATTGGTTGATGTATTATATAGTTATTTATTAACAAGTTAAATTGAAAATGATTTCCTACATGTTCACTTTATAATGCCGTGAGTATTACAGTTTGGAGTTTCCGGGTGGGACTATAGCTAGCTCCTCAGCAGATTGTCCTAGTTGTGAGAGGCGGTTGGTCAAACTCGCTTAGTTGGTTGATGGTGGGACATTAAACCCTGATGGCCTGGACCATTGCTCATACTATCAATCACTGGGTGTTTATTTACAGGCTGTTGTAAACAGGAAATACACACACGTTATAGTTGACCGTAGGATCCATGGGTATGGCTATTGAAATGTTACGTAAATGTTCAGAAAGACATTTGATATTTCAATGAATCAAAATGTTTATGTGTATTTAAGGTATACTGTATCGGAGATATGTTACATAAATAACATTTATTTATTTCTGTAAAGAAATACATTTTCAAAACAGAATATGTCTTGTTATTACTCCTACTTATTAAAACAGAAGAACAGACAACAGATTCAGATCCGGGAACAGGAGGCCCAGTGGTTAAAGAAGTGAGCTGCCTTGATCTGCTTGTTCAAAGCCCAGATTTCCATGCATTTATGAGCATCATTCTTGTGGTGTCAGCAGTGGGCATGGAATGTAGTCTCCGTGTAGGCTGGTACAGTAACACACACAGTAGACATGGAATGTAGTCTCCGTGTAGGCTGGTACAGTAACACACACAGTAGACATGGAATGTAGTCTCCGTGTAGGCTGGTACAGTAACACACACAGTAGACATGGAATGTAGTCTCCGTGTAGGCTTGTACAGTAACATACACAGTGGGCATGGAATGTAGTCTCCATGTAGGCTGGTACAGTAACATACACAGTAGACATGGAATGTAGTCTCCGTGTAGGCTTGTACAGTAACATACACAGTGGACATGGAATGTAGTCTCCGTGAAGGCTTGTACAGTAACATACACAGTGGACATGGAATGTAGTCTCCGTGTAGGCTTGTACAGTAACATACACAGTGGACATGGAATGTAGTCTCCGTGTAGGCTGGTACAGTAACATACACAGTAGACATGGAATGAAGTCTCCGTGTAGGCTTGTACAGTAACATACACAGTGGACATGGAATGTAGTCTCCATGTAGGCTTGTACAGTAACATGCACAGTAGACATAGGTTGAAGTGTCCATGTAGGCTTGTACAGTAACATACACAGTAGACATGGAATGTAGTCTCCGTGTAGGCTTGTACAGTAACATACACAGTGGACATGGAATGTAGTCTCCGTGTAGGCTGGTACAGTAACATACACAGTAGACATAGGTTGAAGTGTCCATGTAGGCTGGTACAGTAACATACACAGTAGACATGGAATGTAGTCTCCGTGTAGGCTTGTACAGTAACATACACAGTGGAAATGGAGTGTAGTCTCCGTGTAGGCTGGTACAGTAACATACACAGTAGACATGGAATGTAGTCTCCTTGTAGGCTTGTACAGTAACATACACAGTGGACATGGAATGTAGTCTCCGTGTAGGCTGGTACAGTAACATACACAGTAGACATAGGTTGAAGTGTCCATGTAGGCTGGTACAGTAACATACACAGTAGACATGGAATGTAGTCTCCGTGTAGGCTGGTACAGTAACATACACAGTGGGCATGGAATGTAGTCTCCGTGTAGGCTGGTACAGTAACATACACAGTAGACATGGAATGTAGTCTCTGTGTAGGCTTGTACAGTAACATACACAGTGGGCATGGAATGTAGTCTCCATGTAGGCTGGTACAGTAACATACACAGTAGACATGGAATGTAGTCTCCGTGTAGGCTTGTACAGTAACATACACAGTAGACATAGGTTGAAGTGTCTATGTAGGCTGGTACAGTAACACACACAGCAGACATGGGTTGTAGTGTCTATGTAGGCTGGTACAGTAACATACACAGTAGACATGGGTCATAGTGTCTATGTAGGCTGGTACAGTAACACACACAGTAGACATGGGTCATAGTGTCTATGTAGGCTGGTACAGTAACATGCACAGTAGACATGGGTCATAGTGTCTATGTAGGCTGGTACAGTAACATACACAGTGGACATGGGTCATAGTGTCTATGTAGGCTGGTACAGTAACATACACAGTGGACATGGGTCATAGTGTCTATGTAGGCTGGTACAGTAACACACACAGTACACATGGGTCATAGTGTCTATGTAGGCTGGTACAGTACCATACACAGTAGACATGGGTCATAGTGTCTATGTAGGCTGGTACAGTAACATACACAGTAGACATGGGTCATAGTGTCTATGTAGGCTGGTACAGTAACACACACAGTAGACATGGGTCATAGTGTCTATGTAGGCTGGTACAGTAACACAGAGTAGGCATGGGTCATAATGTCTATGTAGGCTGGTACAGTAACATACACAGTAGACATGGGTCATAGTGTCTATGTAGGCTGGTACAGTAACACACACAGTAGACATGGGTCATAGTGTCTATGTAGGCTGGTACAGTAACATGCACAGTAGACATGGGTCATAGTGTCTATGTAGGCTGGTACAGTAACATACACAGTGGACATGGGTCATAGTGTCTATGTAGGCTGGTACAGTAACATACACAGTAGACATGGGTCATAGTTTCTATGTAGGCTGCTACAGTAACACACACAGTAGACATGGGTCATAGTGTCTATGTAGGCTGGTACAGTAACACACAGTAGACATGGGTCATAGTGTCTATGTAGGCTGGTACAGTAACACACACAGTACACATGGGTCATAGTGTCTATGTAGGCTGGTACAGTACCATACACAGTAGACATGGGTCATAGTGTCTATGTAGGCTGGTACAGTAACATACACAGTAGACATGGGTCATAGTGTCTATGTAGGCTGGTACAGTAACACACACAGTAGACATGGGTCATAGTGTCTATGTAGGCTGGTACAGTAACACAGAGTAGGCATGGGTCATAATGTCTATGTAGGCTGGTACAGTAACACACACAGTAGACATGGGTCATAGTGTCTATGTAGGCTAGTATAGTAACATACACAGTGGACATGGGTCATAGTGTCTATGTAGGCTGGTACAGTAACACACACAGTGGACATGGGTCATAGTGTCTATGTAGGCTGGTACAGTAACACACACAGTAGACATGGGTCATAGTGTCTATGTAGGCTGGTACAGTAACATACACAGTGGACATGGGTTTCAGTGTCCGTGTAGGCTGGTACATTAACACACACAGTAGACATGGGTTTCAGTGTCGGTGTAGGCTGGTACAGTAACACACACAGTGGACATGGGTTTCAGTGTCCGTGTAGGCTGGTACAGTAACATACACAGTAGACATGGGTTTCAGTGTCCGTGTAGGCTGGTACAGTGACATACACAGTAGACATGGGTCATAGTGTCTATGTAGGCTGGTACAGTAACATACACATTAGACATGGGTTTCAGTGTCCGTGTAGGCTGGTACAGTAACATACACAGTAGACATGGGTTTCAGTGTCCGTGTAGGCTGGTACAGTGACATACACAGTAGACATGGGTCATAGTGTCTATGTAGGCTGGTACAGTAACATACACATTAGACATGGGTTTCAGTGTCCGTGTAGGCTGGTACAGTAACACACACAGTGGACAAGGAATATTGTCTCCTTGAAGGTACTGTGACACACAGTGGACAAGGAATGAAGTGTCTGTGTAGGCTGGTACACTAGTGCACATACACCTGTTATTACGTTTTCAATATATATAAACAATATAAACATCGATATGTATGTTGTTTGTTGTTTTATTTACATGCATAAATATAAATATTAATAATAACAAGGCCATACTTTTCCCGTATCATCTATCGACTGATGGGTTTTGATATATTGGCTATCGATGTGTTGCGGTATAAATGTCTGTTTCTTTTGCCCTTCCATCGTCGTAGCGTCGGTCTAGGGTCAGAGTCGTTCAGTCTTGGTCCGCAAATTGATATTCGCATTAGTCTGTCCAATGTTCCCGTCGTCAAGAGCATCTAAGTCGAGTCTTGATGAGTCTTGTTTAGAAAAAACCTCGTTCACACTCTACGCTCGATATGGGCGATATGCGATCGATTTCTATGAGTTTTACTACGTTGGGGAATTGTTACGTCAATTTAGAAGGATGGGCAGTAACTAACATCTGTCCATATGTCAACTGTCGGTAATTGTTGTATACTTATGGCCGAAATATTCCCCGTTCTCTCTCCAGCGTCTTTATCAACAGGTGTATGTCCTTGTCGTCTGCTACCGTAATGGCGTCCTCGAGTCGCTATACTCTCTACCCCATAACTTGCCAAGTCACGTGTGTTGTCAGGGAAGCCAGTTGGGTCAAGTGCACCAAATGCACTGTTAAGTTCGTTCTCGGGGAATCTGTCCGTTACATTGTCAACTAAAACTTGTACGCTGTCCCTAGCCCTATCAGTCAGTGTTCTCTCACACCACAAACAATCATTCAATCGCAGGCGTCTGGTGATAAAGATTCATCTGTATCTCATCATCTCCATCAGCTAAACCTAACTCGGAAACTAAAGTTAAAAAAGTTGCAAAAAACAAACCAAAACCAAACCAGATTCATCAAAAAAGTATACACCAAGAAAAAAAGTTAAGCACACCCTAATATAAACTGGGCGGCAAAAGAAAGTATAGGTCGAGTTCCATGATCGATAAAAAAAATACCAAGAGGAGGTTTTGTTGTGAATTATAATATAATCTAGGGAGGGGTAACAAATGATTGATCAACCACAGTTTGAATGAAATTGTGCAATCAGGTAATGTAAGCTCAAGGTAAACAATGGTGGGGTAAGAAATTTCATTTTCAAAAGTTGTCTGAAATGTCACCAAAAACTTGTCAGACACACTACAAGTTCATCGTTGACACAGTTGCCTTCAATAGCGGGTATGACCTCCAGCTGCCTCAATGCATGCTGTGATACGCCGCCTCATCGATGACGTCAGTCTTCTGATGGCGTGGACTGGAATCCGTTGTCACTCGTCTCTCAGGGCCTGCTGCAATTCTTGTCTGTTGACGGGAGGCTGATGGCGTGCTCTAATCTGTCCCACAGATGTTCAATAGGATTCATATCGGGTGAGTGGGCAGGCCAGGGCAAAACGTCAACGTTCTGCTGGTTTAGAAAGTTCCGAGTCAGCCTTGCAGGATGGGGCCTGGCATTGTCGTGTTGAAACAATGTCCCTTGCTGTTGGTTTTTGTAAGAACGGAAGCACTACTGACTGCAACGATGGGTCTCTGTACTTCACAGCGTTCAGGTTTACCTGAATAATCACCAAATCAGTCTTCTGATCTCCACAAATACCGCCCCACACCATGACACCTCACACGCCGAATGGATGGACCTCTCGAATACACGCCGGAGCCAAACGTCCCCTCTGCGTCGATAAACTCGTTCTCTGCCGTCATTTCGAA